ATAAGGATCTGGTACGTTGGTGTTTAGTAGCAAATAAAAATGTTATCGCTGGGCGTTGCGCTTCCTTGGCAGCCGGGACAATCTTGTTTGAAATTATTTTTGTTTGTCTGGTGTAGGCCGCGAGTAGCAAATTTCGAGGCAAAGTGGAAGCAACCCAAAAAAATTATACAAGTGTTGGCGAATGTTATCATCTTTGCCACGAAATGTGCGACCGTACATGTGCGCGCATTTTCGCCGCTAACTTGCAAATGGGCATTACACAATAATTACACGGAGATATTTTAGAGTTGGCGAATTGCCTGAATCGCATTGCTTTTTTGCAAACTTTTTGTTTAAGAAAAGCAAAATTTTTATTTTATTTTGCATTTTTATTTAAAAAGAAAAACACGCACACATGAAAAATAATTTAATTAATTGCTTATTTATTTTTAGCGGAAAGAATATGTGAAATATGCGAAAGTATTCCCGATGTCTGAAATGCTGGACTTTAAGATTCCATCGAAATGGTACCGAAGAACTGTTGGTGCATTGGAGATTATTTGTGGACTAGCAATGGCGTTCGTTCCCCATCGTGAGTATTCCCCAGGAGACAGCAAATTACTTAAATTACATAGCGCAAATTGTGGCGCCAAACGTAAACCTTAGTCAAGGACAACACTCATTGACATTGACGATAAATGGGTTACGGTCAGGCCGTCGGCCGGTACTAACGTCACATTTACATGCGGACCGTGCCATCCAGATTGCATTCGGATATATTTAGGAAATGTAAAGGCAAAATAGTCACGTTTATAGATAGATGAAAAGCCAATGAAATGTTGATTTGCCAGTGAGATATATATGATCGCGGCTCAAGGACAATATTCAACATTGACACGGTTTTTTGATAACTTGCTATCGGTCATTATGAGTCACATAATGAATCATTTAACAAATTGAAGCAAAAATGTAAAATGTTCACTGAATTTTATGCCAGCTTAATTTGTGAATGCCGTAAACATACACGTCAAGAAAGAAAGTTTTAATTTTAACTCGTAGTCGTAGCTAATTTTTATGCTTTGCGTATATTATATATATTATTATCGTAAACAATAGTACTTGCGTAAAAATAGTCCATGGTTTATGAAAATATATCCACAAAAATAGATTTTCATTATTTATTCATCTAACAACAAGTTTCATGAAAAATTAATTTTTTACTTTGTTTCAGATAAAATTAAAAATGGTGCAAATGTTTGTCTCCTGTTACTAACCCTAATGGCGGTGTATTCACATTACATGGTGGATGATAAACTTGAACGCACTGCTCCCGCGCTGGTCTTTCTTTTTATGCTGACCGGCCGTTTGGTTGTTTATTGGCAGGTGATAAAGCGTAATATCACCGAGTCCGGCGAGACAGCTCAAGCAAATGGCGGTTTCAAGCAGGAATAAGCAATCACACAAAAATCGTCGCAAAACGATCAACAACCAAAAGTAACACCTCATAAACTCGATTATTCTACATTACGACGTTTAGTTAAAAAAAGTTAATGAAATCTTTTATTACGAATAAATTGTCATCTTAAACATCGCACTACAAATTGTTACGTTAAAGTTTTAGTTTAATTGTTTTAGTTTCAGCAATGTTATGTAATTTTTAGTTAGATTACGGACTGACAAAAAAATTAGCAAAATTTAGTGCCAAAGCAGACGCAATGAAATCATTCGATCTTAATGATGTTAACGTAATTCACAAATAAACGACTGACTGAAACTGAATGTACCTAATACGAATGCACTTTTTGCAACTAACGATACATTCACAATTGTTTGATTTCATTAGTTATCAATGCTATAACTACCAATAAGTACCTAAATGTTGTTAAGTACAGTAACATTATGATATCTAATAGAATATTGGCCAGTTTGAATTAGAATCAAAACAATCACTTCATTTCAGATTTACGTATACATAATACAGCTAATTATGTATTTCTTGTAGATTTGTATTATTTATTTACTTATTTATTGTATTTATTATTTCTATAGGTAATTGATTTTTAATAAAGTGGAAATCATTCGTTTAATTTACTTAAACATTTAGTAATTTAAATGTAAGTACCCGTATCGGTGGAATGTGGAATAATCAATTGATTATTAAGAATATTAATTTAATTTTTGTTATTAGAATGTAAACTCAAAATATTTTTTCATTTCAAAGAACCACAAGAAAAACCAAAACAAAAAAAATATTTTTAAAATGATCACTGAAATAACTAAAACATTTTAATAATATTAATAGTATATTAAGTATCAAGTGACTAAACGAGAGTTTTTGTTACGATTCAATGGTTGTCTAACATGCACCTCAGTGATTTTTGATACACAAATTTATTATTAGATCATACTTAACAAAAAGTCCAAAATCATTCCACATAATACGACTTACTACTAAAGATATTAATAATATTTCCTTAATTACTTTCTATTTTCGTATTATTTTGACGGGTTACAAAAATGGGAGCGTTAAAAGAAAAGTTTCAGAAAAAATGTCTTGTGTCTTTGTGAGTTCGTAAACTTTTCAGATTATCCTCGTACAGGCTTTACCAATCTTATCTATATTTTGCATCATTTGAACTCTCTTCAAAAAATATGCATTTACCAATTCGCTAAAAAGGTATGTATGTGTCTTTTTCGCACATTTTAGATTTTATATAAATCTATCCATCTCGTTCTTTCAATATTGGTTTTAAATAGAAATAATCACGTCAAATAATGCATTGGGTCAATATAGATACTAATCTATTAAGTATCAAGTGGCTAAGCGAGGACCTTACTCTCGAGATTGATTGAGATTGAGCATAGCGAGCGTTTAATCAATCGAGTATTTAACAACGTTTCGCCACGTGATGCTTACGCTATTTTTTCTACTCCGACTTTATTTCCACGTTTTCGTTCGCACACTACTTTGACTTGTTTGACTGGCGACGTATGACATTTCATGGTCTTGCGCTGCTCAGTAGGGAAATGCGCAGGTACAAGCTCCGCCCTGTAGATAATGTAAGCGAAGTACTTTACTCACGGCTTTGGCCGTTCGTCTTTGAAGTACAATTTTTTTGCGTCTAAAAACCATGTAAACTGGCGGTTTATAGATGGAGGCAGTGATATATAATTATCAGTTGGAATATTATGTATAAGCAACAAACAGTTTTAGATAGTAAGTAAAATTGTGTAAACTAATACAACGCAATAAGCCTATTACAAAAAAATCCTGAAACAAAATAGCACACTTTTAATGAAATAATTTTGTCAAGATCCGTCAAATGTTTCATAAAATATTGCGTGTTCTGCCCAGTTCACCCTCCTGAAATTAATGATCGATTTCCACACCGGAAATAGATAAATTTGTCAGAAGTATGGTGCTTAGTAATTTGTACATATTTCATACGCACAATTTTCGAGAAAGCACCCTATAGTTTACGAGGAGTTCACCTTCAACACCGGTGTATTCAGCGTGCGTGGGCTTTGCACGTGCTACAATTGAGGGTTACAATATGGCGTAGGGCAAACTGGTGCTTTAAAGGTCCTACTATGAGTTCGACCCCTATAGGTTGGAGATTTTGACACTCGTCATACTCGCAGTTGTCAAGCATGTGCTTCTTTAATTATTTATTACTTGAATATAAAGATTACAATTTACAGATATATTTTATATATAATTTATATTATATTTATTCAACTTTTTCCTGATTAAATTACATGTTTAACTCAAAACAGAGATGCAATTCAATCACGTAAAATTTAAACACATATAATAGTTTTTCTACTTCCACCTATAAAACGTCAGTTTATCCACGGCATCTAGACCCAAAACGTGGTACTTTATATACGGACGGCCAAGCCGTAGATCATATTCATTATGTACATGCATTAATGCACGCGACTGAGCGGTATGAAATGCCATGCGACGTGACTCAAACACCTCAAAGTAGGCGCTGCTGCTGCTTGACACTTATAACCTTACAGTTTAAGTGTGTGCGCAAATTTCGATGATTTAAATACAAAAGTTGAAATACAAAAACCGTAACGTGGAACTAGAGTGGAAGTAGAAAAAATAGTGTAAGAACCTCGTGGCAAAACGTTGCTGAAGACTCGTCAGTAATGCCCTCGTTTAGCCACGTGTTTGTTACTTAATATACTATTAATTTATTAACTTTGTATAAAATTGTCATAGTAGATAATGAATAACATACAATGTGCAATTAAGAATAATCATATATGATAATTATACATGGTCACAATTTTCAAAGAAATGTCACCAGCAAGCAAACGAATTTCAATCGTTTCATCTAGTTTTGTTAAAATCTTCTTAGGAGATGTTGATGTTGCAACATTTTTGTTGAAATCAACATTCACGGGCTTTTGAATGCTTTGGTTTTCTATACGAGTAAACAGAAGAAATTAATCAATTTAAGTTTAAAACATTAAAAGCATGGTTTTTATACCAGTCGGCAACTTTTCCACACATGCTGTAGGTTCAACCATGCTACTGTCCTCATCAACCTCCATTGGCTCTACAGTCTCGAATGTGCATATCTAAAAATAATTTATTTTCTTTTATAAACCGACTATACATGCATTATTTGCGATTGTGCTTTGTCGTTATTTTTATATAATTAAATGCATAAATCTATTACACTTGTAAAACTCATAAAAGAAACGTTAAACGTTAATTACGTAAACAAACATAACGACACGACATACGAGAGTTTGCTTCTCAGTTCAACACTCGTGGACACCGCACTGTAACGTAGAATGACACGTTTTGGTTTTTTTTTCCTGCGCGGCATTGTAGCGCTAAGTCCTGTTTTGCGGTCGGAACGGAAAAACCACGTGCAGATAACGCAACAATTTCTGCCACAACGGGTACGCGCCCGTCAACTCACGGCTTGGCAATCGAGCATGTACTAGTACAATGTAGGTACATGGTTCTCCACCACCACAATTCGCCGCCGCGGCACCACGTGCCATACTTTTAACCGGCCCCTACTACCCCCAAGGTAGCCTACCTAACCACCACCCCCAACCACCCCCTCCCCCTTCCTTTCGACCACCCCCTCCTCAACCACCCCCTCCCCTAACCCTCGATCACCCCCTACCCCTCGACTACCCCCTCCCCAACCTCCTCATCCCCATACCCTTCGACCACCCCCACCCCAACCACCCCTCCCCCACCCCTCGACCACCCCTACCCCTACCCCTTGACTACCCCCTACCCCTGCCCCTTGACAACCCCCAAACAAGGTAGCCTACCTAACAAGGTGCATATAATATATTCCCATTTAATATTACCTCTTTTGCGTCGCTGCCCTCGAAATCAACGTCCATTGGCTCGGCATCTAAATTTAAATATGATAATTTTATGGATGGACCAAAATGATAAAGCATTCAAATATTTCAAAAATATTAGAATACGTAGGGTACCTTGGTTACGGGTACACGAGAATTTATACGATACGACACGTATGCCATCGTTCTCGTAGTTGAAGTCGGTGGCGATCCCCATCGTAGAAAACGATGCGACGATGATAATAACAAAAAATTCGATGGTGACGAGTACAAAATAAAACTAAACAGAAATTTTTATATCACCTAATATAAAGGATTGCAAATGCAAATCTTCCGGTGTCAACACCGGGTGGATGGCGTCGACCCCATACAAAAGTGGTGACAGTGATGATGGCAACTTCATAACCAAGTGGATAACCACATTGGATCTCGTTTGCATGGTTTTGAGAATTCTAAGTAATAATCAGAAGGATAAAGAAGAAGTTGCATTTGATGCAATTATCAGGTCATTCTTCGCAGTTATTTATCATCCAAAGAACGTGCAGACATTGCGAGGTGACTATTCTCTGTCGAGATACATCATAGTAATTCTTCTGCCCGCCAGAATCATAGTGTCTATCTCTGGTACACCTTCATTGACAGCATGGACGACCAGTAACTTGCAACGGTGATCGCCTCGTCAGTTGCAATTGTTTCTCCGACGAACAGTATCTTTGGGTTGCTGTTCGGCAGCATGTTGAACGCAATGGGTGCTGCAATGTAGGGGAAGGGGGGGCAAAATGGGCCCCTGGGGGCAAAGTGGGCCCCCTGAAATTCAGGAGGCTTAAAAAATTGAGGGCCAAAGTGGACCCCCTAAAATTTTTGATATATAAGATGAAGTTGCAAGATCAACTTATCCACAACAAATTCGAAGTAAGAAATAAAAAAAGAAAATAATATAAGCAAAAAATTGATGCAAAGGTAAGAGCCTAATTTTTATGAGTGGGTCCCACTTTGCCCCATATTCTGATTTTTTTTATTTTGATAGACACGTCTTATTAATATTGAATACTGAACAAGGATGTAAAAAATAGTGTAACGAGTGAAAAAAGGTAAACAAATTCCCTTTTTTCGCTTTTGGGGACCACTATGCCCCACCCACCTCTATGTTTATCATGGCTCATGTATATCGCTCGTCAACGACAAATTCGATTCAACTAAATGCGTCACTCTCATTTAATTGGAAAAATAGTTGATAGGAAGTAGTGGGAATAATTTCTAGTAGCATTAACTTGCAATGGTGATCGCCTCGTCCACTGCAATTGTTTCTCCTACGAATAGTATCTTTAGGTTGCTGTTCGGCAGCATGTTGAACGCAATGAGTGCTGCAATGTATGTTTATCATGGCTCATGTATATCGCTCGTCAACGACAAATTCGATTCAACTAAATGCGTCACTCTCATTTAATTGGAAAAATAGTTGATAGGAAGTAGTGGGAATAATTTCTAGTAGCAGTAACTTGCAATGGTGATCGCCTCGTCCACTGCAATTGTTTCTCCGACGAATAGTATCTTTGGGTTGCTGTTCGGCAGCATGTTGAACGCAATGGGTGCTGCAATGTATGTTTATCATGGCTCATGTATATCGCTCGTCAACGACAAATTCGATTCAACTAAATGCGTCACTCTCATTTAATTGGAAAAATAGTTGATAGGAAGTAGTGGGAATAATTTCTAGTAGCAGTAACTTGCAACGATGATCGCCTCGTCCACTGCAATTGTTTCTCCGACGAACAGTATCTTTGTTGCTGTTCGGCAGCATGTTGAACGCAATGGGTGCTGCAGTATCATGGCTTGTATATCGCTCGTCAACGACAAATTCGATTCAACTAAATGCGTCACTCTCATTTAATTGGAAAAATAGTTGATAGGAAGTAGTGGGAATAATTTCTAGTAGCAGTAACTTGCAACGATGATCGCCTCGTCCACTGCAATTGTTTCTCCGACGAACAGTATCTTTGGGTTGCTGTTCGGCAGCATGTTGAACGCAATGGGTGCTGCAATGTATGTTTATCATGGCTCATGTATATCGCTCGTCAACGACAAATTCGATTCAACTAAATGCGTCACTCTCATTTAATTGGAAAAATAGTTGATAGGAAGTAGTGGGAATAATTTCTAGTAGCAGTAACTTGCAATGGTGATCGCCTCGTCCACTGCAATTGTTTCTCCGACGAATAGTATCTTTGGGTTGCTGTTCGGCAGCATGTTGAACGCAATGGGTGCTGCAATGTATGTTTATCATGGCTCATGTATATCGCTCGTCAACGACAAATTCGATTCAACTAAATGCGTCACTCTCATTTAATTGGAAAAATAGTTGATAGGAAGTAGTGGGAATAATTTCTAGTAGCAGTAACTTGCAATGGTGATCGCCTCGTCCACTGCAATTGTTTCTCCGACGAATAGTATCTTTGGGTTGCTGTTCGGCAGCATGTTGAACGCAATGGGTGCTGCAATGTATGTTTATCATGGCTCATGTATATCGCCCGTCAAGGACAAATTCGATTCAACTAAATGCGTCACTCTCATTTAATTGGAAAAATAGTTGATAGGAAGTAGTGGGAATAATTTCTAGTAGCAGTAACTTGCAATGGTGATCGCCTCGTCCACTGCAATTGTTTCTCCGACGAATAGTATCTTTGGGTTGCTGTTCGGCAGCATGTTGAACGCAATGGGTGCTGCAATGTATGTTTATCATGGCTCATGTATATCGCCCGTCAAGGACAAATTCGATTCAACTAAATGCGTCACTCTCATTTAATTGGAAAAATAGTTGATAGGAAGTAGTGGGAATAATTTCTAGTAGCAGTAACTTGCAATGGTGATCGCCTCGTCCACTGCAATTGTTTCTCCGACGAATAGTATCTTTGGGTTGCTGTTCGGCAGCATGTTGAACGCAATGAGTGCTGCAATGTATGTTTATCATGGCTCATGTATATCGCCCGTCAACGACAAATTCGATTCAACTAAATGCGTCACTCTCATTTAATTGGAAAAATAGTTGATAGGAAGTAGTGGGAATAATTTCTAGTAGCAGTAACTTGCAACGATGATCGCCTCGTCCACTGCAATTGTTTCTCCGACGAACAGTATCTTTGGGTTGCTGTTCGGCAGCATGTTGAACGCAATGAGTGCTGCAATGTACGAGTATGTTTATCATGGCTCATGTATATCGCCCGTCAAGGACAAATTCGATTCAACTAAATGCGTCACTCTCATTTAATTGGAAAAATAGTTGATAGGAAGTAGTGGGAATAATTTCTAGTAGCAGTAACTTGCAACGATGATCGCCTCGTCCACTGCAATTGTTTCTCCGACGAATAGTATCTTTGGGTTGCTGTTCGGCAGCATGTTGAACGCAATGAGTGCTGCAATGTATGTTTATCATGGCTCATGTATATCGCCCGTCAAGGACAAATTCGATTCAACTAAATGCGTCACTCTCATTTAATTGGAAAAATAGTTGATAGGAAGTAGTGGGAATAATTTCTAGTAGCAGTAACTTGCAATGGTGATCGCCTCGTCCACTGCAATTGTTTCTCCGACGAATAGTATCTTTGGGTTGCTGTTCGGCAGCATGTTGAACGCAATGGGTGCTGCAATGTATGTTTATCATGGCTCATGTATATCGCTCGTCAACGACAAATTCGATTCAACTAAATGCGTCACTCTCATTTAATTGGAAAAATAGTTGATAGGAAGTAGTGGGAATAATTTCTAGTAGCAGTAACTTGCAACGATGATCGCCTCGTCAGTTGCAATTGTTTCTCCGACGAACAGTATCTTTGGGTTGCTGTTCGGCAGCATGTTGAACGCAATGAGTGCTGCAATGTACGAGTATGTTTATCATGGCTCATGTATATCGCCCGTCAAGGACAAATTCGATTCAACTAAATGCGTCACTCTCATTTAATTGGAAAAATAGTTGATAGGAAGTAGTGGGAATAATTTCTAGTAGCAGTAACTTGCAACGGTGATCGCCTCGTCCACTGCAATTGTTTCTCCGACGAATAGTATCTTTGGGTTGCTGTTCGGCAGCATGTTGAACGCAATGGGTGCTGCAATGTATGTTTATCATGGCTCATGTATATCGCCCGTCAAGGACAAATTCGATTCAACTAAATACGTCATTCTCATTTTATTAGAAAAATAGTTGATAGGAAGTAGTGGGAATAAGTGCTAGTTGCAGTAACTTGCAATGGTGATCGCCTCGTCCGTTGCAATTGTTTCTCCGACGAACAGTGCCTTTGGGTTACTTTGTTAGGACAGTAGTCCACGGCTGGTATTCCGCAGAGGGCGCAGTGTACTGAATGCTTTCATTGCACGGCTACCGTTGCCCATAGAAATACGCGTAACCAGAAATTTAATTTAATTCTCCGATTTTTTAGTTCTATTTAGTTTAGTTTTGTTTTGTGCGATGCGATGAACTATGTTTGTGGTTTATGGAAGATGACAAAAGTGATGTTGTTGAATGTAGTCACTTAATTAATTGTACAATGTGCAGTGCTGTTCGTGTTTAAATTAGCAACTTAATTTCGTAAATCTTATCTTGTTGAAAACTGGCTGATTCGTTGTTGTTATTAATAAACGAAAAAAGGCTGTGCGAAGTGTACCACGTCAGCTAGTAAATATTATCCAAGTCTCCGCCTACTGCGTTGCTGTATCAAATACTCCCCAGTTCCATCGGCAATGAGAATTCTATTGCGATTACCCGCGACAACGAGCATTACGTATTGTTTGTACTCCGCAATAAATAAACATAAAAAAGCGTATAATTTAATCCGGATCAAAGCGAACGTGTGTCCAACCCGACTGTAAGCATGTGTATAGTAAGCTTGTGCACTTGGATTGTTGATTTTGATGCGTTCGATAATGCACGACACCCCTATTGCACGTGCGGCACAATAATTGTCTGCCGAGATTTCAGATTATGCTAATCTAGTGCCACAATAATTCGTAGGACACGAATGAACCCCTAAAATGGATTTTAAATAAACTCAAAACTCGTTTATCTTTCCATTTATTTCTATATCAGTATGTTACAGTTTCTATCGACGTGATGTGTGAATACAGTACAGTGCGCATGTTGGAAAATGTCGACAGTGTCCTGGGAACTCGACAAGTGTAACCAATCCACGATGAGCAAACCGAATATCGACGTAATGTTTACTTGGTGGAACATTTTCTCTTGCCTGCGGAGAGAAAATGGTGGAAGGTGGTGCACGACGGTGGGAAAGTGAACACTTGTTGCAACAAGAGATAGAAATTTAAAAAATCAATGTTTGAATACAATTTATTATATGCATACATGTGTGGTGAGTGGTTGTAAATAAATAAGAATCTATTTTGTTTGTAATTGCACAGAAATAAAACCTTTGACTAGATTTAATCACATCTGTAACTTGACTAGACTTGATAATTCAAGTTAGAAATATGGTCTAATAACTATCTAATTTCTATCTGATAAATTTAAATAAATACATTTACAGTATATACAGCTTTCCAAAGATCACCTTTTGTTGTAAAATAATTAAAACTACTCCTGAAGATTAGTATAAGCACTAGAACTGGTCTGACCACCTTTGGTGCGTGGGTCTTCCGGTGTCCACACTTTAGCAATCATGATTCCATTTGGGTTAGGATCTTTGTCGCGATGCCACGACAATGAATGCGCTGTGTAACTTCCATTCATACCTGGAATATATTTAAACACACAAATTATTTTACGATTATTATTCGATAACTTGAAATCGTATCATAAATTCGGCAATGTTGTTTCAGCTGTGACGACCCTGCACCGACCCCTCTAATTGTTTTCGTGTTTATAAACACTGCGAAATGAGTGCATGGGTCGAGGACAATGCATGTAGATATTAGATATCCGGAAGAAACGCACGTCGTGTGTTTTGATAGAAGCGCAGGGGGAGTGCGATTGGTTGTAATGCGTGTATTAATCGACGGGGAAACTATGAAATGAGTGGTGGTCTGGAGGTTGGAGTGCGATTGCATGTGTTGATGTTCCCTACGTTTGACTGTTTCTGGTTTGCAGGTGCACGTGCACAAGGTTACTGAGTTAAATGTATTGAAGGACTGTATTTAAAAGAAATATTGTAAGTTATAAACATAAACCATTAACAATTGGGAAATATTTACTAGATAAGAAAATTAGCAGTGTTTGAACAAAATACGGTAAAGCAAGATACGGTTGATTAATTTAAAGTCATTTTCTGTAACTATAATTCAATTCGGAAGAAATTTTTTGTCGTCAATTTTTATTTTAATAGTATAGGGTATAATGTATATAACAAATACTATTTCATGCTTTATTGAAAAAAAAAGGTTTTGTATTTAAGTTGTGAAAATAAGGCAACTAATAACCTTTTCCGTTACTACCATCGATGACATTGCCGTTGTCAGTGGCAGAAATAGAAAAGTGTTAATCTCCGAAACCACAAAAAAATAAACTGTGCATTTTGGTGAATTGATTAATCCGTTCAGAATCTAGTACACTATCTATTTTTAGTTCGGTTCAATTCAATTGATTTTGAATAAAATGCTTAAGAATGTATTCAATTAAACTGAAATATCTAAGAAAATACTATGTTCATACTGTGTTACAGGGAAATCAATTTCTCATCTTATACGCATAGTGCATTGTTTTAGGAATCCAAAAAAAAAATGTTTGAGTGGCAGTCCTATGTTTCGAAACCCACTCTTCCGTTACTTTTCTATCATTTACATCTATATTCATATCTGCAATATCTGCAATTATCTAACTATTATAGCTACACTGTATCAAAATGATATGCAATTTTCCAGCAATTCTTTCTTAATCATCGCAATATTTAGATAATCAACCACTCACTATGAGGGCACATTGATACACCCCGACAAAGTGTCATAATACGTGTACTGAAGAAGCGAACAGAGAACAAACTCATCAGATCATTACACATCTGCTTTGCGCAACGAATCGCTATGAAAAAGTGCGTATCCACGTGCGTGTGGTACAGTGGTGCTAATACCGTAGTGCATGAGGGTGCGAAGCGTTTAAATTGATTCGTATTTGAGAGCGCAGCGAGGTCCACCCCCCGAAGGTGATAATCAATCTTGCACTCGAAGGGCACTACATAAACCACTCGGAATTAAAACGCCCAAAAACGCACAGCAGTAGGTAGATACATAAACTATTTAGCTATTAGAAAAATTATTAGTAGAAACATGTGTGATGAATAACACCGGAAGGAAGATATAGGTATAGACATATACCGATCGAAATGGTCGTAAAGTACATTCAATTTAAAAGCAATCATGCTACTGTTTCACTCATATAATGGGGTAAGTAGGTACAAGATTCACACTTATTGAGACCGATTTATTTCATGTTTCACGAGTTTAATGCTAGCATATGTCTGATAGGTGTGTGATTAATGCTCAAATATGAAATATTACGTACCTCTTAAAATGATTTTCTTTGGTTCATCACGTGGTACGTTTCGGTTGATGCCGTTGAAGCAGTCTGTGTTACCGTTGCGGTCACTGCGGACCAACTCACTAAGAAAATTGATGTATCCAATCGCCAATTTTAGAGTATCAACTTTAGAAAGACGTTTTTCATAGGGTAATGTTGGAATATGTGCTCGTAATCCTTCGAATGCGTCATTAATACTCTGCATTCTTTTGCGTTCTCGTAGATTTGCAGCTTGGCGTTGTTGAATTTGTTGTTGGGGACATTTATTGCGACGGCGATAACGATGCACACGGTTGCTACGACAAGTAGAATGAAAATTAAACTTGGTGGTTAACTTAACATCCAAATATGGTTAAAATACAATTAAATAATGTTTAAATGTATAAGTATATTAAGTATCAAGTAGCTAAACGGGGGCTTTACTCATCAGATTGATTGAGATTGAGCGTAGCGAGCGTTTAATTAATCGAGTGTTTAACAACGTTTAGCCACGTGATGCTTACGCTATTTTTTCTACTTCGACTCGATTTCCACGTTTAGTTTTGGTATTTGAACTTCTGTATTTTAAATATTCGAAATTTGCTCGTACCGCGCCGAGACGAGCAGCAGCAGCGTTTGCTTTGACTTGTTTGACTGGCAGCGCATGGCGTCTCATATGGTCTTGTACTGCACCGTAGGCAAATACGCAGGCGCCAGCTCCGTTCCACGAATAAAGTACTTTACTCACGGCCTTGGCCGTCCGTGTTTAAAGTACCACTTTTTGTGATTAAAAACCGTTGTAAAACTAACGCTTTGTAAGTGAAAGTAGAAAAAATAATTTATATTTATTAAAGAATAAGTTATTCCTGGTATTAATATTTTTATTTATTTATACGTGATGAGTTTTTCGTTTTGTGTTTGACATGTTTCACCTTAGGGGTATCATTTAAGCTCACACCAAAAATTGTAATCAATCCAACACGTATAAATAAATTAAAATATAATATGTAAAATTATTGTTTTAAAATTCTTATTTAGTTATTTTTTATTTAGGTAATGGTTTTCAAAAGTTGGGTTTAATATTGTGTTGTGTTACGAATTTTAATTTTCTCGGACACGCTCATAATGCCACTCTAAGAAAACATGATTGTACAAGAAAATTAAAATCTTTAACATAAAGCGATATGAAATCCGAAAAATGATATAACAGTTTTTCTTAAGTTTTTATGCTTTTTATGTACTTACTCTTTAGATCCTGAACTATTTTCTTGATCACTATTATAACTATAGTTGGAACCAATGGAATCGCAACTGTTGTCATCATACAAGAATAAATCACCGCTGTTTGTAGACCCAGTAGTGGAACCAGTCCCACCGCTGCCACCAGCATGAATATTTCCCGACGCACCGCTCAAAAATGAACTGCTCTCAAAGAAGAACTGTCGATTCATCACCTCCATGTCGAGGTTATCCATCGAGAACATTGTCGATGCAGCGTTTAAATGATCGTTCACGTTTATATCCAGCATTTATTGTGATGTGCGTTAACTTTTTTTACAAAATAATTTATATATATATATTTTTTTATAAATTAACTACTTGGTAAGTGGGTAACACGTGTTATATTATCAGATTAAACAGTACTACTTGTTCATTATTACACAAATAACGCGAGCACGTTATGCAAACACAATTAATTCTTCTGTTTTAATAAAAGAGCCGCACACTTCTTAACGTTGGTAGTGGTTCACTGCACGTGCCGACACGTGTGGTATAATATGTGGCACACGTTTTCACTTAACTCGTGATTGTGTTAGTATAATGCAATGTCTTTTATATTGGATTGTTTTATTGTTTAATAATGATTTGAATGCCACTTTGGGTGTTACTCCCGTTGCGATTCAATGTCCGACTGCGGTTCTAGGATGAAACTGCAGGGGTTTTATTTGGGGTGGCGAGTGGGTAGCGACGAAGCCTTCACGGTTGCTATATGGAATGCGCGATTGCCGTGCGACGAACGTCGCGACGCCTCTTCATTGGTGCGCGCGGACGCAGACGCTTTCCGCAGTCTAACTCCACCCCCGAGATAAACATTTATTCGATACGATAAAGTGAATATGCTTTTTTTATTTTTTAAATTTATTGGAAAGATCTATTTGAACTGAGAAAAGGAAGTTTGTAGATAAAAATTTGCGATTTAATGCGTTTATTACATTTTTCCCACTCATTGCTTATCATTATGATTCATAATTAGTTTACAATTACAAATAAAACAATTCGGCATTAAATAAGTTGAGAAATCAACGAAAGTAATACAATTTGCTTTGTTTTTGTATAATATATGTTTTGCACTTGTTTTACTCTTTCCTCAATCGATATTCAAGTCCATTAGATTCCCATTATGTGAGCAAAACTAATAGAAACATATGTTTAACATACACATTATTCTCATCGATTCTATTACACTACCATTACTTGCGGAACATGGAAGCTGAGTGCTAATGTTGGTTATATATGCTACATTGTGCTGCTGGCTAGAAATTACATAGTTTATTCACACTTTGTACTACGAGAAGGGTGCTCCGCCGATGATAGAAGATGAACTCCCCCTGCTTGAGGGTGCAAACCGTGAAAAATTCACGGATCACGCTGAGTACGCAAAGAGATATTGTGGGTTTTAATATGGTTTTCAATTGTGCAAGGTGTTGAAGCATAATTATAAACTAAATAAAATTAATACAAAAGAGAAAATAATTCAACAATATTATTTATTGCCGATTTTTTGTATTAATCAGAATTTTATTTTTTATTTTAATTTTAATCAGAAATTTAAAAATGAGGATAAAAACATGAGATAATATTACATGAGGAAAAAAGGGTCCCTTTGACTTGAACAGAGCAATATTTTGTCACAAAAAGATGAATAATTTACGTATTTAAAATGTCTTCTTAATAATTCTAATTTCTTTTAAACAATTTATTTTCTTTTACGAATGCGTAACCTGTTTTTAAAGGTTTTTTATTATGTTTAATTTTTGAACGTATTAATAAGTTGTGGATTTTGGCATGTTTCGTTTTGAGGACATTGTCAGAAATCGTTGTTACTTCTTTAAACTTGTAATTCATTAAAATAAAATATTATAAAAAATAACTTTAAACGTTTTCGGCATACTTATCATTAGATTTTATATTTAAATTTTAAATTTTTCATAATGTTTTTTGGGCAAGCATCGGTAAATACCCGCCAGATATTGTTGCTGATAATTAATCGTTTCTTTTTTCTAAATACCTAAATATATTTCTCAGCTATCATTTGGTGATCTGGCATGTATCAGACGCCCTGGGCCACTACGTAGAATGCCCAGGGCGAATGATATAGGTACCACGTTTAATACTCAACTTCTTCTTCTTAGTTTATGAAGATGTGAAGGGCGAAACATGCCAACTCAAATATATAAATGTAAATCCACAAAATCACGTATAACTATTAATAAATAAATATTTTTCAACTATACAAAAAATGGATTACGTATTCAACATTGAAAGTCTTCTTCTTATGTTGATTTTTTTTTATCGGCATACACACCTATATAAAACAACAGCAAATCAAAAAGTGACTGAAGATGCCTCACACGCGACACGTGTAACTCAGAAACGTAGTTTTACAACATAGTTTTAAATACTAATGCAAGATTAACATAAGCAACTAACTCACTTTTGTATTTTTTTATAGGTAAGTATTATCGTATTGGTTCTATTTTCTAATAGGTGGTAGGTATTTAAAAACCACCCATCTTCATATATATAAATCATCTGTTCGTGTGTATGTGGCAAATCTCCTCCAAATTTGATTACATTTTTTGTGTGTGTTCAAATGGGTTTGAGAATGGTTTAGATTCACAATTCGGTCTTTTGGGAAATGTTCCTATTCCAGGTTTTTTTCCAAAAGTAAAAAAAATACCTAAAATTAATAGACAGATAGAAAGTCATTTTGTGACAATAATTATAAAAATGAATTTGTCAATTTTAAAATAGAAACTGTGAATTATAATAATGAATGTGGCACATATAGCTAAAGAAGTCTTTCAGGTATTACGAAAATATTCAGGAAAGAAAAGTCGGGGCAGCTAGTAGATATGTAAAACATAAATAAGACTTTATCGTAGGCAACCAACGTTGCATATAGGTACTCATTATAACTATAGTGCACATGTTCGCGCTTAACAATGTTTTCTTTAGTTTGACAATTATTGCCGTATTGTCAGTTCCTATGTTTCAGTTAAAATGAGAGATAAAGTAGAATATGATCTCCTTGAGAGTCGAAAGGAGTACCTGCACAATATTGCAACTATGATTAAAGTTCCTCATTTGAAAGCAAGATACAGGTTAGTTTTTCGTGTTTATTCGCTTTTATGTTGAAACTGAAATTGAAACCAAATATTAACACTAATTTTAACATGTTTTTATAGAATCACCGCTAAACAAATCGGTGACGGGATTGAAAATGCTCCTATAACTTCTAATCGCGTGTGTGCTAGATGTCTCTTACATCCACATGAAACCCAGTTGCAACAAACTATTAAACCAGAATCACACAGAATTCCAAATTATTTTCTAAGAAAGTATCAGTATAAACAGAGGAAGACAATATACCAGCTTAAACATGAGAGAAAATTGAAGAAGATTGGCCAAAAACTTGTAAGTATAACTACATGTATTTTATTTAGTGCTTTACTTGTTTTTATTTTATTATATTTTAAGATTATAAAATGTTCCACATGTAAAAACATAGTTAAGCTTCCACTGAACAAACCAAACAAAGAACCTGAAGTAATTGAAGTTATAGACACTCCAGTAAAATCAAAAAAGAAAAAGAAATCCAAGTGGGACTTGGCTGGAATTAATAAAACTGCAGTTGAACAAGCACAAAAACTTGCAGCAGGAAACATAATAGTAATTAAGGACTCACCAGCTAAAAGTAAGAAAAAGAAATCCAGGTGGGATGGAAATTCACAGTCCCCTAAAGCAAAATTGCAAAATCAAAATAAAACACTGACAACCAATGATTTTATTTCACTTGAAACAACTACAGTTGGCTCAAAGAAGAGAGTAATTGATGATATTATTGAAATAGGAGACAGTCCAGTTGCTCAGCCTCCAAAGAAAAAGAAGAAAAATCAACAGGCTCAACCATTGCAACAAAGTAATAAGACGCAGAATAATTCAACAATAAATAACTTGATATATCAAGCAAAGACTTTGGAAGAAGCGCGGAAATCGGTACCGACTTTGACCACCAGGAAGGAGAAGAAGAAGATGAAACACAAACTAAAAAAGATTAATGATTCTATTAAGAATATTGAACATAACAGAGACAAACAGAAATCATCTCTTCAAAATTTTTTGGATCAATTAAGTGCTTAGTTAGTGCATTTAACTATTCTTATATTGTTACAGAGACATAAGTTTTCATTAAATAAACAAAGTTAAACATTTACAAAGTTTTAAAAAGGAACATTTTAAATTTTGTAGGTTGTAAACACAGTGGGTTTACGTGCGCTGGCAAGTATAAAAACAGTGAAAACTAAGTTGCCTACCTCGTAGGTATTTGAGTGAAAATGAGAGCATGTGCTTGCCGCTCCCGCCACACAACGCACATACCCATTTGAAAATATTGATTTCTGTACGGAATGGGTATGGAGCCCACAGTCGTGACGTAGGATCACGCCACTCTCGCAAGTTGCCTTTCGCGCGCTCCCATTGGTCGAGCAAACAGCCGACACCAAAATACACCACATGCACACAGTCATACACCGGCGCACCGATGGTAGGAAAACGGTGTAACTTCACTCACACAAACACAATGCTAATATCATGTACATATATACAGTGTGTTCGCAGTAGTAAAACCACCGTATAAGTTTAAAACCCAAAAACAAGTAAACTTATTAATTTGCTATTATGGGCTTGCGCATAATAGTCTGGCAGACAGTTGGTTGTTTCGAAAACCTTCCATTGATTGTTTTTTGTTATTGTTGCAACCGATAATAATTCGCACTTTGAGCGGGGACCAGTCGCGTGATCATAATAATGCAGAATAATCGCTTCGGAGTTGGGAACTTACTCATATCAGAATGTTGTATGGCTACTGATAGTGTATGGTAAGTGTTAAAATAGTCTGTGTAACCTTCGTCTTATCACTGCCAATGATTTTACAAGTTTAAGCAATGTTATCATCGATTACTGTCGAATATTTAACAATAAAAACATTAGGCACATCAGGCTGGCGTCCAAGTGCAATGAACGCATCAATAGCAAGTTTTTAGTTGTTTGATTTTTATATTTTTACCGGTATAAAAGTTGGAAAAGTTTATATTGTTCCAGAAGTCAAGGAAGAGTACGCACGCATTGTACATTCGATCTTCATGTGTTGGTGTACCACTACAAGAAGACACAACCAACACCGACGTGCGCACTGCGCCTGTCGACAAACGGCGTGCACGAAGCGCCAGCAACTTCGGTCAGCTTGGAATTCATTCGGCTTGCACCACGAGCGCAGCAACCAAACACATCGCCAGTGATTGCGGCGAACGGGCTCATTGCAATTGAATCGTACTTGTCGCAAATCACCTAAGCGAATATCAACTAACAGACACGCTGTTTGTTTGAAATTGCCATTCGAGCGGGACTGTTAAATTTCTGCCGCGTTGTGTGTCGCCTATCCGCGCTTCGTTTGAAATATACGGAATAGTTGCGATTGTTGAAGCTGCTGTTGCAACGGTCAACACGATTTTTACGTAGCGAGCTGCCGACGATCAACAAATCGAGGGTGAGTCAATATTTACAATCTTGATAATCTTGATTTAGGAGTCTACATACGTGTACTGTGTATGTCATTTTGTATGCTTCCGACTTTCTCTGTTACAATTTGTTAGATTCATTTTTTTGCGACTTTTGAGACCGGCAGTGGGCGTTTGTCATTTGTTTGAGTTGACTAATCATTGGACTATTGCTAAATGTTATGCGAAGATCGCGGAAGCTTGTATTACAGCAAATGCGACTTATGACTTTTTTTTTACGTAATGTTGAACGATGGCATCTAGTACGCATCTAACATTGACGTGTAACGAATGTGTTAGATTAAATTACATTGCAAACAACGCACTTTCATGCACCACTTGGGTTGCTTTTGGGTTAGTAGGTTTGAATGGTGGTGAAGGCGTGTTGTGATCGTGCGCAGGGTGTCGTTGGTGGCTAGCACGTTAGGGCACTAAAGATTTTAAGGTTACGATTGCGAATTCATCAAAATATTGTCCGTATTCGTAATTGTTTGATGAGTTTTATCATATTTTATTTTAGTAAAGGTAGGTACATTGTTGACTTTGACATTGATAGTTAAAAATTTAAATAATTTAATACAATCCGCTGGAATTCGCACAGAAGAAGTCAAGGTGAACGAACTGCAGTGTTTTCTCAGCTTTACGCCTGACTCGGTGCGCTTGCTTCCACTTTAGTTTAGTGTGTGGATTCACCTCGACGCTTGCTAGTTCTTGCGTTTATTAGCGCAAATCTCCTTGAGCTTTCTTTCTTCCACGGTGAACCACAGTGCCACAAGATCATTAATGGTCAGGGCCACACATATAAAAACATCAAAGTGTTTTTCACTAAAGAAAATTCTGATATCATTAAAATGACCAAATAACTTAAAATATAAATAATAACAATAAAACTAATATTTTTATGTGATTTGCAAAAGTATACATCATTTATACCATTATTTTATTGTTAAATTATCAGTTTGTTAAGTGTTTTATTATCAATGTATTTAAATTTTTATTTTTATTAAAATGTAACGTTAATGTATGCATTTACTTTATTTACTTTATTTTCTTCCTAAAAATTGTGAAAAAATGATTTCTTAAATAATTTTTCAAAGTAAACATTGATATGAATCTAGTTAAACTTACTCACGCATTTAAATTTAGCACATGTTCACCAATTAATGGAAGGCAATATGCGCAACGGTACGCCAAAGTTAACTTGACCTACACTGCGAAAATCATAAATTAAATTGCGCGACTACGCCAGATTGATACTCAGAATTATCGTGTTGACAACATTTGCTACTTTGAATTTAATAGGGAGGTTTTTTCGGAAATTGAGTAATATTTAAAAAGCAAAAAACAATAAACTTTTGACATTGAACTGTTCTTGAACTTCACATTCATATGAAAATTATTCTCTTACTATTCAGTTTTAGCATTTCAGCAAAAATATATTCAAATTGACACCTGTTTATCAGTAGAAAGCTTTTGAAGATAAAAGAAAAATTAAAGATTCTGTTTCTTTTATCTGCATCAAAGAAAAAAAATTAATTTATCAATGCTTTCATTCAACCTGTCTTGCAAGTCAAATTGGATGAATTATCGAATATATCAACATGAAAATGATAGATTGGCCTAGTTTTTAACGGCAAATGCGGAATACGAATCATACTATTGGAACAATATTAAAGGAAAGCAATCAAACACGAAACACATAATGATATATTACTTCACGTGATGACTTTTTACATGCATGTCCATTATATAGTGCAATCCATTACACACAAGCCACACGTGAGTTTTCTCTGGCTGAAATATTATAGCTATTTGTATCAATATCTATGGTTTATATTATTACGTACGCACACATCAATTGTGTTTATCTCATTATTCTCAGATGTGATTCGTTTACTTTCATTATCTAACGTCGATCTGTTTGGTTCTAAGTACCTATATTGGCATCTAGGTGTTAGTTATTAATACAACTAAGCACGCACGTGTATCTAGCAGCGATGCAACAAGTTCAAAAATCCGAAAAATTAAAATAAATATTTACGTAAACTATGTATAAACCTGTTTGTCTATTCATTATTCATGTAGAATTAAGTTGAGGTGATTTTAAACTTACGTTTGGACCTTGTTAGAAACCTGAAATTTATTCTATGTTTTGTGATCATGTGGATACATATTAATTATTGATTGACACTCGAACTATTGACACTATAAACTGCAATTTTCATTTTCAAGCACGTGTGCGCTGTGTAGGTACTATGTAGGTAGTGCTGAGTTATGCATTATGTATCTAACAGTGAAAACATTATTTTAGAATGTGATTTTACTTATAAATTATTATTTCTTGCCTACTAACGTTAAAATTCTAGTTTTTGTGTCATTTAAATGAAGGAAAATGAAAATTTAAAACAATGTTTTACTTATGTGCAAGATAATTCTCATGTAGATTGGACGATATTTTGGATTAAATATGCAGTAAATATTTAATTTTTACATGAAAGTGTTGATTAATAACTACTAAAACTAACCGTTAATTTTAATTAAAAAATAGACCAATTATTTATGGAAATTATTATTATACCAACTATTAAAGAAATGAAAAATGTTACTAATGCCTATTAACCTCATCACAGTTCAAAGTTTTTTTTTACGAAAAGTTGCCTATTTTATTTTTCAAGGACAAATATAATTTTATGTCAAAATTTATTAAATTTGATTTAGTTGCTTTTGCGTGAAAGCGAAGGTTTATTTATTTATTATTTATTTACCCACATTCGCATTTATAATATCAGTAAAGATAAAATATTTTTTTACATAATTTAGGAAAGGAAGCATATATACATTAGGCAAGTTATCAATACTATTTTCATTTTGTGTTTGCATCCACGTGTGAAAATATTTACATATTACATAAGTTTCCCAACACTTTACAAATAACAACCCGATAAAACTGTCTGAAGCCCCAGATTCGAGTCTTACGTACTTATAAGTGAGTGTCGATTTGTATAGTTGTATGGTACAGTTGAAACGATTCTAATTCACTTTAAATACTTTCCTTTTCACTTTTTTTACGAGTTAATTGTGTACCACCCGCATATATAGTCAATTGTGGTCAATTTCATCCCTCTCGTTTAATAATATAACTATTCTAACATATAATATCTTAAAATTATATGTAATTACAATTGTATTCATTGTGATTTTTTTATTATCAACAAGTTTCTCATATATGTTACATAAAAATAGCTAAAGGCATTAATATAAATTTGATCGACAATCCTACAATACATGATTGATGAGCAATTTACTTGCTATAATTGGTAATGTAATTCTTTTATACATTCGCACTTTGTATTATTGCTGGTTCTTGTACTATTGATCTCGCAGTGTGCGTTAGTCAGTTGCGAGTCTTCGTAGTTTTTCCAGGTCCTGCTTCGTGAGTGGTGAATGGCGAGTGGCGTGATGTTGGAGCAAGCAAGAACGGCCAATGCGGTTTGCCGGTTTACCACGCTGCGTGTTGTAGTAAAACGGAAGGAGTGAAGGAGAACGGAAAAACACGTTTGTAATCGGGAAAGTCTTAATAGTCAATTTATACAGTTAGATACAACATGTTTAACTGAGTAAAGGAGTAAATTTACACAATAGATTTATGAAAAATCAACAATGATTAGTTTAATACAATAATTATTGAAAATGGGTTAATTATACCGACGTTAACTTAATTAAACTGACAATTCTGAAAACAAATTGCATGAGGGACTAGGTACACCAAGCCAATCCGAGGAAACAGAAGGACTTTGCTTACTCACTGCTGCCAATCCTGAGAATATGGTGGGAGTAAAGTCTGGCTTACATCTTTGATCACGTGGATATTCCAACTTTTAAGGAGAACTCAGTTGTCCGGGTTTCCTCCACCCACTTGTATTTCACGGTTTTCGCAGGCATAAAATTTCAATTTCGATTAAATTTTTAATTGAAAATCGATTTTTCCAAGTAATTTACAAAGGAATTCCTTAATTTAAAAATATTTTATTATGTTGGCACAATTTGCATCCCCACATACATATTATGTCCAAAAGCTTGCTGATTACCAGTGATTGGTTCAAGTGCTGCGTTTATCAACATTGTGTCCTCGTACTTTGTACCTTGTACCTAACCCTGCAATTGATAAAAGTGTGACATTACCAACATAACTACACACTTGACACGTTGAAGAAGCGTTTCACTTCCATGCGGTTCACCGTAGTATACTCCCACATATGCTAGATCACGAGCGTAAACATACAATTAGATTATGCAACTCGCAAACATGCACAGACAAACGCGGATAATTTAATACGGCAATAATAGTAAATTGGCGATTCGCATGTCATTCTTAATATTTTCTACGCCAGATATTCGTAGTAACCGGTTAGACTAGTGGAATCGATTAGTTTTTGCTGTCTTATAAATTAGGGTACAATGTTAATGTGCACATTTCAAAGTGCAAAAATCGCTGCCAAGTCAAAAGAGATTAAATTTATAAATATGCATACTTAACACACGTAATACTTGTACTTTAACACCGATTATTTTTTTACATAGATACGTTATATTAAATCTATTTTTTGATTAAAGTATTGTTTTCTAATATCTATGTGACTGTGAGTGGCGTGAGCTTATTTTTATCGCGTTCCGAATTTTGAGCATTATTATAATTAAAGGCAGGTACACGCCTGTCGACGACCGTGTAGATAACTACCATAACTAGTTTCTGCGGTGGTGAGGCAACAGCGTGCGATACAATTTGTTGCAAACGTCGTGTGCCGGATTGGAGGAAGCTTTATACTTTATAACGACTTGACATTGACCAAACGCTCAGTTTTCGTGAGAATCTGACCGCGATCGGTTATTTTTCGGATTGCCAAATGTGCACACATCTTTAATATCATATGTGCTGCTTTAAAAATCTGATTTGGAACGTTTTTGTGAAGTGTTTATAATTAGTTTATTAATTTTGAAGACTGAGAGCAGAAGAAGCATCTATATTTACAATGGCGTTGCATTTAAGGTTTGAAATAATAAATTGATTTAGATAAATTTTTTTAAATTTTATGGTTGGATATTTATTTAAGTATATATATAAATTAGCTGGAAGTTACAGGGGAGTTAATACACAACTTATCAGCAATAAATTGCGTTTTCAATAATAAATTAATAAATTAATATTTTCTACCTTTTAAATCAATGACAAAACAATTTGAGTAATTTTATTTTTTAGTAATACACTGATCAAGCCGAGTTTGACCCTAAAAAGAGAACAAATTTGATCAATATTCCAATGTTTTATATTTAGCGTTTATTTGTTTGTTTTTGCAACCCAAGGTTTCAATTTTATTACTATTCATTTAATAAAATTGCTCTAAATTGTAGTAGCAACAAATAAATAACTAATTATTATATAATAACCGCAATTTCCCGGGTAATTGTATCGCAATTAAAAATATTATACAATTGTAAATATCTGTGGCAATCAAAGAGTGAAGCAGACACTAAAAGTAGGAACAATTTTTCTGTCATTTGATTAATTGTAAAAATACGACCGTATGAACGCAATAATTATATCAAGGAAAAGTAAAAGTTAGCATTAACATTGAGAATCGAATCACATCATGATCAGATTCAAGGTTTCGGATTGCTTTTCAAAAGTTTAATCACTTACTTGCACTTACAAAGTTGATCATGTATGTAATAATTTAATAAAAAAACTAATTTGTTATTATGCAAAAATTGGTAAAACTGTAATTTGCATTTGCGTGCGACGGTTATTTTATATTCAATGATTATTGGCATGACATGTTATAGGTATGCATATTTACATGTTTGAAGTGCAGTAGAAGTATTATCAAATAAATACATAACTAAACAGACTCGATCGTAGACAGGCAAACAGGCGTGAACACGTAACGACGTTATTTGGCCACCTGTCTTGATATATATGTAATTTATCTAAAAATAGAAGACATTTACTTTTTTGATGGTGTGATTATTATATATTTAATCATTCAGAAGTTATTAACGTTATCTGAGTTTAATTCGATTTCTAACGCGATTTGCAAATTTCAAATATATTGTATCAATTCCAGTTATTGGCATTCAAAATGAAGCGTACTTAATAATAAAAATTCAAATAATAATTTAATCTGTTTGATACAAATTGGCCTATAATGTTTATAACAAGATTCTATTAATAACTGCTTTACATGTTGGAGAATAGAATTTAGTATTTAATACACATTTAAAATCACAATTTTAAAACAATTAATTAATTAACAACCACAACTTTTGTTATTAACGCCCAGAGTAATTATACTAATTCTAATATACTAATATTTGCTATTTTGTAGCAGTTTTGTCTAGAAACTGCTAGTATTAAAATATGAATGTTGATTTTATAATTTAGTGAATATTTTGCACTTTAGTCATACATAGTTTTATTGCTCTAACTACGCCACTTACAGAAAATACACTCGTGCTATGTTTTTACTTATCTAGATATGACCTCCATCATCAGGGTTCGAGGGTGAGCAAAACAAATGAAATCAATTTACAAAATGAGATGATATCTATTGGATTTTTTCCGAACAATGCCTGGTAATTTTAGCATTGTTATATTAAGTGGAAGTGTAATCACATTTTGATCTTATCATCAATCAATCAACAGAATCAGCACCGTAAAAACCTACACATGATTACACGAAAACAAATAATAATAGTACCTACCTAGATAATGATAAGAATTTCACAAAATTACCCAGGGAATGTAATAAACAATGAATACTTCTGTTTTCAAAATTGTTCTGACGACATAATATATATTAAAAAAAAACTAATCTATAATTAATCTCATTTTATAATAGTTGAATCCACAAACTAATTGTGGATAATAAATGTTTTTGTATGTTTGTATGCTTTGAATTATTGTAAAATTGTTTACAAAATTTATACGCGAGCAAAGTTCAAGGTGTTTCACCTGTAACACAAATATTTAATTACGATGTATGATTAAAAGTCTGGTATTAAAGCAATAAATACCTAAATAATGTCTGTTAAACACGATTGTTCATATATCCTTCAATACGTTATGTTAATTTGTATTCACAGTTAGTAATTCAGTTGTAATTATCATTGTTTGTACGATCATGTAACCTTATTACTTAAAATTTTCGCTACTGAATGCATCAATTTTAATACTTAGTAAATTTTTGAGACTTTATTAACAATGTAAACATGGTAATTTAAAAGTATATTAATTTGTTTGTTTTTCTTGTGACGATTTGGGGTGTGTTTAATACTAATCGTACATATAATTTCACCTTCAACGGCTAGACATCCATTGAAGTTAATAATACAGAATATTAAAATTTATTGCAATCGTTTGGAATTTCGCGCATTCCGCAACTGCACGTGTTCGTTCAATTCGGTAATTACACCGCGAGGAAATTCGAATAAGCGCAAACATTAATGACGTCCTGTCGTGCTCAAATTGTTACCGCTTGATCGGATCACGGATCACAGTCAAAGGTTAGCCATTATTAGAACAATAAATTTGGACTTATACAGAATGTAATCAGAAATCGAGTGGTTGCTACTACGCGAGTTGTGGTATGAGTGGTACGCTATTTTTTCTACTTTCACTTTATTTCAGTCTTTAGGTTTTTGTATTTTAGCATTGAACTTTGTTAGCTCACTACTTGGAAATGTAAGGTTATAAATACATAGAAGTTTTAGTCACGACTTTTGCCGTCCGTGATTAAAGTGCCACTTTTCGTGTCTCGAAATCGTGCAAAAAGTGGTGCTTTAACCCTTTAAGTAGAAAAAGGTTATGTATCTGCGTACTACGTGGAATTTTCTGGTCGTAAATATGGTACGCAAGCAAAAGTTCATATTAAAATAAAAATGTAAGTTTCATTACCTGTCGGGCTTTGTATATAATCAATAGGTGTTGATATTGCATATGAAAGTGTTTATACCGTGCAGGCGCATGCACGAGTAGTAGTAGTAGTGGTTATTCATTCATCAATTTCGTCCTTTGTAAATCACGCACGCGGACGCTGACACTTCACGCGTTTTGCGCTGACGCCTCTCACTGCTGGGTCCAAAGTCCAATTACACCAACATTACTGTAATTTTTTTCAATTGCGAATTTTTACCGTAAACATACTTCAAGGAACCAAAGTGTTTATTATGTATTAATTTGTTTGTTTGTTTTTCTTTTAGTGGTTTGGGTGTTTTGGGTGGTTTTGAGTAGTGTAAAATGTACTAATATTATTATGTAGTAATTTGTGATAATTTACGTGTGCCTTTTGTGTTTGTGCATTTCAGACGTAATTGTTGCTGATTGTGGTGGTGGTTGTCTTGCTCATAACGACTAATCACACAGCGAGAGATCGTCAACTGTTTGTGTTTGCTACTGGTGGTGGTGGTGGTGTTGCAATTTGGGTTGTGCTTTTGGTAACAATAATCGTCATAAAACGTATTTTCGTTAAATTTTCTGCGAGCAGAATGATTGACGACAAAGCGTGAGTAATGTTGTTTTATTTCATAGATTTGTTGCTCAACATCTTCAACTTTTAATGATTTAATTTTATTCTATTTTAATTTCGCTGAAATCCGTGTGTTATCTCGCTTATAAGAAATGATTCATGTTTGTAGTGAGTAGCATGTTTGGATTTTGAACTCAATGCATCATATTGCTTGCATGAACACGAAACAAAACGCCGCTTGTTGTCTAGTCTACAGTCTAACAATTCTAACATTTATAATTCAATAACTATTATTAACTACGATACTAAAACTGCTAGGGATCAAATATTAATGTGTTGATTGCCACTTGTTGATCAGAATGCAGAAGTTGGGTCAATAGATGTATTCAATTACTAATAACTAAAAAAATTCATTATTCTGTAATATGCTATTATCCTATACTAATATGACAATTGCGAATGTAACTTTGATTGTATAATTGTTACGCTTTTTGGTAAATTTTGAAATGAGGTACTTTTGGTCGAAAGAAAAACAAATGTGCCAAAAGGTACTTGAAAGGTAAGAAATAAGGGATGAAAGTTGGTTTGTTCCATTAGAGTTATTGGCGGGTTCGGCACAGATTATATTTAAGAAACACAAAAAGTAATTACTGCTGCTTTTTTTTAAATTTTGGCTTTTTATTAAACACGTTTATAAATTAACACCAATCTTTATAAATTGTTTAGAATATTCTATTCAGCCAAATCAACATGTATGTAAATCTATCATACAATTTCGAATGTAGCTATTTATAACAAAATAATTTTAGTACACAGTAATTTTCCGGTAATTAATTACCTACGGAATTGTTCTAGATAATTCATAATGGTTTTTCCACAAATTAAAAAGCCGATTATTATTAATTCGCAAAATCATGACGAGAACTGAACTACTCCGGTTTCAATTAATTTCACTGATAGATAACGGACGTAAATGTTAACCGAAAACAATGATAAAACCTTTTTCTTTAGTTATTCGATGACCTATGCATTGGTATCAGAAATTTAAATTCAATGAACCGGGCGTTATGCAATCCTATCTCCCGTAGTGATTGATTATTGTAATAAACTAATCAAACAGTTCAAATTTCATATATCGCCGAGATAATGCATGTGTTGGGAACTTTGACACTGTGTTTGAATCTACTAGTGCTGATACACGGTTGAAAACGGATTAGTATCGAACTTGGTTTCATTTATCGCCACATAAAATCGATAACGAGACGTTTCATAACTCTTATAAAGTGATAATCAAATAGTGTCGATTTAGTTACGGCTTGTTTTTTGGGCCGGAGTGATACGTGATAAGTGATTTTCCAGGTTTATTGAGGTTTTATTAGTTTAAATCCAAACCAGTTTATTGAAATTCTAATAAAAATGTCACTGAACGCAGTAAGGTATGATAATCTATTTAATTAAAATTCACTATATATAAATGTTACGTTGTGCAATAATTAAATTTTAACCTGGCAAAGAAATGGCGACCGTCTCAAGGTTGAATTGTGGAAGAGCATTTTTTGCACCAACGTACGCAAATCGTGAACTTGAAGCTGGCCGTATGACGATCATTTTACGAATGAAAAAATAGTTTTTATCGTATTAAATTATTAAAACCAGTTTTAATTAAAATCTAAAATAAGCTTGGTGTTAGTGGTTTTGAGACTTTATTTTGGCGTATTTTGCATTTTTTATTCAATATAAACAACATGTGACCTCAACCAGTTGAATTTATATTTATGTAATACAGGTTGAGACTAATTAGTCGGCGTTTATGTTTTATTGCACGTTTGATGTCGCGAAAAAAGTACACCTACCCACAATTTCTCTATTTTAATCAAAACACTGTTTTTACTTCTACTATATCGTCTATATCTGTTTTTACTTGCTTATTTTTGTATTACCTATCAACACGAACATCGGAAAGACGAATGCTTATCGCTCCGTGCACTATGCAGATAGCTACAAATGATAACCGACCAGAAATACCCGCGTGAACGTGAACCATCGGCCAAAGACCACACAAAATGCATCACATAAAACGTGCTTGACGATAGTATAGCCGCATTCGGTTCGTGGCCGTCCACGTTTTCTCATCTTCATAGTTTCTCACCAAGCCGTTCGGAATTCTTATGTGTATTGCAAGTTTTGTGTCTTGTTTTAATTGAAAGTTTTTAAGTGGTCACGGTTTTTTTATAGCTATATAAGTTTTAAACGTTTTAATTTATTTAGAAAGTAAAAAGTTGAAGAGTTTTTAGCACAAAATGTATTTAGGGTAAGAATAAATTTGTATGTCTCCAGTTCTTATTAACGTATGCGGTGTCAGTATTTATATTCTTATTATTTTTATATTATGAAGACTGAATGTATTAAATTATTAATTTTTTGTTATTTGTTATAGGGATATGGATGGAATCGGCGTTCAGTTAGCCGTCGGGGCGTTCAAAGCAATTGCCCTCGTGTACGACATACTCACATTCCCCGTTTATCTAATCTTGCAACAACCATGGCGGACGAGGCAACTTTCGCGAAGACCAAAGGTAAATCTAGAAATCATCCGGTACCTTCAATCACAATTATTTCAGTATTTCTAGTTCAAGTATAATTTTTCTAGCAAAACTTTAATTACATCCCTCATGCATAATTAACAGAATCCGATACACTGGTATAAAAATTCATAATTTTACAAAATAACATTTACATTTTTAAATACTCAAATAATAACAATTAAAAATACACTCGAAATGCTTTCACTGTAAATCAAGGCAAAATAATCTGTTAACTTGTACCTATACATATCGCGACTGTAGAATTATGCACTTCATCAGCACACCTGATTGTCATCTATTTGCCCATCAGCACATTGCAACATTCTTGTTCACATCCCAAAAAAGCATGTTTGTTTGTCTCGCCAAACACCAGTTTAATTTTTTGTACTCGTCATTGTTCAATGTATGATTGATTGACATCCTAATTAACGTAATCAATTAAAATGTTGTGACCTGGTCCTTGAAAACAGTTGCATCACTTGATTCTTATTCGTTTTTGAAGTTTACGTCGATTGTTGATTCGGTTGTAATCTGCTGGTGTTGGTGTCGCACTGGTTGGTGTCTGTCGTCTTTTAGGGTTTAACTTTAACACGAATGTTTTATGGTAGCGGGCAACTTCGCATACAGAATTAATAGGGTTCTTACCAGTTAGGGCATATACTGAAACAAACATTAACATTCTCGAATATTTAGTTCATAAGTCAGTTTTCTTCTTCTGTAGCTCTTACGTTGACGCGTATTGCGTATTGTTTTTAGGCTTTTATCGTGGCAACCAAGTCAGATGCCGACATTAAGAATACCGATGTTAGCCTCGATATTGGAACGGATAAACATAAAAATCACAAGGTATTATACTGTGCATCCTATTTTAATCGTATGCAATTGTTGCAAGCATACAAACATAAATATATATCATAAAACGATGACAACGGATATGAATTACTCAAATATCCCGTGGTAATGAGACACTGGACTGCTTCGTTCGACATACAACTTCCAGATTGCAGAATGTGATGCTTAAACATGAGAAAAAGACACCGCGAACTAACTCGTAACAAATTTGTTTTTCATGCGTCTTTTGAATGTTTATTACTCCACACCCTCGCCTACCAGCATTTATTATCATTTATATCTGGTTAACAATTGGCATGCTTCAAATTTTGTAGTGCGCGTTTTAAATTCCATTATTACATGTGTTTTGTATGAACTATTGAATAATATGTATTATTGTAGGCTGTGAAAGTATCGGAGACCACGCGGAGCATCACATGGCGATCGTTGGACGAGCCGCAACGAATCCACGTGGAGATTGTTCGTGAGAACATCACCACGATGGCGAACATGTTGGAGTATGTCGCCAAGAAGTACGCCAACAAGCGGTGTTTGGGTACCAGAGAGATTAAAGGTGAAGAGGATGAAGTTCAACCTAATGGTCGTGTTTTCAAAAAGGTAATACTTTTTAAATGATGTTGGCGCAATAATTACTAACCTACTACTAATTTTATAGTACGTCATGGGAAACTATAACTGGAAAACATATTCTGAAGTCAATACTCTGGCTACTCACTTTGGCAAAGGATTACGCGAGTTAGGCAACCTACCCAAGCAAAATGTCGTTATCTTCGCCGAGACTAGAGCCGAATGGATGATTGCCGCACACGGATTATTTAAGCAAAACATTCCAGTCGTCACTATCTATGCTACTCTTGGAGATGAAGCCATCGCTCACGGTATTAACGAAACCGAAGTCACAACAGTCATCACCAGCTACGACCTGATGCCAAAGTTCAAGAAGATTCTGGATTTGACACCCAAAGTTAAGACTCTCATCTACATGGAAGACCAACTGAAAAACTTGACCATTCTGAGTACGAGAAAAAGGACGCGATATCCAGGTTGTTAAATATCAGGATGTAATTGATCTAGGCTCAAAGTCTAAATTCGATAACAGTATGCCAGCTCCTGATGATGTGTCAATTATCATGTACACTAGTGGTTCCACTGGTGTCCCCAAAGGTGTTATTATTGGCCATACCAACTTGATTGCCACCATTAAGGCTTTCTGCGATAATACTTACATCTATGATGATGATTGTCTCATTGGATTCTTGCCGCTTGCTCACGTCTTTGAACTTCTGGTAGAGTCGGTGTGTTTGTGTGCTGGTGTCTCGATTGGTTATTCCAGTGCTCTCACAATGGTGGACAGCTCCAGTAAGATCAAGAAAGGCACTAAGGGTGACGCTTCGGTGTTGTGTCCTACAGTCATGACCGGTGTACCAGTAAGTTACGCAATATTCTTATTTGAATTTCTTGGTACTAACTGTTTATCACATTACAGCTTATTTTGGATCGAATTTCCAAGAATATCCAGGAGAAGGTATCGAAAGGTTCGTCTTTCGCTAAAGTCCTCTTCAAATTTGCATACGAATACAAACAACAGTGGAAGCGCCGTGGATACACCACCCCTCTGATTGATAAAATTGTCTTCAGTAAAGTTACTTCTCTGCTCGGTGGCCGCATGCGCTTGATCCTCTCAGGCGGTGCTCCGTTGTCTCCTGATACACATGAACAGATTCAACTTTGCTTGTGCTTGAAGGTAATTCAAGGTTACGGCTTAACTGAGAGTACCTCGTGTGCCACTATCATGGACCATGACGATATGGTCTTTGGTCGTGTTGGTCATGCCACAACAGCTTGTGACATCAGGCTTGTCAATTGGGAAGAAGGCAACTATCGCGTCACTGACAAACCATACCCGCGCGGAGAAGTTCTCATCGGTGGTGAAAATATCAGCTGTGGTTATTACAAACTGCCTGAGAAGTCCAAGGAAGATTTTGTTGAAGAAGATGGCAAGAGATGGTTCAAGACTGGCGACATTGCTGAAGTTCACGCTGATGGTGTTGTTAAGGTTATCGACCGCAAGAAAGACTTGGTAAAACTGCAGGCTGGCGAATATGTATCGCTTGGTAAAGTGGAAGCTGAGTTGAAGACTTGTCCATTTGTTGACAACATCTGCGTTTATGGCGACTCCAACAAACAATACTGCGTGGCGTTAGTTGTTCCTAACCAGAGCATGCTCAATGATTTGGCACAGAAGAAGGGCATCTCTGGAGATTTTGAAGAATTGTGTTCCAAGCCAGAAATTGAAAAAGCTCTTCAGCAGGAAATTGCTGAACACGGCAAGAAATGTAAGTTGATTAAATTTTAATTTTTTGAGACTAATTAAATGCAACTTAATATATTTTATTAGGCAAATTGGACAAGATCGAAATTCCTGGTGCAGTTAAACTCGTCAAAGAAGTGTGGTCTCCGGATATGGGGCTCGTAACCGCCGCCTTCAAACTGAAGCGAAAGGACATTCAGGCGCGCTATCAGAACGAGATTAATCGGATGTATGCTTCTTGAAAGTGAAGGAAACCTTAAATGTTGATTTAGTTCGTAGGGCACGTGATATTCCAATTTATTACTATTATTACTTTAAAAAATCAAAACCATGCTTGAGTGAGTTAATTATGAGATTAATTGTCACTTTTGTCTCTAAATGTACGATAACGATACAAAAATGAGGTGAAAAGTGACTACAAACATTAAGAAATGCAAAACTCTTAGGAGAATTTTTCAACAAACTTAAATCTTTAAGTTTTGCAGTGTAAATTTACAATTGTGAACGTTTCATTTATGCTAACACGAAAAGTGTACATCACATATGTACACCAGAGACTGCACGAACGAAGACCAAAAAGGCATTCGCAAACAAAACTAACTCCCAAGTTAAATTTTCAAGTAGCCAATACCCGAGCAAAGCAAAGTATTATAATCGGCAGCGTAGTTATCATAAACATGACCTTGGAGATTGATTGCTACTAATAATTGCACTTAGAAAAGTGACTGTAATATATATTGTAAATACAATTACGGGGCTGAGCATTTGGCACGTCAATGAAGTCTGCCATTTTGATTTCTTGCATTTATACGATTACATCACATTTTTACAATGGTTTTTCCCTGCGGGCTTTTATTATTGCCTAATTGTGAAATATTTATTTATTTAAGGGGGCACGAACGAAAGTAAATCATGGCGTTATGTGCGTGCAATGGGTTTAGATATACGATTACTGAAGTTGTGTTGGCGAATTCAGGAGTTTAGTGGGAAGATTCTTACTATTGTAATTACAATTGAAGTAATTTATATTTCGTAGTATTTGTTGTAAAGTTACAATAAGCAAAGAAAACAAAATGTTTGTATAATAAATTTTATGAATTTTACTTACCTTCTGGTGTGTGAATTTGAAATCTTCATGAAACAGTTGAACATCTTGGCGTAGTCATGACAACGCTGTTTTGAAAGGCATGGCCCGCTTGTGTATTCGGTGCAATATCATCTTATGTCTGTAGTCTGTCAAAAATTGTTTAATGCGACCATTTCGTTTTTACCAAGTTATAACAATTGCTGTAAAGTGGTGCGATGCGGCTCAGAGTCTGCGTAATTGATTCGATTTGATTCAATGAACCATATTTATATGATTTCTACGGCATACCGCACTTCTAAGCACCGCGTGCAAATGGAACAACGTATTCAACGCGTGTTGATATTCATATTGCGCATTGTCGCATTTGTCTTCGATTTGCTGACATTACCGGTGTATTTCGTACTGCAGAAACCATGGTGGATTCGTCATCGATCCAAGCAACCAAAGGTAAAATAAACACTTTAATTTACTTTATTTACTTTGTATATGTTGAAAAAGGGAAAAATTGTGGCCCAAGAAAATACTTATATCACCTACCGCGCAACGTCTATTCCACAAAAAATGCACGTAGAGCTACTGCGTGAGAAAATATATACTATGGCTGAAATGATGGTGTTCTACTCAAATAAGTACGCGGACAAACGTTGTTTAGGATATAGAGACTTGCTGGAAGAATCGTCTGAAGTTCAAGGCACTGGCAAAGTTTTTATTAAGGTACCACTTGTACTATGCTTTTGTTTTCGGTTAATACTTCAAGTGTTTTTGTACTAGAATAAATTTGGGGAGTACATTTGGAAAACGTACGCGCAAGTAAACGTCCTTGCTACTTCCTTTGGTCTTGGTCTTCGTGAACTTGGCAATAAAGCAGGACAAAATGTAGCAATTTTTTCGGAAACTCGGCCGGAGTGGATGATTGCTGCACAAGGACTTTTCAAACAAAGCATGCCAAGTATTTTCCCAACTTCTTAACACGTATTAGCAATACTAGTATTTAAATATTCCAGTTGTGACGATTTATGCTAACCTTGGAGAAGAAGGCATTATTCATGCACTAAATGAAACTAAAGTTACCATCGTAATTACAAGTCATGAATTACTACCAAAACTGAAAAATATGTTTAAAAAATTACCGTTGTTGGATACAATCATTTATATCGAACACAAATTACTAGGAAATGAACCGCAAAATAACCTCGGCTGTGGTAAACTGCGCGTTTTGAAGTTTAGAGATGTTTTAAAACTCGGATCGATATCGAATGCAAGTAGGGAAAGGTTTGTGAAAGTTTTTCGAAACTTGTAATTACGTTTCTGTGTTGTCAGCCAACCAATTTCCAACTGCATCCTCTACCGCAATAATAATGTACACCAGCGGATCTACAGGCATTCCGAAAGGGGTAATACTGAAGCATTCCAACTTGTTAGCAACTTTACGCGGATTTACTGATTCAGCCCATTCGTTTGAACTGAATCAGTCTGATGTGCTTATTGGTTTTTTACCACTGGCGCACGTATTTGAGCTAATTGTGGAGTGTGTTTGCCTTTGCTCTGGTATTGCTATTGGGTACTCTAGCCCTTTTACGTTGATAGACTCTTCCACTAAGATTAAAGAAGGGAGCCGTGGGGATGCGCCAGTATTACATCCAACCATCATGACAGCAGTGCCTGTAATTATATATTTTATTCCTGTTACTTACAAACATAGTAATACTATGAATTTGTTTTTAATAGTTAATCTTAGACAGAATCTCAAAAGGTATTGTCGACAAAGTATCTAAAACGAATATCCTTGGACGCATCTTATTTATATTTGCTTATGAATACAAAAAGTTTTGGTGGTACAAAGGATATGACACACCTATAATCAATCGGTAAGTATTAAAAATTAATTTATTTGAATGTTACTAACAGTTACGTCGTTTCCATCCAGGGTGGTATTTCGCAGGATAACGAACATTCTTGGAGGTAAAGTACGACTAATTTTATCTGGTGGTGCTCCCCTAGCTCCAGAAACCCACGAACGCATCCAGTTGTGTCTTTGTGCTAGAGTGGTACAAGGATATGGTTTAACCGAAACCACTTCCTGCGCAACCGTAATGGACGGTCATGATCGTACAATAGGTCGAGTGGGTCCCCCAACAACGATTTGTGACATTAGATTGCAAAATTGTGACGAAGAAGGTTTCAGCATCAAGGACAAGCCTTTTCCACAAGGAGAAATAATTGTCGGCGGTGACAATGTAAGCGCTGGATACTATGCTCTGGAAAAGCAAACCAAAGAGGATTTCTTTGATGAAAATGGCACACGTTGGTTTAAAACTGGAGACGTTGGACAAGCTCATGCTGATGGCGTCATTATGATAATCGACAGGAAAAAGGATTTGGTTAAGTTGCAAACAGGAGAATACCTTTCATTAGGCAAGGTTGAAATGGAGCTAAAGTTATTTCCACTGGTGGACAATGTTTGTGTTTGTGTGCAACTTCTCGGTGATAATTGCGTTGCATTGATTGCACCGAATGAAGCTGAGCTCAATAAATTCGCCGCCAAATTGAACTTCTCTCGTCGATTTCCGGACGTGTGTGATGATCCGGAATTTATCAGCGCAGTTCATAAAAAGATAATTGAACACGCAAAAACCCGTAAGTTGGTTTGTTATGTTTGGTTAGTTGATTTTCCTATAACTGTATGCATTTTTATAGGCAAATTGGAAAAGTTTGAGATACCAGTGAATATACAAGTTTGTAAAGAAAGTTGGACACCAGACAATGGCCTAGTGACGGCTGCATACAAAATACGTCGTAAAGAGATCCTAAAATATTATAAAACTGACATAGAAAAATTGTTCGCAGTAAATAAAGCAGAGCAGTGACAATTAGTATGTTAATTGTATAGTAATTGTTTTGTACATTTAAATAAAGTAGGTAAAATAAAATATGTTCTTGTCATAAAAGTTGCCTATAGCTAAAATTATTTATGGTTGCTTGGTCAGTTATCTTGAAATGAAACTCTGTATTATTAATCTATTTAAAATTCTAATTATAAATAATTATAATTTTGCAAGAAATGCGGAAAATGAATAGTTAATGAATAAAATATGAAATGATAATGTGACTTGTAAAAGATCCACGCGCGACTCGACCCCCACGACCCGCGGAGAACAACGCGTTGTTCAAAAACGCGCATGCGCGTTACGCATCAAAATATTAAAAACAAAATGGTTTCCCGCACAATAGCGTAATATGTGTTTATGTTACGTTTTCACCGAAAAATGCTGTGGAACGCACGCCCGCGAGCTCGTAACTAGCATCTACAGCGCCTGAGCACCTAGGTAATTATGTGCCAAGTGGCGTAGCGGCGGCCCGCTGGACGTGTAATCACTTTTCTGCAGTGCTTACGCAAAGGACGCCGCGGGCGCACTTTTTCCCTCGTAAAAGAGCTGTGCCGCGCGAGAACGCCGCCCGTGCCGTCGACGCCGAGTGGCGAGTGCACCCCAATGCACGTATGACGCCAATCTACCGACGGTGAGGAGAGGATGGCAATTGTGATGGTGGCAGCTAGTGGTGCCTTCAAACTGTTTGCATGGACAGTGCCAATGTGGCTTCGGATAATGCATTCCAGAAGCACGAGACGAGGCTGGTGCATTTGCTAGTGCCGCTGGACGCCACCGCTTCTGCGTGACATTATGAAGGACATGGTAGGAAGCTGTTGTGTTTGTTCTGATGACAGAGGATGGCCTGAGAATCCACTTGTGTATTGCGATGGACAATCATGTACTGTAGCTGTACACCAAGGTAGGAAATTCCTGTCACTTTATTTATGTTAATTTATTGCTTCCCCAAAATGACAGTCAAAATTTACCAAGCAGTCTGCCAGTTACCAGCTATAAAACTAAAATCTGCCTGTAATTCATTGCAATATTTATAAACTTACATTCAAAGCAAACCAATAGGAGATTCTGACATTTGTCATACAGAGTGATGCAGTTGAGGTGTTATTCAAAAAATTGTTTTCGCATACGAATTCGTAACAAACCCTGTTTGATAATTGGTTTTAAATAATTAAAAGTGCTAGGATATTTACAGTTTATTTGAAGTTTATCCACTTTGTATAAAAAATTTACCCTTGCATTATCTCTTAAACGTCTCACAATTCTTCGGTATTTGCTTGCCGGAGGCCGGCGGTTGCCGTGTACGTGACCCGTGCGGTGCTTACCTTTGCCAAACACTTTCAGGTAGAAAAGCCCCTTCTTATTATCCCACTTTTATAAGTTTCGGCGACGTATCATAATATCATCACTCCGCTAGCGCTAGTGGAGTTTTCAGAATGTACACTGCTCACATTTTTTATACCTACTCTTTCACGTGAACAATCTACACCATGCGGTTTCGTGCAGCTCTTTAAAACTTATCAACTTTTACTCATTTTTGTGTTAAACGTGTTGTAACTGTATAACTCTGTTTTGTGTAGTTTTGTAATTGCCATTTGTGGTTTAATACTTCTTAAACGATCAAAAAATTAGTTCAAATTTCGAATGCATTTTCAGCATGTTATGGTATTGTAACTGTGCCTACCGGACCATGGTATTGTCGCAAATGTGAGAGTCAAGAAAGGAGTGTAAAAGTGGTAAGTGTCGATTTATCATCAAAGAAGAAACAGCATTTATGATACTTGCTTTTGTTTTAGAAATGTGAGTTGTGTCCAAGTAAATACGGTGCATTAAAGCGAACAGATAATTCAGGATGGGCTCACGTGGTGTGTGCGTTGTACATTCCGGAGGTCCGCTTCGGAAATGTGACCACTATGGAACCGATTCAATTACAGCTGATTCCTCAGGAACGCTTCAGTAAAGTACGTGTATTATTATTGTTACAAAACGTATATAATTTTCTAATGAATAATATATTATAGGTGTGCTATATATGTGAACAAAACGGAAAACCCTCCAGCGCCAGCGTCGGCGCATGTATGCAATGCAACAAATCGGGTTGTAAGCAACAATTTCATGTCACGTGCGCACAGAGTTTAGGTCTGCTGTGTGAAGAAGCTGGCAACTATTTAGATAACGTCAAGTACTGCGGATACTGCCAACATCATTACAGTAAACTTGTAAGTTTGTTGTCGTTTTTTTTCTTTATATCAGAAAGAGTTTTGCTTATATCGCTGATGCGGCATTTTTGTATTGAATTTCAGAAGAAAGGAGGAAATGTAAAAACGATACCACCTTATAAACCAATCTCAAACGAGAACCAGGCATCAGACTCAAGTTCAGAAAAGGAAACCGATAATAAGTCCTCTTCGCTGGGGAAACGCAAGTCGTCGGTCGGGAGCAAATCGGCGTTGAACAAAGTGCCAACTAGTACGAAGACAACTTCGTCCTCAACCTCTTCATCGTCGTATTCTAAGAGCAGCACGAGCTCATCGTCTACCACCAGCAACAGCAATTCAAAAAGCGATAAAACTAAATCGAGCTCTAGTGTAAAGAGCAGTACGAAAGAAGAAGGAAATACATACGATTCGAACGACGTTAAAACTGAATCAAAGAGGGAAGAAAAAGAAAGTGGAGACAAAGACAAGGACAAGGGTAAGAAGCGCAAAGCACATTCACGTACGCCTACTCCAAGTCTAGTCACAGAAACAGAAAACTCGACAGTTACGAAAAAAGAATCAAGCACAAGTGATCCAAGTGTGCTGGATCAGAAGAAAAAGTTGAAAATATCCGTGCCTGTTGCAGATAGGCAGATAGAACAGCCGTTATCCGTGACTACATCAAGCTCCACAGTTGTTCAGCCAAACACTGCCACAAATAGTGGTCCTCCTACGATCACTGCCATTCAGTCTCCACAGTCACTGCCTACTCCACCACCGAGTACTTCACATTCAATCATACAATCAGCGCCACCACCACCACCACCGCAACTTAACTCTGTAGTTGTTAGTGTTCCCTTGCACAACACAACATTATCTCCAAGTCCACGTCCTAACGCAATAACTGCCACTGCTAATATTCCTTTACCTGAGGAAAAGAAACCGCCGTCGCCAGTCGTTGTTACTAAGTCAAGCACGCCTGAAATCATTGCACCAGCCAAGATGATTACTTCAGAGTTAAGTAGTACTGGTCTTAAGATAACGTTTGAGAAACAAACCATCAACACGTTGCCCGTTGAAGATCACATTGATGCCGATGAACCTATAAAACGTTCTAGGTCGCAATCTTCTGAAAAGACTGAGAAATCTAAATCGAAAAAACGCGGATCTAATGGATTGATGCAAGGAGTGAGCACGATGACCATTAAGAAGACTGGAAAGTCATCCCAGTCAGTGTCACAAAATAGCACAACCACTTTTGTCAATCTGGCACAAAATAGGGAGACAGTGAAAGACTCACCCCCGAGCAGTCCTAGTTCCGAGAGTTTAGGTGCTGCACCAACAACGACTGTGAAAAAGCGAGGCCGTAAAAGTAATGCTCAACTGGCGGCGCAAGCTGCCGCTGCAGCGCAGGCGGCTCAGGCTGCACAGGTTGCTCAAGCAGCACAAGCAGCTCAAGCCGTACAACAAGCGCAGCAAGCTGCGGCGGCACTTAACAGCAGTAAAGACTCCAAAGACAGTTTGAAATTGTTTCAAAATGGCGTCAATGCTCCGCATATGTTGGGTAATCAGTTGAACTTGAGTTCGAATATGGCGCATAAAATGACGGAGCATCTGAATTCGGAGTTGGAAGCGCACAGCATATTCAGTACGAACGATAATTCTAATTTGGTGGGTCCACCGCTTCAGCATCGAGTTATTGCATCTGTAAGTTAAGATATAGTTGTTCGGTTTGATTTTATAATTTTTCTGTTTCACTTGCAGGCAAGATCTAGCAGTGTTGGAGGTTCTAGTACAGCATCGGGGGGCAGTGGGCTTTCTTCAATGTTGGGCGGTTCTGGCACCATTCCACAAACGCTGGATCAACTCTTAGAGAGACAGTGGGAACAAGGGTCGCAATTTTTAATGGAGCAGGCCCAACATTTTGACAGTACGTGAACCGGATGAAGTGCAAAAGGGTACAATAACAGTTTCTTTCATTTTAGTTGCGTCGTTATTATCATGTTTACATCAATTGCGTGCGGAGAATCTCCGACTTGAAGAACATGTTAATTCATTATTACAGCGGCGAGATCATCTTTTAGCAGTTAACGCTCGGTTGGCAATACCTTTAACACCACCGGCCACACCACAATCAAATCATCCACATACAGGTTATACTGTTATTTATACCATGTTACTTAATGTACTAATAAATGTAATGTATATTGCAGTGAACAATATTCATCCCGCAGTGAGTCATTCAGAAGCATCACGACCACGACACAGCAGCGGCTACCCGCCTCACGTGCAGGGCGTCCCGCAGCACCCGCCGAGTATGGAGAATGGCATTGCGCCTGACGCGTATCCCCACGCACATCGCAGTCCTGCCGGCACCCAGCCGCCTCAACCCAGTCCTAGGTTAGACGTCTATAACGCAAGCAACGCTTACTAGTGCTTAACACATCACCTTCATTCTATGCTAAAAACGTTTCGAACCAGCCATCGCTAACAATCGCACCGTTGGGCGTCATTTCGGGGTGTTTGCTTTAACCGCTTCTCTTTCACAACAAATGCTGTCACATTCATTCTTCTATTTCGTATGGCATATAGCAATAGTGTACATACATAGTTCGATCACGACTTGCATCCAATTAATCAATCAATCGCATCGCTGGGCGGCCCGACGCGCTCGCTCGTCGTCGATCGCCGAGCGTTATTATCATGAATTTGACTTGTAGACAATCTTCTTCTGGTTACGCCAGCAGTGGATTTAATAGGCAGAGCATCGAGAGTGCGGCAGGTCGCGGCCAATCGGGCCATCGGTACAATACGAATCAGTACTATAATTCGGCAATGCAACTAGCCAATACGCAACAGCAACAGGTATAGCAAATTTACTTTTGACGGTACGAAAACAAATTGGCAATTCAAAAACAAGAACTACGCTTGTTGCTCAATAGTTTTTCAGCTTTTACTTTTCCACTTTTTAGCTAAACCCTCGTTTTTATGAAAACATTAATTTCTATTTTAGATGGTCATAAGGACGGATCATTCACACATCCCACACAAACCGGCGAACGGTTGAAGGTCTTTATTCATCTGACACGAACGACTGCTAATATCATCAAACTCACCAATCTCACTGACGGAGACACGCAACATTAACAACGAGTACAAAATGTAAATAAAAAAGCGCATCGACTGCAACTAGAAAAGCAATTAGTACTTAACATAGTCTTATACGGATAGGACAAACATACAAAATAAACAATTGTGAAGTGATTGATCTACGAAGTAAAAAATTGTTCTGGAGTGCATGAGAAGAGTCAAAGTGATTGTTTTATGAACTTTTAAAATGATACTAAATGAACTATTGCTTGGAGGTATAACGTGTGAATACTTGTGTAGAGGTCGATGGGTATGGAAAACGTTTAAGAAAACGTCTAGAGTGAATTAGCGTAGATGACGATTAGCTACATTTAGTACATAAGCTTCAGATCTCAGGGATGACTCTAGAAATTATGTGTTCTGTAATTGATAACGTTTTTAAATCGATTTTCATGTAAAATTTTATCATGTACACATTCAACTATCCGACTACAATTTGTTACAAGGACTGGGTTGACCACTTACGAGGGCAACTTTTGCACATTTTGCTCACTAAATAGTCGTAATGGTAGGACTATTTTCTGTTTCTACTTATTTGGCAAATTAACCAGTGATATGCAGGAGTTCAACAGTTCGAATTTGGTCGCTAATTCTTTGGAACAAAGTGTAGAGCTGGAAATGGTCACAAGAATGCGCCAGTATATTAGTTCCAGCAAGAACACATTGTTTTGCTAACAAATTGACACGAATTATTTTAATTCAATTTAGGTGCTTGTATATATATAGACATATATAGACTGTGTAGTCTATTGATTTTATTTTATGGTTATTCTTGGGTATATTTTAAAGAATTGAAAATGCGGAAAATAATACTTTATAAGATTGAAATTTGTGCTAAATTTACACGGAAATGTTTCTCCAAGAAGAATGATATTGGATATTTATTGATTTTAAAGTAAATATTAGGTTGAAAAAATATAATAAGGCTGATTTTTCGTATAAATAATTGAATTAATTGGATTTTAAGATTTAAAACTGGCATGCCCTTTATTCATATGTAATTAATTAATTGAATAAGTCCTAGTCAGACTTTAAAGTGTCTGTTTCTATATGTTATGCTTTCTATACTTATTTTCCAATCTCATTGAAGTTGGAATATTACTTTAGTTGATGGTATTGATGTACAAATATGAAATGACATAATTCATCGCGTTAATATTATTAGACAAGAGAATGATTGATTTTTGCAGATACTTTCCATTATTCCAAACCTTGTAAAATATTCACACGCCTCTTTTGTAAAGTACATATGTAATTTATGCAGGCTTCAAATATTCAAGCATGTATCAAATTGCACTACTGCTATGAGAAAGTACTAATTCAACGTCGAAATTGTATATTTTTGAGATTTTTTCTACTTTTATACATAATTGTAATAACAAAGACGCAGCCTGCATTGGTAAAGTTGTAATCAAATTATATATTTCTGTGGATAATGTGAACGAAACTTTAATTTAGGCGCTAATTGTATAAAAAGTATTGTAGAGTTAAACTTAAACGAAGATAGATTTTGCGTAAAATGGTAAATAATTTAAACGATCGAGGTTTGCAAATAAAATTATGATTATTGTATCGAATTAAGTGAGTAGAGGACAGACGAAACGTAATGAAATAGTCTTAGGCAGATGCAGTTACATTTGGACGTGGCAAATAAACGAAATTGACTGAGTGTTCCTTTAATAAGTTGGTATTTGAACGCGATTCGTAACGTAACGGATATTGTAGACAAATATTGTGTTCTTTGTATATTTTATTATACATTTTTGTTTTATTTTTATTATTAAATATTTTTGTTTTAGTTTTTACAAAAATAATAACTAATTCTATAGTATTAGATCCAATCATTGTAATTATTGTAATATTAATGTAAATACTGGCGCTACCGTCATTTCTTTTTGTATTTGACTTTTCATTTACAGGTAAATTGAATATTGTAGCATGACTGGCATTTCTTTGGGCATACAATCTTCACGTAGCGCGCAAAGTTTTAAATTCAGTTCCACAAATTAACCTGTTTTTCCATGTTATAGTGTTTGGGATAAGACCGGTGAAAGGAACAAAAATTTTTACTTCAATTTTACTCTTTAAAAAATACCAATATCTTCAGGGCCCAACTTAAAAAGCTTGAAATGGGTACTCGGTGATTCACTGCGTGTTATTTTGCATGAACAAATGCAAACGAGATTTTCTCCTGTTTCTACAGAAAGGAGTAAATATAGGAAACCAGTAACTGGACCTATTTCTGTCTCGAACCTTTCGCCCCGGTTTTTCTTAGTAAAATTGACTGCACAGCATATTTGAGTTTTGAACAACTTATTTTTATGTTTTAAGTAGCTTGCTCCGTATATTTTTTAATGATAAGGATCGGAATTCTTTTTGGTTTAGGTCTTTTTAGTTTTGGAGTTATTACCCTCAAAAACGTTCAATAACGATGATCTCAGTTACCAAAAACGTTCGACAGTAAAGTTCTTTAAATTTAAAATCCATATTCATTTAGTATCCTGTATCTCACCTGTTTTTGTGCAACTGGCCAATATGGTATATAATAATTAATTGAAAGATTCCATTCTATAATGATCAAATCTTAAAAAAAAATAAAAGAATTGAAATTCAAATTTTAAATTTCTATTGGCAGATGCGAACCTGGTGTATTAAATCTCTCATTTTTGGTTACACTCTACTCCAAAAGTTGATTTGTTTTTATTTTGTTCATCTGTTGGATTTTCAGAAGTCAATCAAGTTTGACAGAAAAAAAACACCTGATTAGTTTTTTTTTCTCAAAATTAACTTTTGAGCCCATAGCATCAAAATTAATGAAAATGTGCACTGAAATCAAATCTACTTAAATAAAACCACAACTTGGATCCGTACATTTTCTCAGGTACACCAGATATTTACAATTTTGTGTAATGTTTTTTTTTCAAATCTGATGGGAACTTTCAAATAAATTGTGACGTCTCCGACACGAGGTGGACCAATTTAAAAAAAAAGAGGCAAATACCCAATTAAAATGTGCATTTACATGGTACAAGACCTAGTAAAATTTTACTCCTCATCTTAAAAGTTATCTGGTAAAATTTTAGCTCTTCTTACTAAACCCTTTGGAAATAAAATATCTGAGACGACTTCCTTTTTGTTTAGCTTACTGTATCAATACCTACTCGCAATTTACTTAATACTACTGATTGCTATAAGGTATAGCTGCCCGTCTCTTAGTAAAATATCAATCATCAACATTATTATCAGTCGTAAAAACTAATGAAAAACTACAAATTCTTATGAATTATTGTGTAATCACCGAAACGAAACAAAATTTTTAATGATATTTAAATTTTAGTAAATATCGTCTAATTAAGCCATTAAACTAAGAGTTTGATAGTTTAAAGAAAATGAAAACTCAGTTCATTTGCCTAACATACAAAATTATCTGACATCACCCTGTAATGAATTGCTAACCTCGATCGCCGAGAAAAGTTGTTGCGTTTTGATCGTGTTGAATGAAGTTCGATATGGCAGTTGCTCTCCCAGAGTTTTCCGATTGGCTTGGAAATAAATTAAAAGATTTAAATACAGACGAAAATGTCTTTGGAGATTATATCACGGGAATTTTGGATGGAGATGAGACAACAGATGAGAAGAACGAAGCACTACAAGACTTGCTCGGTGAAATAGTCGAAGACGTAAGCTACAAATGATTTAAACATCTATAAATAAACGCACATTTGATGTCAATAAACCCACATTTTATATTCTGCTTTGTAGCAAAGTATTAATGACCTATGCACCGAAATAATGAGTATGTACATACAATTTCAAGATAAAAAAGCAGACATGATGGCAGCTAAGAGTAAACCAATTGAAGTTGACATCAAACTAAAAGAGCTAGCTGATCAGCATTGCTTGCCAACTAAACCAAAAAAATACACTGAGGAGGAGAAGAAGATCAAAGAGGCTATTCTAGCACAATATAGTCAAATGTCAGATGATGAAGATGCTGAGGGTGAGGGTGAATCCTCATCATCTGCTATGCAAAAAAATACAAATGCCTATAATGTTGCACAAGCTGAGAAAGAGAAGCGGGAAATATCGCGTCTGGAATCACAAAAGAAAAAAGAAAAGGATAAAGAAGACAGGTTAGTATTTTTTAAATTGGTGTCATTTCTGCTTGCTCACTTTTTCTGTTTTTAGGGAGAAGCAAAAGCAAATGCGGGAAGAAAAGAAAGAGAAACGTAAAACTCAAAAAGGGGAAAGAAGGAGATAGCATGTTGAGTAAGTTGGTATTTATATTCATCAAATCAATTTTCTCTGTTTGTAAATGAAATTGTTTTCTGAAGCCACAAATTTGAAAATTTACATATGTTATGACACAATATACTATACATTTGTGATAAATTTGTGCAATTTCTTGCTTTCAAATCCAAAATCTCAGTTTCATAGAACCAAATATTGGGGTTTTATTCATATTTCAAGATTGTAGTCAACATAGTAAAAAGTTTGTAGAATTTCAGCAGCACAACGGTGGAATGGTATTATTCCCTCCTGGTTAAATCAGTTGTCAATTTTCAACCTAACATTACTAATCATAAAATCACAAAAAATAAATGAAACAATATTTTGTAAACAAATTTATTTCTTAAAATATGTCTATATATATAATATATATCGTATATTAATTTTTTACAATTGTAATCACTTGAGATACATAAAAACTACCATGCGTACACATTTATTGGTTGATCGCTCGTTAACACGTTCATAAAATTAATCAGTACTAACAAAGACAAATTATACTAAACTCTAATTTAAGAGACACTGGACATTTACTCTAAAATAATTCGAAGACTCTTAAATACGGAAGAATGTCAAAACGTGAGTCAGTTACAAACAAGAGAAAACGTGCATATCGAGTCGATTCGATAAAATCAGTCAGATCCATAATAAATGCAATAAATGCAAATCTTTTTCATAATATTGCATCCGTTATACAAATAGGGGACACACAACTTAGGTTTAACAAGATAATGATATGGCAGTATGTGTAATTTTACAACAATAACATCGTTATTTTAATCTTACGCATGCAACTGCTGTGTTTGAAGGTACAATCATGATTTTTCGCATTGACACGTAATAATAGCCAGTCAAAGTCGAATTTGCCCAAATGCAATAAAACCCTGTAAGACTTAGTTAATTTACACATGAATTACTAGTGCAATATGCAATTTATTGCGAATGGTGTGTGCGTCAAAAATTTTGTCTAGCAAAATAACTAAAAATAAGCTAAAAACGAACAAACTTAAAACATTAATAAGTCTTTGGTTTAAATAAAATATCGTTGTAAATAATCACTCTCAGAGCTACACTTAAATCTGATTGGTTGTCAAACTGTTCCAAGAAAAGTTTATTGCGCATGTGTTGTTTTAATACCGTTAACTATTCAGTGAGATTTAAAATAGGTTGCCATCCTAATTAATATATGTAGTGAAGATTTGTGCAGCGATTGTAGTAGCTTTGTTACGCCGTTAAATCGATTTGTAATTTTCTTGAAACAGAATGTTACCGTGGATGGATGGTTATTTGAATTATTCAAATTTCATACAGTAAGATTCATCTTTGTGTGTTATGAGTAAGGCTATGTATGTCTTAAAATAGTTGTATATGATTCGCACAATACTGCGCGTTTGCTTTGCATTCATATGCATGATGAAATAATGTCATTGTGATTTGTCAGTGCAAAAACTAATATATTATACTTAGCGTTTGTCACACCGGATTAGTTGTGTAATCGTCGGAGCCTTCCAAGTTGTCCCAATTGAAACCGGTGACCCCGGTGCGATTGGGCACCTCGCCCAAATGCTTGAACGTTTCTTCGAAGTTCGGATCCTGGGCTTTTAATTTTTTGAAGCGATCAAAGAGTACCTTCTTTGCGAAATTGTACAGCTCAATATCGAGATCGTTCAGATGGGCTACCTTAGCTGCCTGCTCGGGCGTTAGGGTGGGCATTGTATGACTAGATACAGTTGCGTTGTTTTGTTCAAACGGCACCGCAAATCGTAGATTAAAAGTTTGTTCAAATATATACTGTGAAATCCTCTGATATTCAGTGAGGCCAAAGAACGCCATTGATTGCAGATTCTTTTTCGCGCTTGCGAGCATCACTCGACTGCGCTCCGCAGCCGGCATGTACGAGCTATCATAGCAGCCGATTAGCTCTAAATCAGCCAACATGCGCGTTTGTCGATTCACGGCCAGATTAGATTCGCAGGACATGAATTCGTCAAGCTGGACGTTCTCCCATGTTTCGGTCGTGTAGCATGCTGGTAATTCTGCGTCGGTGGCCGGGCGATTGTTACAAAAGTGTCGACTCCCTTTCCATGTGGCACCACGCTGCACGTGACGAAACTCCGACAGGTAACGGGCTACAGGCTCTCGTAACAACGTCACGTAAAAATATCGGCGCTTCGCGAGGTGACCTTCCATTTCATCCAGTTTGTCATCCACACAGTTGGTTAATTCGGTCCAATCTGCATGCAAACCACACTTCCACCCTGTAGTGTATCTGCTAAATAACCAACTCTGGTTTGATTTGGGTCTAAAGCAGTGACACCTCTTTCTTGATATTGGGCAGGAACAAGGCCTCTGTAGGTCTAGGTCATGCACTAAATGCTTTCCAAATGATGTACCACCTATTTACAAGCACATTATATTTAAAAGGAAATTCATTTGATCATTATATAACTGAAATGTTTACTTACCAGTTTTTTGCATATGCAGAAATACCATAACATCTGGAGAGTTCATATCAAATGCAAATTCATCATTTAACATCTCATCATAACTCAGACCAGCTTTGTTATCAGTTGATGCCAGTGGTTTGCCCATTCCATCATTTATTATTGTCACTTGTACTGTCTCTCGACTACTTAAAGCACATACCTAGAAACAATACCAAACAATTGTTACAAACTGTTCACTTGGGCTTCCATATGATAGGTACCTTATCAGGACAAAAGTATCCAAATCCGACAATCCCGAAGAGTGCCATCACCCCGCAAATAAACAATACGGATTTTAACCTAGACCTTGATTCCATTTGCTTGATTTCGTATACTCCGTTTGGGAGTAACAACGCGATATCGCTGTCTATCACTTGCACGGAGACGCTCTTGAAATTCTTCATTATTTGTTCATGGCATTTGGAAATGAAATCAGAAATTTAGAGAGAATGTTTCGTAATTTTATTCACTACAACTAAAAACAAATAAGCACAATCCGAAGAACCACGCCATTTGCTTTTCTTGTTCTCAGTGAAAGGGTTGCATAGTAGATGGCGCTGCACAATTGTAGTTAGCAAATCTTACGAGTTAAACTTGACTTAAAATAAAACCAAACACAATACGCGAGATTTGTACTAAATGTTTACTATTTAGATTATTTAAATTTGTGTATTATAGTTAGAAGTATACGGTATTCCAATCGGGTTCAATAATATAATCGCGATTTTCCGGTTTAGGAATTGGTGGCTTGATGTACCAGGGAGGTTGCTTGAATGGTAATCCTGAAAACAACATTGAAACACACGTACAAGATGATAAATGTGTGTGCATGAACCTGAGCCCGCAGGAAATAAACCTATTTCGCTCAGCCAGTACAAAATCTGTGCGAGCACGCGGACGACCAATGTATATTCCCTTTCGTAGTGAAAGTTGCGCTTCTGAGGCCAGATAAACACCAGTCCTTTTGGAGGAGAGTTTTTGATAATTTCAAATTTGTGTGTGCGCTTAAATTGTCTATGCGACAATTTTGAGAGCGCAATTGGACGCGAGTAGGTGTTACCGTGCAATGGCAAACAGTTAGTAAAGTAACTATTTCGCATTGGGACCATTTTATGCAAGTTGTCCAGATTCTCACTACTCAGGGTGCTCAGAGTACTCAGAGTGAAAGAGTTGGATAAACGGGGGCTACAAAAACTGTCAATGCTTGCTTTCGACATTTTCCTTGTTTTATATTCTTGTTGTATGATATTGTAGTTTAGATATTTCAAGATTGATTACCACCAATTCCAAACGTTTAATTTATTAGGTCATCATGTATGTATTTCAATCAACACTCAAATTCGTGTATAGTTGTTTAACGATATGACTTGTTGATTGATTCTTGATATAAACTAGTTCGTCAATTTACGTTTTCGCAGAATAGCACAGAACAAAACAGATATCTCCGATTAGTATTTTCTTACTTTGCGTGTCATTTTGAGTTTTGAATTGATAGTGTCTATGACACCGTCTGCCACATGCAATAATGTTTTACGGTGCTTTACTTTATTATAAAAACATTTAAAATTCTGCAGAAAATCAAATTTACTGCAATCGGTCAAACTCGTGTTGAATCGAGGCGGACTGCAATTCATTTAAGGTTATGTTACGCAATCACAACATTATGCACAACATTCGAGAGTGGCCGCCGTGCGCCGCGCGAGATTCCTGCTACGGAAAACACTGGAGAGGATGAGTTATTAAAAAAGTATTTTTAAATCACGGCGTGCATATTTGTTATGATCCGTCGTGCGAGTCGAGAAGTCGGCAAACTTGTTTCGCAGCGATTCGTAACTTCGGCGTGCGCGATCAACAGAAATCAGTCGAAAGCTAGCATTCACATATCATGTAAGTAAATGCTTATGGTTTTAACTTAGTCGCCTTATTAAGTAGCTGCGCGCTGACATTGGAGACACCGAATACCCAATTTTTACTTTTGACCTAAATTTCTCCTCGGCGCTGCATAAGTACGCCTTTAGCTAAGCTCCAGTGTCATTACTGTTTTGGGTGTTGATTAGTTCACAACGTATGACGATTTAGTAATTCGTTTGTTTATTTTATTCACGCAGCAATCGTAAACATGGTTGATAAGGAGGAACTGCGAAAGCGCTTAACTCCGTTACAGTATCAAGTAACACAGGAGAAAGGCACGGAACGACCCTTTACAGGTCAGTTTTAAATTAACTAATTAATATGAGTAATTTAAAATTTAAATAAAACGAAAATAGACTAACTTTCTAGTATCCATGCAAATAATTTTTTATTCTTTTAAATTAAAAGGATGTTATAACAAAACCTATGATAAGGGCACTTACGTTTGCATTTGTTGCGAACAACACCTCTTCAATTCCGATACCAAATACGACAGTGGTTGCGGTTGGCCGGCGTTCAATGAGGTCCTTGCAGAGGGAAGAGTGAATCTCTCTCCAGACACCAGCGGTGGTATGTTGCACACGACAAGTTAACTACGTACTTGTGGATAAAAATTCTATTTACACTTTTGTTTATTAAGCTTGCACTTAGTAGATTTTTGGCGTATTAATTTACCGAGTGACTACCACGATTGTGTGAAGTTGGCAACTAATTCAAAGTATTAGTTCACATTCTGAGCCTATTCAGTCAAGCAGAATTGGATTATTAACTTACAAACGTTTTTATCAGTTGTTTACATTTTTATTTTATAAAGGCGGTGATATCAGTGTCGAGATGAAAAATATTGCAGATCAAATGGCAACAATTTGCTTGAAATACTTTTCTGATAATTTATTGATAATGCGTAGTGAACAACTTTAGGTTTTGATTAATGTAGTAAGTAATGATTTATATTCTAATCTATTGATGAGCGTACATATTTTTATAACTATTTTGCTACTATTTAGCAAGATTTTTAAAAATAATTTCGTTATATTCAAGTCTGTTGCGATATTTAGTTAACCTTGATACTTGTATTCTCACACGGCCAACATGTCAAATTTAAGTTAGATGATAGTAAGTGATAACGAGTTTATTTCCACTGCTTCAATAAAAAACGAAATTAAATAATTCCATTCTGCTTGAAAATGTAATCTGTGAAGCACAGTATAAATAACACGCTTCACTGAGTATTATCAATAACATCGCGTCATTCGTCTCTATTTGATTTGATTAGTTTTATATACTCGTATGTGTTTGTGTGCCAGTGTAATCTCCTATTATGAATAATTTCCTGCTACTGAATCACTTCCCATTATCATGTGTTTTCTACTTCTCTTTATTTTTCGTGTACATATCATTTAATCGAATTGAAAAGTGTTTAGTGTTCTAATTCGAACTAACCAGTGATTATGTAACAAACAAACAATTGAAAGCCTAATTGCGAAACGTATTGTTTGCAATTGACACATCAAATTGAAAAAGCTGATAAATGCAACATACCTTGCGATGCTTCAAATCAATGTTGCCGATGAGTAGTTGAACCATTAAATTATTTATAGAATATAGATGCGAATTTATTTCGGGAGAGATAAACAATTTAGCTTAGTTGCGCTGCTGAATTTGCCACTGCTACCGGTGGAAGTGCACTAAGCAAAGATCGCGCAACGTGCGCTTCATTATAGTTTTGTTCATTGTCTCGGCGCTCTCGTCACAGTTGCTACTTATTACAGTTTATTCTTGTAGTCTATCTTGCAGATAGCGTACGTGTCGCTGTAAAACGGTCCGGTTATTAGTCGCGTTAGCGGGCGTACTTCTTTTACGGTTTGCATCGGATTCGTTTCGTGAAGCGCGACCACGTGCGCGTGGAAACTTACCTTCTATATCACAAAATATAATTAACAAAATTGCTAAATCTAAGCTAGATGACGTAATGGCGATTTTTTGTATTATAAGCTCAATTAAGTACGCAACGATAAACAAAAGAAGCATTGTTTGTAACCAGTGGCGGATTACGGCCTAGGCGCACTAGGCGCGCGCCTAGGGCCCCGGCTGCCTGGGGGGCCCCGGCTGCCTGAGGGGCCCCTGGCACTTATATGTCCCATATAGACATAGTAATTTCACAAATACTTCATCAGTTGGTTTTGACCTCAGCCTTTATGAATAGCGTATCGGTTTTCGCTTGGCGCCCAAAACGGCATTTCACACGTGTCCGCAAAGCAACCGTCACGGATATATAGCTGACTTAAAACTTTTTATCTCCGATTTTATTTCTTTATGACAAACTGTTTAAAATAAAATTTGCATATTTTCTGCCACGAATTTTTGTGACCTTTTCTTGAATATTGCATTAGAAAGTTATAGCTATAATGCGAGTAGTATATTGCCAATTTTTTTGAGTTGAGGAATATTCCATTGAGGTTGTAAAATAGCGGGTAGCTCTCTTTTTTGGAATATTAATTATTTCGTCTTTCTATCATTTTTTCACATCTGCGGAACACGTTGTACCAACGTTTATCCTCCTACAATTTTTATCTAGATTTTTGGGGTGGTAGGTAGTTGGATTAAAAGAAAAACAGAGAGTGGTCAGTGAGTCTTGAATTACAACCCCGACAACACTAGTTCTACTAAAGTTTTTTCTCGAAGTTTTATGCATAGACGATTTGGCGTGGGTGATTTTCAAAACTGCAGTCAATAATCAACAAGAGCTTCTATAAAGGCACTGTTAAATATTTTCTGGAACAAACTCCTTCAGAGAATCGAAATTACCAGCAAATACTTACAGGAATCAAAGACAAATATTCTTAATAGTGTTAGTTTATTAAAATCATTAAATGAATTTATAACAGAGGTCAGAAATAATTTCGAAACTGTTGAAGAGGAGGCTAAATCCCTAACAGCTCATCATTCTTATAAAGAGATGAGACAAAGAAAACGCAAATATCCATATGATGAAACGAACAAAAATGATACAGCATTTTCGTCAAGAAATTTTTTTTATTGTATGTGATGTATTAACATCCGAAATTACTCTAAGGAGCGATGTCTATATCAATGTTCTTAACGATTTTAAAATTTTCTTTGATTTAAAATTAAGCCGTGTTGAGACTAATGATTGTGTAGAGCGATTATTGGCTAAGTATGAAAAAGATATTGAGCCAGAATATTTCACTGATGAGTTAACTCATTTTCTAAAATACGTACAAGAAGAAAATATTAGAGATCCACATGAAATGTATGCAGCATTAAGAAATGGTCTAAAATCAACTTTTCCAAATATACACACAATACTGCAAATTTTTTTGACCTTGCCCGTTTTTAATGCAAGTGGAGAAAGGACATTTTCAGTTTTAAAACGAGTCAAAAACTATCTGCGCAATAGTCTTTCACAAGAGCACTTAAATGACTTCGCATTAATGTTCATAGAAAATGATATTTTTAAAAAACTAGAGTACGACAAAATTATTGAAATCTTTGCCCAAGAGAAGGCAAGAAAAGTAGATTTGTAATTTATATTTAAATACGATTACCGTTTTTGAGCACACGTACAATGAACTCGAGAACCAAGATAGCATTGAAAACGATAATTCCATCGCGGATAGTATGGCAGAAAATTTAACCTGTGATATTTCGATCGGTCCTATTTATTTATAATTTTTCGTGAATATTGGATTTACAATTTATATTTCATAAACTTATGAAGATGCCCTCTGGGCGAAACATGTCAACTCCAAATATAAATTGTAAATCCAATATTCACGAAAAATTAAAAATAAATAAATATTTCAAATCCAAAATTTTCGGATTTAGGGGCCCCAAACTTGATTTGCGCCTAGGGCCCCACTGAAGCATAATCCGCCACTGTTTGTAACATAATCGCATGACTCTAATCTCTCTTTAATGGAATGATAAAAATTGGCTGCATCGTGGATTTCTTTCAGTAGACGTTTGCTTTCGAATGTGATTGGGTGGAAATTCGTTTTTGGGGCTAATATAATGTACTGTTTTTCTCTTTCCCCGTCGTCAACTTCCCTCTATCCTACCTTTTTCTGAACTAACGCTTTTTCTATTTTTATTTATTTGCTATTCTCTCACATTATGACACATTGATCTCGTTTGCATTGAATACGATGAACACACGCACGATTTTGATCCCTTATACACCACACATACCTGATTCTCTTTGACTCTTCCGCCGTTGACCCTGCTGGCACCCTTGCACGTCCCTCATGCAGTTGGAGCTAACCTTCTACTCCTGATAACCCAACCAGGTCGAGTCCGCACCGAGGTCACTTGTTCCAAGTGCAACGCTCATCTCGGACATGTCTTCGGCGATGGCCCACCTCCGACAGGCAAACGTTTCTGCATCAATTCGGCCTCCATCAACTTCATACCGGCGCCAAAGGAGGGCGAGAGCTAATCTGCAATCAACAGACCTATTTTCACCGATTTGGCCTAGCGTATTTGTTTACTAACGAATCTTTGTTGCTTCACAGTGATTACGATGACCTTACATTTAATATTGATTGGTGTTGCACCTGAAAATATCCTATGTTGAATACTAACTATGTTTTTATTGAATTTTATATAGCTTTTGTTTTTATTATCTCGAAATTGTTCAGAATAAGATTAGTTTGTTAAAATGTTTAAAAATAATGTGGTTTCGAATAAAATAATTTAACAATCTAACCACATCCTTTGGGTTTTACAGGGAAATTATTATTTCTATAAATAATTAAATTACATTGTTATGTGTTTCACTTGACAACGTCAATGTTACTTTTATTCAAATGTATAGTTCCACAGAAAACATTCCCAAACCCAATCCCAAATTAAATGCTAATTGTTTTTCACATATATGTTTCGGGTAAGAATTTCCATTATTGTATTGCACATATCCCATGTTCCAATTTAAGTTATACGATACCAACCTTTCGACATGGATGGAAAAAGGGCTTTTCTGAAGACGAATTATATGAAGTTATGCCCGAATTTAGATCGGCACTACTCGGAGATAAATTGGAAGCTGCGTGGAACATTGAATTAACAAAAGATAAACCATCGCTGTTTCGAGCTTTGAAAAAAACCTATTTTAGGTATTTTCTTCGTTTTTGTTTTATATTAATTATGGTACAATTAGTAAGGTTTGTAATACATATATCAACGGGATTTAATTATGATTTTATTAATAATACAATTTCAGAATAAGTCAAGCTATATCTTTGTATTATTTAATGAAATATTTCGAAGAGGGACAAACTGAACTTACTAAAGGCCATGGATATCTATGCGCCACGTGCATTGTGCTACCATCAATTTTTAATGTAATATGCATGCACAGTTATATGTTGAGTTTGCAGCAATTGGGCATGATGGCCCGCATTGGTTGTTGCTCGTTGATATACCGGAAAAGTTTGCGTTTAAGCCGAAAGGCACTTGAAGATGCCACAGTTGGTCAAATGGTGAATTTAATTTCGAACGATGTGAATCGTTTTGATTATGTTTGTTTGCATATCCCTTACATTTTTGACATTCCTGTGGAAGTGGTTGTAGCATTAGTTCTGCTTTATTACTTTGCTTCCATCCATCCGTTCGCTGGAGTAGCGCTATTCGTTTTATTGATTCCACTACAAAGTAATTCATATTATTGTAATTTTAGGAAGTCATAATTATATTTTTGTGATTTTAGTTCTTTTGGGCAGTTTGTTTTCACGCATTCGAGGGAAAACTGCGATTAGAACTGATGTACGGGTGAGATTAATGAACGAAGTGTTAGCTGGTATTGAAGTCATCAAGATGCACACGTGGGAGCAATCTTTTGCCGATTTAGTTTCGGATGCCAGAAGGTATAGTTCTGATACCGCTACTTCTAAGTAAATATGGAAGATGTGCAATTTCTTTGATTTTTAACTCAGGAAAGAAATTCGACAAATAAGATGGTCGTGTTATGTCAAGTCGTTGCTATTGTCATTAACAATAATCACAAGTCGGGTGGCCGTCTTCCTTGCTCTCTTAATCTACGTAAATAGTGGATTCAAACTGAGTGCACAATACGTGTTTCTGGTCGTTGCTTTATTTGGCGTGCTGCGACAAAGCATGACCATCGCGTTGCCAAATGCAATTTCGCAAATGGCGGAGACCCGAATTAGCCTTCACCGATTAGAAGCTTTCCTATTAAGCGAAGAGATGTGGTCCCCATCCCGAAAGTCTAGTGTCGTTTGGAAGGAAAGCAATGAAGGTATGCCCGAAGAAGTACACATTTCACTTAAGGACGTTTCGGCAAAATGGGCACATTCGCAAAGCGATAATGTTCTGACTGATGTTAGCTTTGAAATGGGAAAAAGTGACATGATGGCTGTTATTGGTATGGTTGGCAGTGGCAAATCTAGTCTACTCAATTTATTACTAAAGGAACTTCCAATTATTTCCGGAAAGTTGGACGTTGTTGGTGTCATATCCTATGCTGCGCAGGAACCGTGGTTATTTGTCGGTTCAATTAAACAGAATATTCTTTTTGGTCAAGAGTACAATCATAGTAGATACAATCAAGTTTTGACGGTGTGTGCGTTGAAGCGTGACTTAAGTTTGCTTCCATATGGTGATGATACCATCATTGGCGAACGAGGCGTAAGCTTAAGCGGAGGCCAACGGGCGAGAGTTAACTTAGCTCGAGCGATTTACAAAGAAGCAGATATTTATTTATTGGATGATCCATTATCAGCTGTTGATACCAAAGTAGGAAATGTCATTTTCGATGATTGTATTATGGAATTTCTACAAGGCAAATGTGTCATCCTAGCTACCCATCAACTGCAATATCTTCGTGAAGTTTCTATGATTATGGTCCTACAGTTAGGACGGGTGAGTTTCTTAGGCGATTATGATGTTATGGTCGAAAACAAACCAGAATTAGTCAGTCGTTTGGAAGATAAAGTGGATACAACAGGCCAAGAGCGCACTAAACAACAATACGACCTGGATGTAGCTCTTCCCGATTGGAGGACCACCACGCAAGTAGCAAAGGAAGCCTATGGAACTGGTGCAGTCAATCGAAAAATATACAGAGCTTATATGCAAGCCGGCGGCAGTTGTATCGTACTATTTATCTTGGGAGTGTTATTTATCTTTACCCAAATTTTAGCCAGCGCGTGCGATTTTTACATCTCGTTCTGGTAAATTACATTCTATAAGAATTAACAGCACGCGGAAATTGTTTTTGTAATTGCAGGGTTAACGTGGAGACAATTCGCGCTTCTGGTACATCCGACGTTGACGAGTTTGGATTTAAGTTGCAAACAACCAGAGCGTACATTTCGTATTATTCAATTTTAATGTTGCTCACCGTTATAACAACACTGGTTCGTTCTCTTGCATTTTTTTCTATGTGCATGCATGCGTCAATCCAATTGCACAAAAAAATGTTTTACGCCGTGGTGAACGCGCCGATGTCATTTTTTAACAAGCAGGCATCTGGACGCATTTTAAATCGGTTTGCGAAAGATATGGGTACCATTGATGATCAATTCCCATATGTTACACTGGATACATTTCAGGTATTCTTTTCATCTCAGATTGCATATGCAATATACACATTTATAACATATTTATTAAAGTTCACTATGATTTAGATAGGACTAAGCGTTTTAGGAATTATTGTGGTGACTGTAGTGGTAAACCCTTTTTTGGTGGTCCCAATGGCGGTCATTTTAATTGTATTTTATTTTTTGCGGATCTACTATTTGCATACGAGCAGAAATCTTAAACGACTTGAAGGTATTAGTAAGTATTTATTTATCTTTGTAGAATACATAATCAATAGTACTATATTTACTTAAAATTGTACGTGAATTGAATAACATTTTTGAGGCGAATCATATATACTCAATGCAAATGTAATTCAATTCACTTACAATCTCAAATTAAATATAAGCATTTGTCTTTAATTAAACATATTTAAATTTATACCTGTATTTTAAAACGTGTTTCAGCTAGAAGTCCAGTTTTTACGCATCTTAATACAACAATGCAAGGTCTTTCCACTATCAGAGCTTTTAAAACAGAAGTGAAATCAAGAGAAGAATTTGACGCATATCAAGACATTCACTCGTCTGCATGGGACATGTTTCTCGTGACGTCCAGAGCATTTGGTTTTGTATTGGATATAATATGTTGTGTCTATATATCAATTGTGGTTTTTGGCTTTTTAACCATTTTTAGTGGTATGTGCCTAGTGCTCGCTTTCCATGTGAAGACATTGCCTTGTTATAAATATCTTATTTGTAGATCTTACGTATGGGGCAAATGTTGGCTTGGCCATCACTCAAGCATTAATGCTTACGGGCATGTTTCAATGGGGCATGCGACAGTGGAGTGAAATGGACAATAATATGACTTCAGTAGAAAGAGTTTACGAGTACACTAAAATTGAGCCGGAGAAAAGTGCAAAACCAAGTACCAATCCACCTCCGTACTGGCCGCTAACGGGAGCAATAGAATTTCACCATGTTTATCTGAAATATGGCCGTTCTGAGCCGTACGTCTTGCGTGATCTCACATTCAAAGTTAAGCCCAATCAAAAAATTGGCATTGTTGGCCGAACCGGTGCTGGGAAATCGTCAATTATAGCATCACTATTTCAACTTGCTGATACTGAAGGACAGATTATAGTCGATAATATAGATATTCAGACAATTCCATTGAAGAGTTTACGTTCCAAGATTGCTATCATCCCACAAGAACCGGTTTTATTTGCGGGGACGCTAAGAAAAAACTTAGATCCGTTTGAGGAACATTCCGATACGCTGCTTTGGAAAGCATTGGAGGATGTCGCATTATTACCGACTGTGTTAAAACTTCCTTCTGGGTTAGCATCAATAATTTACGAGGGAGGCGCAAATTTTAGCGTCGGACAAAGGCAACTTTTGTGCTTAGCTCGGGCGATAGTTCGCAGTAATCGAATTCTTGTTTTGGATGAAGCCACTGCCAATGTTGATCCTCAAACAGATGATTTAATACAAACAACTATCAGAGAAAAATTTCGTTTTTGTACAGTTTTGACGATTGCGCATAGACTGCACACGATTTTGGATGCAGATAAAGTATTGGTTATGGAGGGCGGGAGAGCGAAGGAGTTTGGTTACTCTTATGTACTCCTACAGGACACACAAGGAATCTTTTATTCGTTGGTGCAGAGTTCTGGACCACGACTACGAGATGAAATCTTACAAATTACCAAAGAGGTTTGTACTGCAAGAGTGTCTAATTTAAATCTACTTTTTAAATTTTTAGAATTATTTCATGCGTAAAGAGAAAGGACTAGATAATCCACCCAAACCTTTAGATTCCGAAGATTTATTGGGAGGAAGATATATAGATGCGGAAAGCAGTAATATTATTTCTGGCACAAGCACCAACATACAATCCAAGCCATCTAATCGTTTGAAATATAAAACTTTACAGGAAAAACATGAAGATACAGATAAAACACCCAGTAATACGGAATCTGAAACAAGTAGCACTCTGTTGTAATATTATTGTATTTTATCTCTTAATCTATAATTATCATTGAAGGGCGTGTAGGTATTTAATTATTTTAACTTTGTTTCTTAACAAACTGATTTGTATTGTAAGTTGCCTATGGTAAAATCCCAGTATCTAAATGAAATGGGTGGTTTCATAACAGAACAAAACAAATGATAGTAGTTTAACAAAGGAAATGTACGTTAGTAGTAATATTTGCATAATGTACTTATACTAGTGAAATAGAGTGAAACTGCGAGTATGTCTACATTGAAGTGTGTTGATATTTTTTTTTCAAGAGAATTAATTTAAAGCCGTTTATAATGCGGGATTTAAGGTTAGGTTTAGTATTTATTATTGTAATATTTGTTTTGGCATTCACCCAAATTTATAATCTTTATACAAAATTGGACCAACACAGTAAGTATAAAATGAATTTCTATTTTTTATATGCATTTTATCAATATTAATTCCACAGTTGAGCAATCAAGAAAAAATAATGTTCAAACAAAGCAACAATTCCAGCTTAATTCAGAAGATGATATTGTTGTTGTCTACAATAGAGTGCCAAAAACAGGTTCCACAAGTTTTGTAAATGTTGCATATGACCTATGTAAAAGGAATAAATTCCACACCCTACATGTGAATGTAACAGGAAACAATCATGTATTGTCATTGGCAAATCAGTATAAAATTGTTCAGAATATTACTCATTGGGACAACATGAAGCCTGCTGTTTATCATGGACACTTTGCTTTTATTGATTTTGCAAAGTTTAGTGCCAGAAAACCATTATTTATTAATATTGTCCGAAAACCTTTGGATAGACTGATATCTTATTATTATTTTCTAAGGTATGGTGATAACTATAGACCATATTTGATTAGAAAAAAACATGGAGATACTATGGTACATGTATTTTGATTCATTCAATACGACTATTATTTTACATTTGATTTCTTTTAGACTTTTGATGAATGTTTCTTGAAGAATCAAGCTGATTGTGATCCCAATAATATGTGGTTGCAAATTCCTTTCTTTTGTGGACATTCTGTTGAATGTTGGTAAGTTAAACATTTTGTATTAATATTTGACTGTATTTGAATAGTCTAACTTTTTAATGCTGTCGTTATTTATTTAGGAAACCGGGAAACAGTTGGGCGTTGGAGGAGGCGAAGAAAAACTTAATCAACAATTATTTATTGGTAGGAGTAACGGATGAACTTAATGATTTTGTTAATATATTGGAACAAACCATTCCGCGTATATTTAAAGGCGCCGGAGATTATTTTTTGAATAGCAATAAGTCACATTTGCGACGGACTGTACAGAAAACCGAACCGTCCGAGGAAACTGTGCGGAAAATTCAGCAACATATAGTCTGGCAAATGGAAAATGAGCTCTATGAATATGCTTTGGAACAGTTTCATTTTGTTAAATCTCATAGTGACAAACTGCAGAGTTTTATGTATGAGAAAGTAAGACCAAAATAAACATCTATTAGTTTAATATATGTGGCTTTCCTTTGCAAAAATTCAATGACACAAAGTTATGACATTGAATGCGCAAATAACGCATATAAGTAAATCTTATCGATGAAATTCCTCATGATAAGATTATACAACTTTCATGTTACCTTTGCACTTTGTAGTTACATATTTGCTTCTAATTTTGAAGTACATTTATTACAAATAATATCAAATTAGCTGCCTTAAAATTATTGCTCACATTTTCTTTGATTGAAAAAAGCACTTAATTAACTTTTTCCATGTCTAATAATATATTGCCAATAGGTGTTAAAATGAATTTAAATGCATACTCCAGATTTGGATCAGTTTTCTCGTTCAAAGTGTATCTATAATCCTTAAGCAGTGACACCAATCCAACTTTAGTTTGCATTATACCAAATCGTTGACCAATACATAAACGCGGTCCTTCGCCGAACGGCAAATAAGTATACGGATTAATATTCCCGATGTTTTCAGGCGAAAATCTGTCAGGGTCAAATTTCTCCGGGTTTGGATAATATTCTGGATCATAATGTATTCCGTATGTTGATACTATCACCGAAGTCCCAGATGGAATAGTAATATTTTCGTTTTCTAACTTGTATGCTTTAGAACACATGCGATCCACAGTTAGAACAGGTGGATGTTTTCGTAAAGTTTCTACAACGTTAAAAATTCGTTTACAAAAAGAACAATTACCTATAATATTTATGTGTACTTACCATCAATTACTTGTTTAGTGTAAATCAATTCTCCTAAAGCTTCGTATGTTATTTCTCCATTATATTTTGCAAGAACACGTCGAATTTCATTCCGAACTTTATCTTGAATATCTTGATTCTGCGCGAGTTCAAACAAAGCGAACATCATAGTTGTCGATGAAGTTTCGAACCCAGCCAAAAATATAACAAATGCTTGTGCAGAGAGTTCTCCAAATGTGATTTGTTCTTCGTCGTGCAGCTTAATCAACATTTGTAAAAAGTCATTCTTGGTTACGTTGTTTTTCTTACGGAAACGCATTGTTTCTTGGATAACGTTGGTCAGAAACTTCTCAGCATCCTTCGGGAACGACGTGATGTGTAATTTCCGTGCGGCGTTGTGGAAATTGAACGCAAACATATTTTTTAACATTTGTGTGTAGCTCTCTTCGAGGAACATTCTGCCCATGCGACGGAATTCCGGGTCAGCGTTCTTAAAACTATTACACTCGATACCGAAGGCGGCGGAGCCAATTATGTCTGTAGTAAATCTTGCTGCGGTTTCTTTAATATCGAGCGCTTGCTTATTTTTACAACAAGCCTCTAAATGTTCCAGCATTGGTTTATGACAATCCAAAAGAATTGAAAGCATTAGCTTCATTTTACCGGATGTAAAGGTCGGTGTCATTTTAACGCGCATATTCTTCCATTTTTCCCCGCCGATGAAGAACAAATTACCACTAATTGGTTGATCCCTTTCGTTGACAAAGAAATTTTTTGTGTCAAAATGAGTAAAATCCTTAGCGAGTATATTCTTAATAAGATCGGGGTCTACTGGAATGAATATTGGCGTACCCAGAACATAAATACCTCCAAAACGATGTCCTTCACCTTTCAGCCGTTTGTAAAAATTGGCTAACTGAATTCCTGCAGGTTGACATTTCTTCAAAACGAAATTATCCAGATTACCAAATGGTATGGATGGTGTCAAATATGGTACGTTAAGATGCTTCCAAAATTTATACTTTTCATCGTAATATTTGTACACCAATAGTGCGAGAACACTAATTAATATAATCACATACATGACGCAACACGGAGATATTGTTCGACGGACGTGAGACCACTAATCTTGACTCACAACAGTCTCAATGGAGAATAAACAACCGACTGTAAACGCGAATGAATTTATTTTGAGTGAGGATTATTTATTACACATCATCAAGGAGGAATGGTGTGGGAATTATAATCTATTTAAACAGTGGATTATTTTTTATTTGTGCATAATGAATTTGATTAGATAAGATATGAAAATCAACATGAACTTGCATATTATATTAATTGTGATCACAAACCTACTAAACGATTTACCGTTAATAGAGACTTGTATATTTACAATACTATAAAATGTTATGTGTAAAATACTGCGTTATAATAAATATTACTTACTTATCACTGTAAGTTTTACATATTCAGGTAGAAAGCAATACCTTACGAAAAAATGCATCTTTAACTCTCTAAAAGAGATCTTGCGAATTAAAATGAAGATAACATATATCCTAACTTTTGAGGTTGAGTTAAATAAGTTAATCGACTTTTTCAATATCTAATAATATGTCACCAACAGGTGAAAGAATGAATTTAAAGTCAAATTCAAGATTTGGATCAGTTTTCTTGTTCAACGTGTACCTATAATCTTTAAGTAGTGATATCAATCCAACTTTAGTTTGCATAATACCAAATCTTTGACCAATGCATAAACGCGGCCCTTCACCAAATGGCAAATACGTGTATGGGTTGATATTCCCAATGTTTTCCGGTGAAAACCTATCAGGATCAAATTTAGCTGGGCTCGGATAATATTCCGGATCATGATGTATTCCGTACGTGGGGACGATCACAACAGCTCCAGCTGGAATGGTAATATTCTCATTTTCTAATTTGTACGGTTTGGAACACAAGCGGTCGACTGTGAGAACAGGTGGATGTTTTCTGAGTGTTTCTGGAATAGAATTAGAATCATTTAATCATAATTATAAATGCATGTTGTGTGTATTTACCGTCAATTACTTGTTTCGTGTATGTTAACTCTCCCAAACCTTCGTATGTGATTTCTCCATTATATTTTGCAAGCACTCTTCGAATTTCTTCTCGAACTTTGTTTTGAATATCTTGATTTTGCGCCAGCTCAAACAGAGCAAACATCATGGTTGTTGCAGACGTTTCATAGCCAGCCATAAAAATAACAAATGCTTGTGCAGAAAGTTGTCCAAAAGTTATTTGCCCTTCATCGTGCAATTTAATTAACATTTGTAAGAAATCGTTTTTGGTCACATTGTTTTCTTTACGGTAACGCATAGTATCCCGTATGGTGTCAGTAAGGAATTGCTCGGCATCTTTAGGGAATGACGTAAGATGGAGTTTTCGCGCTGCATCCTGGAAATTGAACGAAAACATGTTGATCAAGATTTGCGTATAGTCTTGATTCAAGAATCTTCTCCCCATGCGACGAAATTCAGGATCGGCGACTTTGAAACTGTTGCATTGTATACCAAACGCCGCAGAACCAATCACGTCAGTGGTAAATCTAGCCGTGGTTTCTTTGATGTCCACCGCCTGCTTGGTTTTCCAACATGTCTCCAAATGCTCCAATAGTGGTATATGACAATCCAAAACAATCGAAAGCATTTGTTTCATCTTACCGGATGTGAATGTCGGGGTCATTTTGACACGCATATTCTTCCATTTCTCACCACCGAGGAAAAACAAATTTCCACTGATTGGTTGATCCTTCTCATTGATGTAAAAGTTCTTTTCATCAAAATAAGTAAAATCCCGAGCAAGTACATCTTTAATGAGATCAACATTAACTGGGATCAATATCGGCGTAGAGAGTGCATAAATGCCGCCGAATCGGTGACCTTCACTTTTTATCCGTTTGTACAGGTTGGCCATTTGAAATCCGAGGGGTTGACATCTTTTCACTACGAAATTATCAAGATTACCGAACGGTATAGATGGTTGCAGGTATGGCACGTTTAAATTCTTCCAAAAAGCATACTTTTGGTCGTAATATTTGTACACCAATAGTACGAGTACCGTTAGAAGAATAATTATATACATGATGTAATACGTCGATTCTGTTCAACTGTTGAGAGGCTACTAATCTCAACACTCAGCGTGTTATTGTAGTGGCCGCGACACGACTGGAAGTGCAGTGGTTATGCGTATGTATTTATTATCGCTAGCAAATTGGGATCAGATCTATTCGAGAATATCATTTCATAATTTCTCTTTATCTATTTATGGATATAAAAATGAATGTGTAAATGTGTGTTTTCCATAAACTCCAAGGCCGCTAAACCAATTTTGATAAAAACTTACGATAGTTTTTAAATTTGCCCAAAGGGTAAATGTGTTAATAATCGTGAAATTATAATTCGAAAGGGATTAAATACGGGATAAGAATTGAAATAAAAATATTTAAAATCGAGATGATGCCAAGATGCACTTGTTTTCATGAAATTCACGAAATAGTCCTCTTTCAAAACAATGAATACGTAGGTAATATCAAAAGCTTTATAAGAGATGGCAAGATTTCAATAATTTTGAAATGGATACCGCTCAGCTAATGGGGATAGCTATTTACACATCAGATTTACAGTACATTTGCATTGATTTACAATAGTTTTTTATTGTATTGATTAACGATCTATTGAATGGCTTCTAAGCGTTAGTCGTTTCAGAATTATTTTAGTTAATGTGTGCACATAGTGGTGGTGACACCCAGTACATTCTTTACTTCAAATTTTACACATTATTTCATTTCATTTCATTTATTCCAGTGCAGAACCTGAACGGATTGATAGCAAATACTTAAAGATGACGAAATCTTGCTGAATCACAATGACTTGCATAATATAAAAATAGAATCATTATCTATTTGCGCAAATCAACAAATATCGATTAATTTGAATAGCTATGAAGTGACTAAATTAATACGTGATGAAATAGCAAGTCATCCAATAAATGTCCTCTTTTATAATTGTTCGGACAATCTAGTGTAATGCATAATTTAGTTTCACCTTGAAATTTGGTTATTAGTATACTGAGTGCATATTGTTCAGTTTGAAATAAAATTAATTTTAAGAGGATGACGTGTTGTAAGTAGAATGAAAACAAGAAATAATCTGGAGAGGACTTAGGGAAAGCAAACAATTAATTATTAAGTAGTGAGGTAAAAATGTTGTTTTCTTCGAAAGCAACTAATTGTTTTATGTGACGTAAGGTTAGCTATTAGTAATAATTACATAGTATTTCGTCACTTTTCTTTTTAAATATCCGCAAATATTCAAGATAATGCAGGGCTAAAATTTTATTATACACTTTACAAGATGGCTGTTTGGTTTTATTGCATTTTTCTTAAGTTTTTTTCATAAGTGTTGTTTTCGTTGCCAGGATATTAGACGGATAGATAGCAAACCGCATCTCCGGTGTAACTCAAAACCAAATATTAGCCCAAAAACTAGTTCGATTGGTTATAACTTGTTTTCACACATTCTTACTTCTTTGTCAGAATTCAGATCTGTGACAAAAAAAGGAATACTATCCGATGTTGATCGGATTAAACAAAAAATAAAGCGTCCAGTGACTACATTGTCCGATAAGCACAAACCAGTAGTGATACATGCCAAAGCCATTATTACTTCTTTCAACATAAAAATTTGATTGAGTAAAGGAATTGGTTTTAATTTTATTGCCAAAATATACCATACAATAACTTAGCTCTGTACTCTGTACTAATATTTACTCGTACTATAGATACTATCATACGTATTAAAATAGGTTGGTAATACATTTGCAAATATGAAAATACAAATAAAATAATTAAATTTATTCAGCAAAAACTGAAATACCAGCAACCAATGAGTGCTTCGAGTAGCATTAACCTTTAAAATACATTACTATTATAATTATTTTGAAATTACGTATTGACGCAATAAATTGATAAAAATTGGTATGCGTCGAAAGGGTTTTCACGGTGGTAATTTAAAATTGCACATGCACATCAAGGTCATTCATTTGTTATTTATCATTTGTCCACAGTAAGTTAATTAAACAACATGCTAACGTTAACATTACTATTTCTCGTTTTACTTGGAATTTATGTATTCTTCCGAAAAAGTTACGCGTTTTTTGATCATTTAAACATACCAGTGAAACCACCATCCATACCATTCGGCAACTTTTACAACTTCTTATATGGCAACCCTCCACCTCCTGGATTTCAAGTCGCCGAAATATACAAATACTTAAGAGATCAAGGATACAAATATGGTGGATTTTATATATTTCATCAACCGTCTTTCATGCCTATCGACTTGGCTTTGATCAAAGATATTTTACTAAAGAACTTTCATTCATTTGATGATAAAGGGTTCTATTACAATGAACAGGATCAACCCATCAGTGCTAACTTATTCTTTTGGGAGGCGAGAAATGGAAAAACATCCGGACGAAAATGACACCGGCGTTTACTTCGGGAAAAATGAAAATGATGCTATCAATTTTATTGGATTGTCGATATCCTCTCATCGAACACATTGAGAACTGCAGAATAAATCATGAACCTTTGGATATTAAGGAAGTAGCCGCAAAGTTTACGACTGATATAATTGGATCTTCTGCGTTTGGTATAGAGTGTAATAGTTTTAAAAATCCAGACGCCGAATTTCGTAAAAATGGAAAAGCGGTCTTTGATTTGGGCTACATTCGTATCCTACATGGAATGATAACAATGAATTTTAAACTATTTGCTGCCAAGATGCACATGGTAATATTCCCAAAACCGGTGGAACTATTTTTTGTTAACGCAATTAAAGCTACGATTAAGTTTAGAAAGGAGAATAAAATTGAGAAGAATGATTTTATGGGAATATTTATTCAATTGATGGATGAAGGCGAGATTACTTTTAATGAGCTTGTGGCTCAGGCGTTTGTATTCTTTCTCGCCGGTTTTGAGACATCTTCAACAACCCTGACGTTTTGTTTGTTCGAGTTGGCAAAAAATCCAGACATTCAAGACGAGGTACGAAGCGAAATTAGAAAAGTGCTTGCTCAATATAATGGCGATGTCACTTATGAAGCACTTGGACAATTAACGTTTACAAAACAAGTTATTGATGGTAAAACTATTGATTAACCTTCTCAATAATTAAATTTCCAGTAAAATCTTCATTTCAGAAACACTAAGAAAGTATCCTCCTCTACCAGTTATTAACCGAATAAGCACAAAACCATATCAAATACCAGAAACTGATGTAATTCTGCCCGTTGGAACACAAGTTGCTATTTCCTCAATTGGTCTACATTATGATGCGGATATTTATCCCAATCCGGAATCGTTTCATCCCGAAAGATTTTCTCCTGAAAATATGGACAAAATCAATCCATATTCTTATTTGCCATTTGGTGAAGGTCCAAGACTTTGCATAGGTAGGTAATTTTAATAATAACCGTTAATCATTATTAACTTTTGATTATAATTATAGGACAACGATTTGGAATTATGCAAATAAAAATTGGTTTGGTTACATTACTGAAAGATTATAAATATACATTAAATAAGAAAACAAGTCCTGATTTAGAATTAGACTTTACTTTTTTTTTGTCACCGAAAGGAGATATATTATTAGACATTGAAAAAGTTTAATACGAAAAATAAATGATTGTCTTATTTTGTTTTACCATTCAGACCCGGCGTCTTAGCACAAGCATCACTATTGTGAATCTCACGCTATTTAGCAAGCGCAAAACACGAAATTTTGAAGTTAATTTCATTTTTGTTGACAAAGAATGGATAAATCCAAATGTTATTAATCATAAAACAGTTTTGTTATCATCAAGGAAATAACAAATACAACATTTGTTGTACAAGCAAACTTTTCAGAAAGCCAAAATATAACGAAGTAGAATTTGTGGTTTTGGTAACAGATTTTAGTAAAGTGATGTGAATAATTTTCATAGCTATTAATAAATTTTTTTGCTTTATATTTTGGGTTTAAATAAAGTTTTACTTACTATCCTGTAAAGAATGGAATTAAAGCATTGATAGTTCAAAAATTTCATGTGAATGACCATTTGAAGTTCTGGGAAAGTATAAAACATTTTAAAATAAACGCAAATGTTGTAAACGGTTAAATTTGTTGGTTAAATATCGCATTATAAATTTGCTTGACGCAGTTAAAAACTACGTTGTTTCTGCAATCTTTGAGTCAAAATCGCATAGGTGGCGCTTTAATAAAAAATATTTTATTTGCATAACCTAATCTATAAATGGAAATACACCAACGTTTAACCTTACACGCACTTTGCAAGTGACGCATACAATTTATTACAATCCAATGATCGTAATTAAAACAACGAATGCTAACGACGTATTCATATCAAAACTGTCGTTGTGTTTACATTAGATGCCCGTAATCATACGTTACGGTGGAGTCAGTACTCCATAATTACGAGCGATTTTAAATAATTTAATTGACACGCAGTCCTTCAACGCAAAGAATTATTTTCAAACGTCTACATTCGGCTATACGTTTGCTTTTCTGATGCGGGGCGAACACATCGTAAATACCTGTTCAACGTTCGTTTCCTATACTCTTTCAATTCCAGTAAGTAAGTATGTAGTCCATACATAGTTTGGCGCTGAGTTCTGAAAAATTCAAGGCGTGTAGCTGCACGAGTCGCCATCGCGCCACGAACGGAGTTGCGCTCGCTTCGAGAATGAAACTCGCTGAATTATTAATTAAATAATCTCCCTTAATAATATGTTGTATTCAAATATAGTTTATTACGGTGCGATACTTCACCGTATCGAACGTAATTATTTATTTGCTTTCACATGACACACTTCGACCGGCGGCGCGCGCCTTCTATCTGCGGCCATTGCGGATTATCGGAAAATGATAGAATCGCTGGAAAGTGCTGAAGGAAATAACAATTTAAACGGAAATTAAAAATGAGTTATTTGAAAAATGTATTCTTGGGTAATTATTGTTTAGTCGAATTATGTATAAACTACAAGCGGATTTTTCCTTACGGCGAAGACGGCAAGTCCTTTAGACTACTATTAACTTCAATTCTTAGTTTTGCACCGTGTAATAATTTTTTAGTTGCTTATTTTAAACATGAAATAGTGTCCGTAGTGCTTAAATACGTAATGAATACGTACAATAAGTAGGTGCTACTGTAGTATTTTCGTTAAATGACGTTCCACGTTATTGATAAATAATTTATTAAAAAGTACTAATAATTAAGGCACCAATGAGGTTCAGGTTTGAGGTTAGAAATCACCGTCAGAAAAACAAACAAAAGTGACAACAATTAAAATTGATAAGATTGATCAAATTTGATAATGACAACGAAGTTAGACAATAGTACCAATAGCATCAACATTAACATAATGCAACTCAATGGGGAATTTATATGATTTGAGACCCGTCCAAAACAAAATCTGTATTACTTGAACTGATGATTTAGGTTCGGTTAGGTTTGTATATCCACTTTATTTCTATAGTACAATAACAACATTAAATTTCGTGTTTCTACCGCCAATAAGACTCACTTCTGGCAAAAAAATTAAATCCCCTAAATGCTCTCTACGATTGGTTTTTCAATCTAAATTATTAACTTTGTAAGTTTTTACGGTTACAGTTAAACACAATTTACTAAAAAAAATCTGTAACAAATTTTCCTTTGTAATGAGCTTCATTTTATACACAGTTTAAATACGGCGAAACGAAAAATTTGGTGCTGACTGGTTTGTTCGTTTCCATGAAAAAATGTTACGTATAAGTGAGTTAAACTTCCAAATTTGAAGCATGAGATTGATTGAGAGCAGCGGTAAAGAGCTTTTAATCAATCGAGTGATTTCTTCCACTCTCTATTTCCGCTTTTAGGTTTTCCTATTTGAAATTTTGTATTTTAATACATCGAAATTCGCTCGCACACTTCTGAGAAATGTAAGTTTTTAAGCGCATAATGTTTGACTGATGATGCATGGCATTTCATATGGTCTTGTGCTGCACCGTAAGAAAATGCGCATGCGCAAGCTCCACCCCGTGAATAAAACCCGTGACTAAAGTACTTTGGTGCGAAAGATGCTCTAAAAACAAAAACAACTTGACATTTCCTGATTGAACAAAACATGATTGGCTGGTAACAAAAATATTCCGGCTTAAACAAAAATTTTAGTTTTTGCTTTTAGTTTTTTCAAACGTTTTGGGGACGGTTTTATTACATGCAATGAAAGAAGTTTCAACGGAAAAGTTTCGGAAACAATACTTGCATATATTGTCAATTTATAATGAAACATCCTTAGAAAAGAAGACTTGGAAAACTTCGGAATAACTTTGTTTTCGAAATAATTATTTACAGTTATATCAAATATTAATGTGTAATTTTAGTAATAGGCAAAATGCACGTTTTACTTGTAGACTATGTGATACATATTTCATATATCTATTCAAAACAATCCATTTAAACAATCTGTTTAAGCTACTTAGCTCTAACAGTCTATGGCAAGTCACGCAAAACTCAAGAACTAAAAAGGACGGAAAATGCTCAAATGTTGTCAAAGTAATATAGGGTCGGAATGACCTATAAACCACAGTGGTAGATTGCTTGCCCCAAAAGACGCAAAAACATCAGTAGGTATATCTTTACACATTTTTCCGGCTCAAAGCGCGCACCTGAAGCATATCCCATTATTATCATTGAAAATAAATAGTATTAACCAATAGTAGTAGTAACCAATTCCAAAACAAATATAATCAATGTTTTAACCGGTCTAGGGAAGTGCAAGAACGTCTGCAAATTTAATCCTGTCTATTTATACGAAATAATAGTACGTTGTATAGCATAATTAAATGCAACTAGATTTGCAATTAATAAAAATTAACAGCTGTTTGCTCAATATACATTATTCACCCTGTATTACTAATTTATTCTTCGCTCGTGTTATGAGAGCAATTATCACCTCATGAACAAATCACTAGAACATTCATCTGCACTCATCGCGGTGCACGCTGCACAAGCCACAGAAAAATCGCGTGTGATAATTAAAAGGATCGAAAGGACAACATGAATAATGCAGGTATGTACATAAGAATCGACCGAACGTATCCATCCACCGCAGAAGTTATGCATAATTGGATTAATTGCACCTGCTTGCTGGTTAATTAATGATCCATTGATTGTGGATCCGAGCAAGTGTTGGCTACCACATTTTTCAATCGTAATTTAATTGTCTTCATCGCATTTGTCGATATGTACAGAGAAACTTATGAAAGCGTAATAAGTTTGTCCTAGAAAACGGCCGAATGTTTCCAGATATGTACACTTGTGTACTTACCCAGCTCCACCAACTTATGATATGAATAATGAAACAAAGAACACAAAAACGTCGAATTTATCCGAATCATAAGGCAGGTGCGTGCCCAATATGTGGGATTCACTTTTTAGGGTCAATATTTTCTTTGAAACGTTGAAAACGCGGCCGATATGAAAGCAGAAGGTAAAACATATCAAAATTATTGTTATTATTTGTAATAATTAATGGCGGTGAATAGTGAATAAACGGTTGTGTATTTCTGCGCTTGCGGCACGCGGTGGACACGGCGACGACTCCATTCCCATGGCTACTGTTGGCATCCCTCTTTGACGCATGGTCACCACACCAGCCCGCCGTGTTGGTTCGTTGGAAAACGCGATCGGTCGGCGGCATTAAATATTTAAGAGCGGCCGGCATTTTCACGGCTCGCCCAAGAGAAAACGGCTTAGTGTCGCGCCGGACTTTCATTGAAACGGTCGAATTCCACGTGCGCGTTGCGTCAAACATTTCCATCGGCAGTCGCGTTACGTTCTGTCGTTTGTTCCACGTTCAGTTAATGAATTCAACTTGAACGCTATGCATGAAGCGTCCGAAGTCAGCGGGTGTGTGTTACTTGTTTATTGCTAATCGGTGAACCGCACAGGATGTGACTGTTGTGTATTTTATTACGAATCAACTTCGGCTCAACTCTCGATGGTTAAGACGAAAATCAGCTCGCGCCATCCGCGGCTTTGTTTACACCCTTGTGATCTCCGAGCGCTGTTGAATTATACTTAAAGACACGCATCTTACCGGAATATGGGAATCTGTTTAGACACAGGTAAATTTAAAATCTCTTTTGGTTGCTATGGAAATACCAAGTATTGTTGGTTGCCTGCAATCAAATTTATTTATATGCTTATTGTATAAGGAACTAGCAAATCAACGTTATACATTTTCAAAAATGCCGGTAATTTTTTTACAAATCAAAATAGTTCATATTGCGCAATATATTGAATACATTATTACAATATATTGAATAAATTGTGACAATTATTAATTTTTTATATATTGTAATGATTTAATAAAACAATAACCTGCACAATAATCGAATTGACAATGAACGATATCGACAATGAACTTAGTTGATAAAACGCAAGTCGAAGTAAACATTCACAACGTGTTTCAATGTGACGACCACACATGCGAATGGAAAACATGAGTTTTAATGCGCCTCGTTCTTCATATATAATTCAGTACACATTTACAACCGTAGGAAATATCGATTCGAGGGATAAGGGCAATTTGTGCAATAACAACAATAAAAAATCAAACAAGTTGCTATGACGAATATGATCCGGACAATAATACAAACTTTTTTAATCGTAGAAAATTATTTAAACTGCATTTTTGCTTGTCAATGTCTCCATTTGAATAAGGTTGCATTAAAATTTATTTCTCAAATAAATTTGAAATAGATTAAAAAATCGATTTAAATATGTAGGTATCCTAGGTTTTAAAATATAGAAATTGTGAGTGACAGCGTTAAATCGAAAGCGTCAGAATTTTTTTACTAGAACTAGTCATATATCGTACATTGTGGTGTTATAACATGCAATGAATTTATTTATCTTCACTACCATTTAATCTAATGGTATATGACGTATAGGTGAATATTAACTCAAAATAGCAATTGATTGCACAATTTTTCTAAATTAAAGCTGTGAAATATAAAAATAAACGTAAAACATAGAAATTAACTAATTTCAATCATATTGCCTTTATTAAGTATATTTATGAATAATCAATTAGATTAATACAAGTAATTAATAAGCAAGAAAAAATATTATCCAAACACGTCTTAATCATCCAATATCGTGACTCACAGTTCGTGACAAAAATTGCAGAGTTCTGAACTAACAAATCTCCTACAAAATGATTGATACCGCAATCACTATTTATCAAGCACCTGGTAGAAAAAACAAATTTGCTCATAAAATAAAACTGTATTAAATAAGTACGTATTTGTAAACATTTAGTAAACTAGTGTCAAATTTCGAAGATACTTCCATTTGTTGGATGAAAATGAAATGTCAATTCCTTCCTAATGATGATTAATAAATACGTTACTAATATGTTCATATTCATTCACTTATTGAAATTACGCGTGTGTCCAGTTCGATGGAATAACAAACTCGTATCATAGAAACGACCTTAAATAGTCCTATATAAGGTCAAGGTGTCAACAATCTGACTATATTGAAAATGTGTAGTCATGAGAAGCAATAATGCCTGACACCTTAAAACAACAGTTTGGAAAACCCGAACCTTCTTCGACCAGTAACGTTTTTCCGATGAGCGCGCATTATCGATTTACGCAATTGTTTTTATGGCTTTGATCTTGATAAACGGGAATGTACAAACTAGTGTTGTTTTTTTAGTTCATACTGCGGATAGTGTTACTATTGTCGTGTTATCATGTTGTGAAAAACATCTTTTTTTAATTATTGCCGCTAAATTTGCAGTAAGTGAATATGCTCAAACTTTTTATTTACTTTTTAAGTTATTGTTTTATGGTGCAATTAAAAAAATTAATAATTGTATAATTAGTGCGTAAAATAAGTCATTTATTTGTTTACTTAATAATAAAATTTATATAAGTATACTTTTACCAAATGTAAACTACGAAATTACGGAAAATTATTGATATTTGGCTGAAGTCGTTTATAATAATAATAATTATTATTATATTTTTTCCAAAAGCACAAATAAATTATGAAACATTTTTAATGTCAAGAGTTATTTAAAAGCACACGTGTTCAAATCACAAAATTTTGAAAACCGTTCACAAAGGATTTGTTTCTTGCCCAACAGGTGCATAAAACATGCGAAAATGCTAATTCGAAGATATAAATTTAACCATGAACGTTTGCCATTGGTTCAGTTTCACCCTTTTGCCTCGACGTGCTATTTTCGTAGCGCGTTAACTCATGATTCCAATTTGCATAAACCTAATTCAAATACAGGGTACGCAAATCAAATAAAATGAAACATAAATCATTAGTTCACAAAACAAGTTTTAAGAACTAAGTTGATGTAAATCATAAGATTATAATGTGGTTTTCAAATTTTCAGAACAAAGTGATGGTTCACAAGCATTCGAAGAAGGAAGAGAAACTTGGGCACGCAATAGCGCACGTAACGATTCAAGGACCGTCGTCACCCCTCCCGACGGCCAATTTCCAATGCACAACTCAAGCCCTGTTCAATTCGAAATGCCCAAAGTACCTGTTATATTCGTGTTGGGTACGTCCAAATTCCCAAGGAGTTCCGAATCTCAAAAACTCAAAAGTTGTATTTTTATAGGAGGTCCCGGCAGTGGAAAGGTGACGCACTGCGATAACCTGATGGAGGAGAAGAAGGGCATCGTACACATCAACATGACTGACCTACTACAGCAATACGCTATAGGCAATGGTAAGTCGATCTCAAATTTGCAATTATTGAATCAATGATTAACGACGCAAGCGACTTCAACGAGTTACCGTAGACATATGACATCTTCATTTGTGCTCCTGTGATTGTGTCACTGTGATATCTAAATGTTGTGTGATTGTGTGCAATTGCGTGCTCATGATGTTAATGTTCGTACAATAATTTCTCTTTAATATATAGATGGTCACAGCAGCCTAATCAATATCGGTAACATAAACAGCGAAGGTAATTTTTGAGTAGCAGACGAGTGGCCATTATTTATTTTATTATTTCGTATTAATATACAAATATTACCAACCACTGGCGCAAGAGAGTGTTGAACTTTGTTTTTCTTACTTATCAACTAAGTTTTTTTTTTAATAAAACGCGCGTTGTTTTTATGCTGAATTCAATTAATGTCTTTCGACATATTTACACGAATTTATTAAATGAATATTTTGAATTATAGTATATGTGTGTTTGCACTTGCTTGTTGCTCTGAGTCACCCTAGACCCAAAACTTTTGCTTTGAGTGTAATGTACGTTCAAGTACTCGTTTACTAACTCCTTCAGACACCAACATTAAAATTGTATGCATTCCGGTTGATTAGAAATATTATATTTGTTTGATTCACTATGTTTGGTCATTGACCGAATTATTATGATTGTAGTTATTTTCAAATGCGCATTGTTTTCAGATATGCAAGATTTTGGCATGTTGTCGAGCAAAACGGTCACGGAAGTACTAATGCTCGAAATGAAAATGTCGCCCACGGCCAAAACGTATCTAGTGTCTGGATATCCACGTAATATGAGGGATGTGGTTGAGTATTCTGAAAAGGTAATTGTAATTGTAAGAATGGTACTTTCACATTTTTGCTTGAAATTTTGAAAACATTTTCTGAACATTGTATTTATTAATGCGAGTAAAATTTGAGATTATGGCACAATTTTTCGGTTACAATTTTAAAATACTCAATATAAAATAACTTAAAAATAGTAAAAACAATTCACTGTTTAGTGGGTTAGACCCAAACCATAGGATCGAATAATACTGACGCACATGTCCTAAGTTAACCGTGCTTTTGGTGGACATTGGTCGACCATACGTATGATATAGGTAAATATCGATTTGTTTGTTCAAAGTCGCGTACATTCGATATACACACCAAAGTCAAACTGATAATACTTTAATAATTAAAATGATAATTATTGCTATAGAAATAATCCCACTATGTATAACTCAAGGCGCGTATTTGTTGTAACAAATTTAGCACAGGTGTCATAAATTTTCAGCTAATTTTGGCACAACCAAAAATATTTACGCATTATTTTATAAATATCTTTCGTTTGAATGCGCAACAAACTTTTTTTATAAACCACACAAAACTGTATTTTTTTTACTCCTGCCCTTCGACGTCGCTATATTTAACTCGTATTACCAACAGCAAATTCATGCAAATGATTCGTGGCGTGATAGTGCTCGCATTTATTTCGTTTCTTGTTCGAATTGGCCGCACTCGCCCCCTATTACAATTTGCGCTCGCGCTTTATGTTATAACGCGGCATTTATGCAAATTCAACAAATCGTTTGGCGAATTGCGTGCGCCACCAATCACTTAAATGTTGATTACATGTTACTAGCAACTCTAGCAAGATATTGGAAAACCGCATTATGAGAAAAAAGACGTTTTTTGTTTGCGTTGCATTTTCCGCATGCAATTGAAATTAAAATTTTAATGTCTACATACATTTTCAATTATTATATAGATTTTAACCCTGATGAATAAAGTATGGTGTAGAATGTAGTAGCCGAGTTCGTGGTAAAACGAACAAGGTGTAATTATTTTATATTTTATTAATTGAGGACTCGTCGATATGATATGAAAAATCAATAAAACTAATATAAAAATTGAATTGAAATTAAACGTCTATTCGTATTAATTGTAATAATTGTAACATGACAATGGCATTTGAGTTATAGAGTTTGATGACTTGATAACACTAAGGTCAATTGGTGCATTTGTAACAAAAAAATTGAAGAAAAACATAGCAATAAAATATTATAGATCGCTATTAAACATAGTAAAAAAAGAATTACGGCATTAAAATTGTTTTCTTGATATTTTCATGGTCAAGCACATTTAATTACAGTGTCTTGTGTTAGAATTCAAAAATCAATGAGATACGTAAATTCATTCATATATCAAAATATACGCACAAAATTGATTATTTTCTATACTGAAGCAAAGCTCGGTCTTGGTCGTTGGTAGTCATGAATGCTCATATCGATTTAGTGTGTGCATGCTCACTAAACACGTAAAATAATTGATTTATTCTATTGGTGCGTCTACAATTTGAGTAAATTTTATATAATGTTGTGCTTTGTCCGTTTGTAAGGGACCAGAAAACGTTGCTGAACAATAACTTTTGATTTTCCATAACAATGCCTCCGCTGGTTTTGTTCCTAAATTGTTCAGATAATGGCGGAAGGAAAAAAACCGGGTCTAATGTCAGTTGATTGCTTCGTTGTTGCATGCATGGGCATACAATCCACATGGCAATGCATTTGAACTGAAATCCCAACGAACGATAACGTTATAATGCACTGAACTTGAAACGAAACCGTGCCGGCGTAATTGCAGTGTTATCACGACATCGAAAAGCTCATGGGGCGCGACAATGAAAATGGCACGCTACCAAACCTGTTTACTGGGCATTTGTTGCGTAGTTATGGTCATTTGTTACGACTCCTACACAATTAGGCTCCTGTTTGTGTAGGCCTAATGCTCAATTTTCTGTATACAATAAAAATACTTTATGCATAAAAATGCTCAACGTTTGGAGGTTAAATGCGGAAATTCAAGAACATAACCTTAATGCTAATTTATTTGCTAATTCTGATTACAGATTCAAGTCGTTAACGGAGTGGTTTTGATATCGTGGCGACAAAAAGTTCTCGAAAGACAAATTGATTATGGTGCCAAATTAGGACAGGTCGTCCTTTCGCTAGCTCGTATGGAGCTTAACAATTTCTACAAGAATGTCATGCCTGTTGCCGATTACTTCGATCAGAGCAATATGCTGATATCGGTAAAGCATTTCATTTCAATTTAACATCTCTATTACAACTACAATAATTGCTATAATTTAATTTGACAGGTTAACGGCGAACGACATCCTGGTGATGTATACAAGGATTTTCGTTCCTCAATATTCCGTATATTGGGCATGCAGGACAACCCGCCTATCTTTTCTAATGGTAAAGTTGCATCAGTACCCGAAGATGTAACAATGGAATTGCCTACAGTTGTAAGTTAATAAGTATATTATACAAAAAAGAAATAACATTATTGTTATATATAAACAGCCTATGCAGACACAGGCACCACCTCCTGTTGTACCAAAACCACGTCCCGAGAAGATAATTCAACCAGTTGCACCACGACAAGACTCGCCTCGACCAGCAACCCAAGTGATATCAGTGTCATCACAAGAACAGCCGCCATCATACAGATCACCATTAAAACCAGGCATTCCAAATGTTCTATGGGTAATTGGTGGACCTGGCAGCAATAAAGCGACTTTATGCACGCAAGCCGCAAAGGACACCGGTTGGACTCATATCAGTCTCGGTAGACTTCTGCGGGCAACCGCTGAACCACCAGATCCTAAACCTGGCAGCGACGCTGCTAAAATACGCGATTGTATCGCTGGCGGTGAGCTGGTACCCCAAGATATCATCATGAAAATGATGGAATCGCACATAGCGGCGAATAGTAATACGCCAGGGATTATCCTCGATGGTTACCCGCGAAATATGACGCAAGCCAACGAATTCGAAGCCAAAGTAAGTGAAAATATTCAATAATCGAATATAATTCCAAAAATAAATTGATCACTATGAAGATCAAACATAGGTATATACTGACGTCAATTCATAAGGAATATGTATTGTTACGTACTGTTACTTGGTAACATAAGTGTTTTGTGTTTTGTCTACGATCTGATAAAAACACTCCACCGTTTGAGAACGGTGACTAATTGGATGAGTTTCGACTTATGCAGACTCAATATTTACTGGAATAATTACGATACAAACAAGGACAATTGGTCATATTTGAACAAGAAATTGTAAACACATACAACTCTATTTCGATCGATTGCCAACTCTTTGTTCAACTTATTTGTATCGTATTGCACTTGAGTGCAGGTAGTTTACCATGAAACTAGTTTAATCCCCAACGGAGTTCAAACAACGTTGAATAAGATTTTGCAAAGCAAATATTAATTGATTGCTTGTTATTTAATGTGTTCTAGTACAAACAGAAGCCTACATTGATTCTCCTCGATTGTTCTAAACTGCAACTTGGTCGAGGACGTCTCGATGACAGTGTGACTGCCTTTAGAAGAAGATTGGAAATTTTTAGGCAATCCTCCTTACCCATGTTGAAAGCAATGGACGACATTGGCCGTCTTACAATCGTAAATTAAATTAATTTCAAACAAAAAACTTATATTACTAAATACATGTTATTGTTTTCAGGTGGATGGTGATACAGACACAGCGCCCGTTCAACAAGACTTCCGCAACGTTGTGAAAGAACACATTCAATATTTGCGCGATAAGTCTTCGTCGGCAGCAAATGGACATGGTTTACCACAAGGTAAACCATTACCTAATGGCATTCAGAATCCGACAAAAGTTGATCCACCACCGGCTATGAACGGAAATGGTCCACCAAGAAGACAGGAAAGCATGCAGGTGCAAGACTTGGAAGGGGAACCTATTCAGACACTAAGTCGACAAGTGCAAGGTATGGGTAACGGTGTACTTGCGAACGGTGTGAATCACGTAGGTAATGGCGTCGCCAACGGACATGCAATGGTGAATGGCTATGCGCAGAACAAGTACAATCAATTGGACTTAGAACGACAGCAGAACATTCGACAACTGTACGGGGAAGTAAATTACATGGACGGACACATTTAATTATTGAAATTATACAATGGCCGGAAACTTGATATTCGACAGTCATAACCTAAAATTGTAGGTTATCTATAACTTTTATATAGAACTAGTAGTGGTGCAAATTTGTGATAAATTACAATACGGGACTCAATATTTTGTAACAATTAAATTATCAAGGATAATTCAGCAAACACATCGCATTAATTTACATATTAACGTATTTTAATATTTATTTTAGAGTAAAATTGATTATTATATAGATAGTAGTTACACAGGGTAACATAACCTATAATGTAAATCATAAAATAATAATTTTCTTATAGTTGTTATAAAATTGAAAAGTTAAACATGTATTTCAATGGAAATATTTTCATATCAACATAAAACTATTTTAGATTTAGTACATACATATACGATTTTTCGTGTCAATGACAAAGTGATGTATAAATTTGGTGCAATTTTAATGTAACTGTAATATAATTATCTACTTGACTCTAACACACCTTTCAAAGTATTGTTAATTTTACACATGAAAACTTGTAGATCTAATTGACGAAGTAACCAGTAAGCAAGTGCACTTAACGAAATATTTTACAACGATTAACTTTATAAGATTTTTATAGAAATAAAAAACAAACAAACGTAATTTGCATGTATTTAGAAATATAAAGTAACGTTCATTTTGTAATACTAAAGACACACACAATATAAATATGTTGGTTATTTCGTTTAATTTAATATTATATAATTAGTTTAATAAAAAGCAGCAAACAAAAATCAATGAGTTGGCATAAGTTACAATCATAACCTTAAAACGTAGCTATTCAGTACAACATTACAAATGTTATTTATATCTAAAGTAGAAATACGTGTCTGTAGTTTTGTTTTCTACTCTAATAAGAAACATCGATGAGCATAATTAATTTATAACAATCATTGTTTATTAAAAGCAGTTCGACCATCAGGTCCTTTCTCACAAATGTGGGTCACGCAGCCTTCCCCATGCAGCATTGAAAATATCGATCTTGCGTAGTATACTAGTGCAAGTACGAAATGCCATGCACACCACTTTCATTTCATCCCCCGAGCGGATAACACACAGGACACAGGACTCGTGCGCCACGTTCCAACTCGAGACATTTGAGGTGTTGAAATTGAAAGACCGTGGAGGACGAGTGACTGACGTGCGAACACATTTTTAAATATGGATACGGAGGAGGTGAATATTTAGAATCTAAAATTATATTTCTGAAATCGCAATCGTCTTATAACACACGCCACGCCAGATGCAAAACGCTTGAGTAATCGTAGATAGGTCAACAGCTTATATTAATAGAAAGTCATGAACTTCACCCATTTTCAATTTTTAACTTCAAGGCAATTGATTCACAACAATTCATGTTACTTTTTAAATCATTGTTTGTTCAGTTGCGCTTACATAACTCTAGAGGTTTAACCACTTGTTTACCAAATAATTGACAAATAATGAACAATTAGTGTCAGCAATGTCAAATTTATGCAAAACGAATTAGTGTGTCAATGAAATTAAGTTTGGTTTGGTAACTTCCGCGATGATACATTAATTAGCTTTAAAATTATGGCTCTAAGTTGTTGTACAGCGTGTCATAATGATAAGGTAAGCGGTATCTACATATCAAGGTATCAATGATAACTAATTAATCTCTGATTTTATCATATTATCTATTAGGTAATATTTATATTTGATTTAAAAAAAACTCATAGTATTTTATTCGCGTGATCGTGTGCCAAGTCAGTCTCACTTTGTTTATTGTGGGCACATGTTCTATTCGCTAAATAGCTATTTCCTCTCACAAACGCACGCTTGTACAATTGGTTGTACAGCTGGTAAATTTTCTTGCTAATAATTTGCTGGCGTAACATCCTGTATGTGTGTTAGCATTGAAACTAAATTCAGTAGCATAAGTGCTCGGCTTGGATGAACAAGTCCGCGCGATTTTTATTATTTTATATTTAGTCGTGCTCGTGCGTTTCTCAGTATCGGTCACAATGGCGCAGGTAAATTTGCAATACGCCTATGGCATTACATTGTTTATTGTTTAATTCTTATTGCATTATATTTATCAGAATAATTGAGATAATTGCTTTTTGTAGAATACTTTCAATGTTCCAATTATCTGGGTGCTTGGTGGTCCCGGCTCTGGAAAAGGTACCCAATGTGATAAAATCGTTGCAAAGTATGGATTTACTCATTTGTCCTCTGGCGATCTCCTACGCGCTGAGGTAGGTTTAATATTTAACTATACTGCAATACTTTGCCAATTCTTACTCAGTTTTTGATGCCAAGTAAAATATGTATTTTCAGGTAGCAAGTGGTTCCCCACGCGGCAAAGATCTCAGTGACACAATGGCAAAAGGCGCTTTGGTACCAATGGAAGTCGTCCTGGATCTGCTTCGCGAAGCAATGTTAAAAGCTGAAAAACCATCTGGTTTTCTGATCGATGGTTACCCACGAGAAAAGATCCAAGGCATCCAGTTTGAAAGCACTATTGCTGCAGTTGACGTGGTTCTCTTTTTTGACTGTTCCGAGGACACGTTAACGTCGAGATTACTTGGCCGAGCCGCTAGCTCTGGTCGTGTTGATGACAACGAGGAAACAATCAAAAAACGTTTGATTACTTTCAATACATTCAACAACGAAATTGTAGAGCATTATGAACCCAAACTGAAAAAGGTACTTACAATGTGATGTTACTCGTAATTCATTTTTTTTCTTCATTATTCTATATTTATTTTTTAGATTAATGCCGAACGTCACCCGGATGATATATTTGCGGAGGTAATACAATACTTAGATCCGTTGGTACAGAAAGCTGCCGCTGCTGTTGCGCAATAAATTCTGTCATGGTTAGTTTAATAGAAATCAACAATAATTAAGTAAATCGAATTACAATGAAGTACAAAAATTGTTCTGCAATAAATACAATACAATAAATATAGATTCGTCTTTAAGAATCAATTTGGTTTGTTGGTTGCTTATATTATCAAAATAAAACAACAAACGTTAAACTAACTTAACTTTTTTAATTGTGTAAATATACCTATTGTTTTCATCGAATTTATCGTATTAGCTTTTCTTTATCTGGTATTAGTACATCATTCAAATACTAATGATTATAAGAAAAATTGGTGAGACGTAATGATAGAAGAAGAACAGGAGCAAATGTCACAAAACTGTTAAAATTCAAAATTTGCCCAAAATAATTTCATTCTATTTAATATTTATTTTATCTTATTACGCAAAATTAATTAAATACAGTTAATAATTGAATTAAGAGAACATTTAGAAATGAGAAGATACGAAGTTTGTCGTTTAATCTAAACATCTGTTTCGACGTTTTCCTTTCTTTTTCTTATTCCTTTTATATTCTTTACAACTTTCTCTTTCCCCTAAAAATTCATTATAAATATATTAATTCCATTAGATGGCAAAGAATTACCGGAATCATCATAATCTTCACAATCAGCGTCTAAATATTTATTTCGGTATTTGTCCGGCGGTGTCGGATACAACTCGCATATGGAAGCCATTTGGTGCTTACAATTAACAATTTTCCATGTTTTCGTATCTTCTAGAATAACACAATCGTCGCTTTTAATTACATTTCTTGGTTGTCCAGGGCTCCAGGCTCGGTACTTGTAACAATTTATAGGATCGCCTAGTGGTGTCTCATATTGTCCCTCTATTTTTCTGTCATCAAGTCCGATATAAGCTGCTTTATACCAATCAGTTAAAAACGCCAACATTTTTGCTAATGATGTAGTGCGTGTTTCCGTGAGAACATGCGCTAAATCACTATAAATCGATTGACAGTTTTCAACTGCTTCAGAATAGTTTAGTTTTGTATGGATCAAACGAAATACTCCAACGGATTTTATACAAGTTGCATTTTCTAAAACTAAATTTAAAAAATTATTAATTTAGTAAACAGTACAGAATATGATAAAAACCTGAAACATTTCCATACGAACTGTAATAATCAAACAGTGTATCATTAACAAGCGCTGTAAAGTTATTTAATTCAGGACATCCCAATGCGTGGCAGTTATAAGTTGCTTTTTTACGCTTCTTTGCTGCTTCGGGTGGGCTATAATTGAAAGCTAACGCATTTTTTTCGCCCGCATAGATAGAACACTCCTTTAAAGAAGAAACCGACGTTCTGCCAACTGCATTAATGTCGGAACGACGACAATTTTTCACTTTATAAAATTTCCTAACACGGTTTTCTTGTAAGCACGAAAACGACACCGAAAACAATAAAAACAATAAAAGTAATTTTGTGTAACAGCACATTACAATGTATATTTGGTCAAATTTAGAGTGGATACACTTTCAGGTTCAATTGTTAGAAGACTAGTGATTTATATTCGTGGCGGATGAGGATGTAGTATGTCCAGGACGCTGAATGTTGACAGGCTGAAGGACGCTGTAATCAACTTTAACAACTTTTGATATTGGCTTTTCATTCTAAAATGTTCTTGGCAGCTTCACCAAAAATTCGTACATTCATTGCAGATTGAATTCGTGGAAATATTTCATCAGCTGTTTCTTTGCTTGTGTCAAACTAAAATTAGAATTAATTACTTTACAATAAAATATTTGGCACAAGTAAATATTACCTTCTCAACTTTGGTGTCGTACTTTTGCAAAGACGATTTTACATGTGAAGTATACTGCCGTAACTTGGCTTTAATTTCTTGTTTTGTTAGATGTGGCATTTTTTGTGCGTACCTCTCCAACATAACTGAATGGGAACATTTGAAAACAATAATGACATCAACCGGACCAATCTCTTTCACGAACATGTCGGCCTGTTCGCGGTTGATTGGAAATCCATTTATTATAAATCCGCTGGTCTGTTTAGCTTTTGCTAGCATCTCTTCTTTCAAAAGATCTAAAATTATAGTCTAAATTAATTTAATTAGTATTAATTTGTTTTAATTTAAAAAATCAACGCACATTTGGGATGTAGCCATTCTTCAAGTCGAGGTTTTCTTTGATAACACGTCCGCGATCGGTATCATTGGTAGCGTTTGCCCGTAAGAGATTGCTGATTTTGATGACTTCAAATCCGTAATTTTGTTGCATCGATTCCGCCTGTACATTCCGTCCACATCCCATCGCCCCGACCAGCCAAATGTAAGGTACCTTTATGTCTTGCAAAGCAGATAAATCATATGAAAGACGTTGCATCTCTGGTATCTTAAAAGGGAGAGATAAAATGGCAACTTTTTGCGCTTCTTGTCGTGGGATTTCATTACGCATTCGGCCGGGTCGCGTCTACCATGATTATTGCCCATCTTGACGAATAGTTTACGGTAATTACAAGTGCCAAATAATATTTTCTGCTGAATTTGGATTGAACAATTTTACTTTTTATTACAGCTTATAACAATACAATGACAATTTAATTAAAATAGTTTTGTTTTTGTTTTTATTATAGCGTTACAATGGTAATGTTTTATTTGTAAATACGCAGACGTCCTTTGTTTGTAATTTAATACAGACAATGAAATAATTATTGCAATTAATTTATTGAAGGTCATTTAATTATTATGCAACCAAAGTTACAGCTTTGGAAACTCAGCCGTGTTTGTGATCATTTCATCGCAGTTGTCACCGGCAAAACAACACGGACAACACCCAAAGGACACACAGGATTATATATATGTGACCAATTTTGACTAAATATTTCACATTTTACAATGGGACAAAGTAAAAGCCAATTTACTGATGAAGAATTACAAGATTACCAGGTAAGGTTGAATGAGGAATCAACTTTATCACATAATAATTGCATTTCTTTCAGGATTTAACTTACTTTACAAAAAAGGAAGTGTTATAGTAAGTAGTAACAAATACTCTTAAGATAAAAGTAACAATTTTAATAAATTATAGTGCACATCAAAAATTTAAGGCACTTGCACCAGAAAAAGTGGGACACAACAAAAATGCCAAACTGCCAATGCAAAAAATGCTTCAATACCCTGAGCTCAATGTGAATCCGTTTGGCGATCGTATTTGTAAAGTTTTTAGCTCAAGTAATGATGGTGACTGCACATTTGAAGACTTTCTGGATATGATGTCAGTTTTCAGTGAGTCTGCTCCAAAAGCAGTGAAGGCAGAACATGCTTTTCGTATCTTTGGTTCGTATTTACTTATTTTAATATTTTTTATTGATGATGTCTTTGCTTAGATTTTGATGGGGATGATATGTTAGGGGCAAATGATCTAAGGCAAGTAATTGACAGACTCATAAACACTCACAAATTAAGTGAGAATGAAATGGAACATCTTATCAGGAATGTATTGGAAGAAGCTGATTTAGATGATGATGGAGCTTTATCATTTGCTGAGTTTGAGCATATTATTGATAAGTCGTCGGATTTTTCAAGGTTAGTAGTTGTTGATTGTTTTAATCTTTTAATCAAGGAGATTGACACACAGGATGAATATGTAATCAATTTTCTATATCTTTCTTTATCTATAATTGTATAATGAGCAATCAAAACATAACCATTTATGTATTACATCTTTGCACCGTTGTGCAAAGGCCAATCAGTGAATACTTTGATTTATTGAGCAATGATTTTGAATACTCACTCATATTATGCATAACAAATAATGTTATGTTAGTAGTGTCTACCACACAATGATACAAATATCTTAGTAGTGTAATTGCCATATATTTATTTGATGGTATTTCTTTACAGCACATTCCGCATTCGTTTGTAATCATAGAACAACAATACTGCCCATATAAAACGTGTTCAAGACCTCTACAGTATGAAATTTTTTATATTATATTATTTATATGTGATATTTGATATTTAGTTAAGTTACAATCTCATTTTTTATATTGTATAGCCATAATTAGACTTATACTCAAATAGTTGATATTAAAATAACATGACAAGCCTGTTTATGATTGTAAATATCCAGGCAACTTCATTCTCATAAATATAAATGTTGTGAAAAATGATACCAATACACAAATAAAACCTACTGCAGTGATCATTAATCTGTTCAGTTTTGGTGTGAGTGGTGAATGAATATGGTCCAGTACAATAAAACCCAAACCACCCATTGAGAAGAGAAAACTTGATGCCAATCCTTCCATTATGTATTGGCCATTTACTCGATATGGCATAAATGCAACCTGTTAATTATATTAACATACATTAACAACATGTATTAAAATATAAAGTACTAAATTTGAAGAAAATGTAAACTTACAGGCCTCGAGTGACCATGCTCATCAGTTGTGGATCCAACACTTGGTGGCTCAACAATTACATCATAGATTATTCCTAATGGAAATGATCATTAAGTATGTTTAATGTTTTATAATATAAGTTAAACTCACCTCCAGTTACTAAAAAGTAAGATACAAGAACTATTGCAAACATTGTTTTGGGAGAAGGTTGGTGCACCCATGATGGTTTCTTGATCTTGATATTCGGGCATTCGAGAACGAGATAAGGAAGAGAACACAATTTCTCCATGATAACGTTGTTATGTATTTACTTGTAAATATCTATAAACACATAAATAGAAAATGTAAACTACCCGGTAGATTAAGGTGCTGTAACCTCAACAATCATTTGCAGCCACATACATAAGCTTATGTTGTGTACATGTCAAAAACAGGGTAACTCACAAAAAAATGCCGAACTCGAACACTAAGAGACAGTAACTACGAAAATGAGACAAATATTTGAATTCGTTATTATGATTATATTAATGCAAGGGGTTGGGAAATTTTACTAAAAATATATTACTTTCATTCACCAAATTTATATATACAGGGGAAAGCTTTTATAGGTGAAAGATGGGATTGTAATTGCAAATCTATCCAATCCATCTCTTCGTCTTCATGGCATCAGCGAACAAGGCCATCGTCTCATTAGGGCATAGTGACTATGCCCTGCTGAAACTTCAACACTGCAAGCATTTGTTGATGCCTTACCATTAATGCCTTTTTGTCGATGGTTGCCTTCCCTGAGTCTTTGATGAACAATGTTCACTTAAGTTTAGAATAAAGATCAACAAACGATTCAGTAATAGCATAGATTATCTTTTGCAGATCAATATGTTATAATGATCATTATAGTTATCAATTTTATTAATAATAATTTAAAATTTCCTTCTTTCCGAAAAACTCTAGGTATGTCTATTCTGCAATCTGCGTCATTTTATTTAAAAACTCAGAGAATCTCAGTGATAAAATAAACATGTGAAGACTTTTCCACCAGTTAACCCTTGTGAGCATGTCGCACATGTATATTTGGTGAGAACTTTCTTGAAGACAAACCCACCCATGCAGTTATCGAAATCGGAATTTCCTGTAGTCGAAAATTCAAAATTAACATCTACACATTACTAAGCATCTGTGCATTTATATTTGGCGTAGCACCCACATAATTTGCAAAATTGCTGTATTTATCCGACAATTCGCATTCTCAGTGTGGATACCAATACTTCCATTGACAGTAAGACCTAATATAGACTCTTTGAAACGGGTTGTTGTGAGATTTATATTTTGCATACCATGCCTGTGAATTCTTGCAAATTCTTGCTTTTGCTGTTCTGTATAGTTGATGACTGTTTTTATAATATTGAATCAGGTATAACTTCAAATATATGCATAACACACAAATGGAGCATGTGCAAATGTGCACTCACTCGTGCAATTTGTTACGTTCGGATTGCAGGCAAATGTATGTAAACAAATAAGAAAACAAGTACAGTCATTTGGTGCTAAAAAATGTGGTTGCTTGGAAAATAGTGCGGGATTGTTGAAAATTGGTATTCATATAGATCGTATCTTGTTCGCTCGAGCCACCATCTTGGAAAAATGGTGTCAAAAAACCGTTTTTTGACCATATCTCCTTTCCGACTCATTTTCCGATAAACATATCTATATAATAAATTAAACTAGAGAAAATTTCCTATAATTTATGTAAGTACCTTTTTCTTGTAAAATTAATAGTTTTTGCGTACGGGCGCCACAAAATCTACTTCAACATTAATTTTGGCCAAAAACTCATTTTCAGGTCATCATGACTGCTATTTTTGCTTGCTATGATTTGAGGGTGCTTCTGCTCCCCCTCGCTTGTTTGAAAGTTTCGCCGGCCGAGTTTACTTTTGTTTTATTATTTCTTCATTGAGTCATTATTTGATATTTATTTTTCTGAATAGTCGTGTTGTTTGCAGTTTTGATGCCATGGTTGATAACGTAAATTGTTTTATTTGTAAAACTCCATTGCAAAATAGTGAAGTGATTGAAGTGAAAGAAAAAGGATTGGAGACCTTTTGTATGTCAAGCATTAAAAGAAAGGATAATAAGGGTAAAGGGATTGGGATCGGTAGTTGTTCGCGAGATATGACGGAAACGATATAATAATGAGAAACTAATCATTGAGTTTAAAAAAGGAAGTGTTGTCACGACTTTTCAACCACAACTGCGATCCACGTGCCTAACATTCTCATTTAAAGATCATTGTTTTTTGTACGCTGCTGAAATAACAGCAGAATTTATAGCGAAATAAAACGGACGAATTTGAATGATCGAAATATTGTGTATAGCGTACATAAATTATCGATGAAAAACACTATTTCAGAACGTTCTAGAGCACGTAATGATGATTGGGGTAGAGCGATTGTTGAATGCCTCGAGCGTGTTTATGATTTGGTCGCAGCCAATGCACAGTATCACAAATATGCATGTTATCGGCGAAGATGTAGATCTTCTTATTCTTTAACGGCACTATCAATGTATTCAAACATATATTTGCTAAAACCAGAAAAAGGAAAAATTTTGCAACAAATCTATTCAACCAAAATCATGATCGATCAAACAGCGGCAGATCACATATTATTCTTAGACGCTTTTTGTGGCTGTGACACAACATCTGCACTCTTTCATCAAGGAAAATTAAAATGTATTAATGTACTCCGCAAAAATCCAGATTTAAACGAAGTTATCCAGGTATTCAAAACAAAACCCAAAGGCTGGTACAGAGATCATTGCTACAGCTGGCGAATTCTTCCTTCTTAAATTATACAGTTACAGTGATGTGAAAACTATGCAAAATATGTCTTCAAACATCTATAGATATGCCAGCTTCACAAAATCAGCATACAAAAATAAATTTAATATTGCATCGCTACCACCAACTGAAGCCGCAGTCCGACAACATTCGTTGAGAACTTATCACCAAGTTAAGTAGTAGTATGGGAATGAACTAAATGCAGAACAATGGGGATGGAAAAGAAACAAGAATGGGCTAATTCCTGTCACCACACTTGAGCCCCCAGCCCCATATCTTGCAAATGCAAAAAGGATGTCAGAAAGCCTGCAGCTGCAGAAAGACTGGAATGAAGTGCTCCGGTATCTGAACAAATTGCAGTGGTACCTGTGATAATTTGCAAGTTCCATCACAAGATAGCGATGAAAAGGAAGAAACGATTACCGTTTTGAGCACACGTACGATGAACTCGAGAACCAAGATTGCATTGAAAACGATAATCCCATCACGGATAGTATGGAAGAAATTTTTACCTGTGATATTTCGATCGGTCCTGAAGATAATTAACGCAGAACACTTGGTCTATCGCGAAGAGCGTATCGGAAGACAATCCATTAAATTTTGGAATAGTGCGTGTGGTTTAGGCCTACTGGGGATACCAAGATAAAAAACAAACGTGCCACGTACTCTACCTCATGGTGGTGTGGTGTGACTTTTGGCAAAAATTAATGTTGAAGTAGATTTTGCGGCGCCCGTACGCTAAAACTATTAATTTTACAAGAAAAAGGTACTTACATAAATTATAGGAAATTTTCTCTAGTTTAATTTATTATATGAGCCGTTTATTTTGAAAGTGACCTAACTCCGTTTTTCAATTTTTGCCGGTTACCATGGTTACATGTACAACTTCATGTTATTTATCAGTGACGCACTTCAGATTGCTTATATTCAGAGAAAATACGGTACATTTTTACACATAGGTTTTCCGAATTAATTGAATAACTGACCCGTGTGGTTTGAAAGTGGCCTAACTCCATTTATAGTTACATCAAGGTATTTACTATTGATAATGTTGGAAAGCAGCGATGAAGGTAATTTCAATTAATTAGTATTTACAAGTCCACCTCATTTTTGGGACAATTGCGTTAGTTAATTAACCTGTACGTTTAATTAATATAAAACTTAAAATTTACTATCAAATTATAGAAATTATTGCACCCATGAGGAAGAACCGAAGAAGACCACTTAGTTCAGATAGTGAAAAAGAAATAGTAATTAATACCTAATTAAAAAAAAAGCGAATAAGAAAAAGAGTTATAAAACAATATTCCTCGTCAGAGGATGAAGATTCAAATAACAATGGAGAAAAGATTGATGCACCATATATCCAAAAAGTGCGAAAGATAAAACGGAATTCAGGAAAAAGATATTGCAGTTAAACCGGAAGAATTGTTCATGAAAAAAATTTCGAAAACAAAGATTGTGGTTGTCGGAATGCGTGCACAAAAAATTATAATGAAGAAGAAAGAAAGAATATTTTTAAGAAGTTTTGGGGTTTGGCAGATTTTAACAAACAAAATGTATTACTTCACGAAGCTGTACACAAACGAAGACGTTTTTTCTTCAATTTGAAACATCTTAAATTATGTTGAATGGACTTGGGCATTTTCAAATTTTATAATGAATCCATTGAGAAGTTAAAACTTGAGGCCAATCCTTCCATTATGTATTGGCCATTTACTCGATATGGCATAAATGCAACCTGTTAATTATATTAACATACATTAACAACATGTATTAAAATATAAAGTACTAAATTTGAAGAAAATGTAAACTTACAGGCCTCGAGTGACCATGCTCATCAGTTGTGGATCCAACACTTGGTGGCTCAACAATTACATCATAGATTATTCCTAATGGAAATGATCATTAAGTATGTTTAATGTTTTATAATATAAGTTAAACTCACCTCCAGTTACTAAAAAGTAAGATACAAGAACTATTGCAAACATTGTTTTGGGAGAAGGTTGGTGCACCCATGATGGTTTCTTGATCTTGATATTCGGGCATTCGAGAACGAGATAAGGAAGAGAAAACAATTTCTCCATGATAAAGTTGTTATGTATTTACTTGTAAATATCTATAAACACATAAATAGAAAATGTAAACTTCCCGGTAGATTAAGGTGCTGTAACCTCAACAATCGTTTACAGCCACATACAGAAAGAAGCTTACGTTGTGTACATGTCAAAAACAGGGCAACTCACAAAGCATTGCCGGACTCAAACGCTAGGAGACAGTGACTACGAAAATATGACAAATATTTGAATTCTTTTTATTATGATTATATTAATGCAAGGGGTTGGGAAATTTTACTAAAAATATATTACTTTCATTCACCAAATTTATATATACAGGGGAAAGCTTTTATAGGTGAAAGATGGGATTGTAATTGCAAATCTATCCAATCCATCTCTTCGTCTTCATGGCATCAGCGAACAAGGCCATCGTCTCATTAGGGCATAGTGACTATGCCCTGCTGAAACTTCAACACTGCAAGCATTTGTTGATGCCTTACCATTAATGCCTTTTTTGTCGATGGTTGCCTTCCCCTGAGTCTTTGATGAACAATGTTCACTTAAGTTTAGAATAAAGATCAACACACGATTCAGTAATAGCATAGATTATGCAGTTCAATATGTTATAATGATCATTATAGTTATCAATTTTATTAATAACGAGCGGAGGCAGGCATAGTGTTCGAGTGAGTGGACCGATCTTCCGTCTCTCTCACTCTAGCGGCATACAAACGAATGGAGATTTTCTCGTGCGGTTAAGTTTTCGTTGAATATTTAACAGTGAAACAAAATGTGAAGTGCAAGTGAAGTGTTACAACAATTGCAACAAAAAAAATTATATCACCAATAAGACGTTATCACGTAAACAACTCGATCGTAAACTTACTTTACAAACAACCATTTTTTTTTATTAAATAAAAAAGTAGCCTATAACCATTCCGGGACCATCGGGGACCACTAAGAATATGTGTACGGATTTGATGTTGACTTATGTGTGAGCTTCATTGCTGGAATGCTAGATGGCGTTAAAGTAGTCAAATAACCAGATGCAGAGATGTTAGTGACTAAACAATTTCTTTATTTTATTTAAAAAAATAATTATTTTTATGAAATAAAAAGTAGCCTATAACCTATCGGGGACCACTAAGAATATGTGTACAAATTTTCATGATGATCTGTTAAGTAGTTTTTGCGTGAAAGCACGATAAACTTCAGGACATACGCATTTATAATATTAGTAAGGAAGTAAGGATAATTTAAAATTTCCTTCTTTCCGAAAAAACTCTAGGTATGTCTATTCTGCAATCTGCGTCATTTTATTCAGAGAATCTCAGTGATGAAATAAACATGTGAAGACTTTTCCACCAGTTAACCCTTGTGAGCATGTCGCACATGTATATTTGGTGAGAACTTTCTTGAAGACAAACCCACCCATGCAGTTATCGAAATCGGAATTTCCTGTAGTCGAAAATTCAAAATTAACATCTACACATTACTAAGCATCTGTGCATTTATATTTGGCGTAGCACCCACATAATTTGCAAAATTGCTGTATTTATCCGACAATTCGCATTCTCAGTGTGGATACCAATACTTCCATTGACAGTAAGACCTAATATAGACTCTTTGAAACGGGTTGTTGTGATATTTATATTTTGCATACCATGCCTGTGAATTCTTGCAAATTCTTGCTTTTGCTGTTCTGTATAGTTGATGACTGTTTTTATAATATTGAATCAGGTATAACTTCAAATATATGCATAACACACAAATGGAGCATGTGCAAATGTGCACTCACTCGTGCAATTTGTTACGTTCGGATTGCAGGCAAATGTATGTAAACAAATAAGAAAACAAATAAGGTATCGTACCCCAAGCATTATAAGGAATATGAAATAAATGAATTATGCCAAGAAACTGTTAAAAAGCGCGGTTAAATGTTGGCGCATGCGTTTTTGCATTCGAAAATGCCTACATCGCACACAGTTAAGACAGTTAGAAAATTGCCGCTAAACTCGTTTATAACGGCCCTTGCATGTGATAGTATATCAGAGATTAATACCTTTAAGTAAATATGTACAAAATAATCAAATATTTATGCGTTCCCAGATCAGTGTCTTACTGATTTACGCTACAATGTGATTTGGGCTGCCTACATTGCAATTACAATTTGTACCTAATGTACGAAACATTTCCACGTAGTATTGCTCGAAACATGCACCTCCCTCTAGTAAAATTCCACGAGTAATAATTCACAGTCATACCAGCGTATGCTACTCGTATGCGCTACTCGGCATTCGTCATAGTCATTCGGGTACAATGTATGTATTGCACGGATGTACGCATGTGTTGACAACATACATAGTACTGACATTGACAAGTACACGTCAGTTTTTCACAGTTGCTAGCAGTCGTTAGTGCATGCGAGTGGTTGCAAGACAAACGTGAAGTCAGCACGCATCTCATCGCACGAAAATGATATTTGCGCGTTTAACATCGAGACGATAATGAAGATTGGTATCGGACGCACTTTTACGTATTTCTACAGCCGGTTATTTTGGACGCTGTGAGTATTTACTTCGGCGCAAACGACCCATATCCCTTCATAAACACCCCTCGAGTACCCTAATATTTGCCGAAATAACGGTTGGAAACTTGTAACCGTTACAACCCCGATAATTACAGCTGTACTGCAATAAATTGTTTGTTTTAATGCTGTTCAATTCTTTCAGATTGTTTATTTTGTGCGCAACCTTCACACAAACTGAAGATGTTGTTACAAAAGACGCGCCTGCAACAATACAGCAGAATTTATCTGCAAATTATTCCGTGCCGGAGAAAACTAGCGTTCCCAGCACTGCAGCATCACCATCAACATCAACAACCAGTGGCGGTGATGATAAAATAGTCGGTAAAACAGAGTTGAAAAGTGAGGATGTGGTGCAGTCAAGTTTTGTTGAAGAACCTCAAGATGGTGAAACCTTTGCAGCACCATCTGAATTTGGTTTTGCTGAGGTTGCATCACAGAATGCTGGAATTCCTAATGAGTAAGTTATAAATATTTTCAACAAACTATTAAAATTATTTGGCTCATGCATATTATTTTTAAGTATATCTTGCACAATATTGCAGTTTATGTTCTGGAAAATTTGTTTCTATTTTATTTATTTTACATCACAAGAGAACATGTGTTAGTGTTATCATTTTTTACATGGTTGCTCAATGTTAATTAATTGAAAATAATGTATGTGGGCAAATTATGCATAGGCGGGAAAACATGTGTGGTGTTAATGTGTTTAGTCTATTTCGTGCGTTTGGTTATATAATAATCACTTTAAGACATGTTTGTTGTAAGATTTTTTTGTTTAACAATGACAAAAAATAGAGCCGGTTACTGAAGTTGTTTGAATAGGCGGCAAACATTCTTTAAATTTAGCATACCTGTATCTTTTTGTCTGTTTAGTCATTTGCTTGAGATACAAAGGTAGATAACATGCAAATTATTTTCATTTCTAGAATTACTGTGTCATTTCTGATTAACTGACACAATTACAATCATTGTAATTGAATTGTAATCCAATTGAGAGATTTTAAAATACGAGTTATTATTTCCGCTTTAATCAGTTGAATGAAAAATAATGCGTAAAAGTAGCATGAGTGGGTGAAATCGTGATAGTGATGAGCGTAATAATCGTAAATTTACCATAGCATTGACGAAAGTTGGATATTTATAAAAGTCTGGCAAACTTTCATGCGCGAAGATGAAATATCTCAATGAGTGTCATTGGAAATTCCAGTGAATGTTAAACAAAATCAAAGAAAGTTTCAAACGCTTGCATTCAAATTTAACTTATTACTTACATTTTCCCACCAATAGATAAATTTTACCATGGGAATTGAAATATTTTAAATCTAATTTAATTTATTCCCGGTATCATATTCAATGTCGCGCTGACTGGTTGAACTTACAATAAGCCCAGAATAAACAAAAATAATAAGACTAGTGGATTAGTTGTGCCTTATAATATAATAATGATGAAATGTTTAATATTGCTGCATGCTCAATTTGAAGCGATATTGCATGTTTGTTGATGTCGCTGTCGTTAAGCGCCATTCGCGCAACTTGTTGATACAAACATAATTTAAAAAAAAGCATTGATCTTGATAGTTCCACATTTCCTGCACTCGATCGATTGTTGTCAAAGCCAGTTAATTATAATATATTATGCTAAATGAAGTTTACAAGGTCGCCTATTGATATTTGAGTGTGGTGGCCAGTGGCGGGATCAATACATCGAAAACAAAATTTATTTCGACCATGCACCGAAATCATTTGCGCTCGACGATCGACTTGTGTTATCAGTTAGTTGCTAGCTTATCGTAGTGCAAGTGAGTGGCGGAAATTACGCGAAGGGGTTAACAACGGTTATGTTCGGACCTTAAACAAGCACTTTGTATAGTTTTAATTAACGGTTTAACTGCGCTGGAAGACAATTGATTGTTTAATGTTGTGCGTAGCCGACCAATCGGGAAGCAATTCGTGTAAAAATGTGCTATTCGTATGGGTTGTACGACTTAATTAATGGCCAAATAGGCGCTTAAAAATGTCGCGATTAATATTTTACCGACCGTTTAATTTGCGCTGATAAAGCAAATAACTTGATAACAACCTTAAATGACTATTCGGTAATTCTACCGGCTTCGTTCTACCAGTCTCTTCGATCTTTATTTAGTAGTTTTCATCGACTCGATATACCTAGCATGCTTTGAGAACGGAAATAACAAGGAGACATGCACTTGTGCGTAGATGTATTTCTGTTGTTCGTCGCGCTGCTTGTTGTTGGTTCAAGGTAAGATGTTTATTTTCATCGACGTCGTGCGTATATTAATTGTACCGGTTAATTGTGTTTACCACAGGGATTAACATATCAACATATCACATATCAGTGTTTTCTTTTTCTACGATTGTGCGTAAACCCGAGAGCAACAACTTGAGAGCATTTGATTTATTTGTAAATGGGTACTTTTTAAAATTATTCGTCAATATTTTATACATTTTCTTCTATCTATAATTGAATTTTGCTTAGGTTATTTTAATTTTGTTTCCTAGGACTTAAGATCTATGAGAATTTTTTAAGTCCTTATCATTATAATTGTTGAGTATTTATGCATCCAATTATTTATGCAGCAAATTTGGCAACATTCTTTTCAGTTTTTATTCCATGATAATAATATATGCGACTTTTTTAAATCTTATCATTAGACAGTTTAATAGGAGTAATTACGCAAGAGAGTGATAAATTATTTGACAAATAAACAAAATCGCAGATAAAAAATGGCCGTGCGTCATATTGCGTTTTATATATTTCCCAGCCTATTTGTTGCATCTGCTTAAACTTGGGTTTTGTGCTTTTTGCGTTGAGGTCCTAACTGAAATGACATTCGAATATCAATGAACTGTTAAATAACCTCCGCGAACGTATTTTCTAAATATAAAACGATTTTATCTCATAGTAGTGGCGCACTTACTTGATGCAAGTAAAAATGTAATATTCGAATATTTGGTCCATTACTATTTTATTTATAAGCACAATTGGTATTAAAAAAATATGGTATAATACAATGACCAAATTAAGTATTCTGTTTTCCATTTAAATAATGGAAAATGGGAATAATGGTAGTTCACAAGCGGGCTCATAACTAAGATATCGAATTATATGTATGAACAAGAGCGAAATATGCAATTCATTTATGTATTATGTATTAATATGAATAGAAATATTATTTTGCAAAATTGATAATTTGTATTGGTATAATACGGATATTGTGGATGCGCCACCCTTTTTTTGTATAAGTAAACAGGGTGTTTGGGTATTTTTAGGCGGATCCTTCTTGTATTCAAAACATTTTATAGCGTAACAACAATTCTCTGTAATAAAGAAATAGGTTCATATTTAAATGTGAAACAAATTTAAGGTTGTATTTACCAGAGAAATTGCAATGTGTTAAAAAGTAGCATTTTGTTCAAAGTTTAGGGATTTCGAAATGATATACATTGCCAGCAGCAAACCTAACATTATCCTCCACAGAGTAAAACGTTAAAGAAGATCTTACTTCAATAGGCAAAAATCACAAAGAGGTGTGGAAATTTCAAATGGCCATGCAAATAAAATCTGTTCGACTTGACTCATTTTCTCTTATATTGCATTATATTTAATTAAATTTAATGAAAATATACACTTGCTAAAGATGCGAAACACAATAATTTCTGTCTTTTCCAAATGGAAGAATATTCGGAATATAGTCCGCAAATTGTAACGTGTTCGGCGCATAGCTCATTTTTCACTGACACGAAAACAATCAAACAGTATTACGGCACGTTGCAGCAAAATAATTTTATCATAAAAATAAATTGCCGAATACAAATAAATAATTGGAATGCCTTTGGAAAAAATAATGATTTACTATATAAATTTGGTGTTACATTACATGCATGTTACATGGTATTACTGTTTCATTTATTTTATTTTAATTCTTGACTGTTGAAGGACCAAAAATAAAACTGAATCCATTTTATGTACAACGCGCGTTATGCGAGCAGATTTAGGTCGACAATTAAAACAATTGCATGTAATTCAAAGCTCTTGTGACTGGATTTTATCACAGAATGACGGCGGATGTTAAGAAAGTGCAGTTGTGCCGTCAATTTTGAAGGTCTGTAATTATGCGTACTATTTATACATACGCCAAAACTCACAAAACAACATCGCGCAGATATTCGTGTAAAGTTGAATTTTATAACAATCTGTTTTTGAAACTTATTTACTTCGAAAATATTTCACGGCATAAATATGCGAATTTACAAAAATTTTCCATCATTTAAATTTTTTTGCTCTTAATAATTTAATAATTATATTTCCCAATGAAATTGTATTATGTGTGGTTGATTATTATCAATCTGTTAATCTGCACTTAAAAAGGCACAATTTAGTAGTTTAATTATTGACCTCAGCGGATTTACTAAACGGTTGTTAACGGTTGCGTGCATTACGCACGTTATGACTGTACTTACATATTTGTTTACATATCTTCAATGTAACTTCCGCCTGCGTATTCACTGCTAATTATCAATTCAAACAAACAATTTATATCTTAATATGTAATAACGTATAAATATTTAATGTAAAATTGTTTTGTTGTAGAATCAGTGATGCTGGTCAAATTGTAGTAACGCTGGTCGATTCCGCATCGGCTGATTTACAACAACGGGCCGAACAATCTAGTCAAGTTGAACATGAGACTGTGCTCACCAATAATGTCACTCGGGAGGACAAAAAGGAAACCCTCAAGGAGAACATAACGATAGAGGACATCCCTGAAGTTCAGGAACAGCCGACGCAAGAAACAAAACCGCTCCTAGAAGTGCCAAAAATTGAACCAAAAGAGAATCTGACTGAAGAGATTCCATCGTTTTCGGAGTGGACACAGAAGCAACTTGAGGAGGCTGAAAAGAAACGAGAGGAAGTTAATTCCTCATCGCCACATCATGTGAATGGAAAAACTGGCAATAACAACAAAGTTCGCTCGAAAAACTATGCATCACCTGACTGCGGTGCGAAAATTGTCGCTGCTAATCCCGAAGCAATTTCCGCTGGTTCCGTTTTAAGTCCGTCGAGGGACGAGTACAAACTGAACACGTGCACAAGTCGGATATGGTTTATTGTAGAGCTGTGCGAGGCCATACAAGCGAAGAAAATTGATTTAGCCAATTTTGAATTGTTTTCCTCGTCGCCGAAGGACTTCAGCGTTTCGGTCAGTGACAGATTTCCAAGTCGAGAGTGGTCAAATGTCGGACAGTTCACCGCCAAAGATGAAAGAGATATTCAAAGCTTTGATTTGCATCCACACTTGTTTGGAAAATACATTAAAGTCGAAATGCATTCGCATCATGGTTCGGAACATTTTTGTCCGATTTCTTTATTTCGTGTGTATGGCACATCAGAGTTTGAAGTTTTAGAGAAAGAAGATCAACAACACACTGAAGAGGAAGACGATGATGATACGTTGGATTCAGAAAAGCGACCAGGGCCAAAAAATCTATTCTCTTCAGCAACTGACGCTGTTATTTCTATCGTGAAAAAAGCTGCGGAAGTATTAGGCACCAAAGGGAACTCGAGTTCAGACAGTAACTTACAAGAGAACACGCATGATGAAAAGCGTTACTCACCATTGATTAGTACATGCACAACTCCGAGTCATATCGTGGTCTGTGACAACTGCAGTGATGTATTATTCGGGCAAGTATTTGAAATGCTAAGCTGTCGCGCGCATCAACTGCAGACTTTGTTGTCCATCAAACTTATCAAACGCACCATTTATAATACTTCTGTGTGCGTGCAATTCGGATTTGAATTTCAAAATAAATGTGCTTTGAACTGTTCCACGGCAATTACGTCTTATGTGGAAGCGTTCTTTTCAACTCCGTATTTAGCAGCGCTCTGCAACACGATGGCCATTCTTGAGAATAAAGTAGTACTCAACGTAAGCAATCAGATGAATATGACTGATAAGGAAGTAGCAATTGAAAGCAATATCAGCGTTAAGTTAGATCAACCTGAGACTGTGGTGAAAAGCGAGATGCCGACTACAGTTAAGAATGAAGAGACAATTGCAGCTGAGGTGCCCGCACCTCCTCACACTGTCACAACAGTCAATGAGGTCGTTAATGCAGATGCAGATGCCACAAAAATAAATCCAACAAAAACGTTGACATCAGAGGAAGTTATTGAAATGACACAATTTACGACTCATGATGATTCTGGTCCCTGGAGAACATGTGAATGTAAAACCTACACAGACGCTCGAAGAAAATGTTCATAAAGAAGATCATAAAGAGGTGACTACTGAAGAACCAATAACTGAAGTTAGTTCAGAACCCAGCGTTGATGAAGAAGCCGCGACCGAAAGTAACGAAAACTTAGATTTGGAACATTTAATGTCCGACTATGACAATAACAACGCTCCTGCGAACAGTGCAACTCCAGCACCACCAAAGGAATCCGTCTTTCTGCGTTTGTCAAACCGCATTAAAACGCTAGAAAGAAATATGTCCTTATCAAGTCAATATTTGGAAGAGTTGAGCAGGCGATACAAGAAACAGGTGGAAGAAATGCAACGCTTGCTAGAGAAGACTATTACCACGCTCGATGAAGAAAGGAAAGGTAAAGATGACCGCATCGATCGGTTAGAAGCAAAAATTGGTCAACTGACGCAAAGCATCGAGGCATTGGTGGCGGAACGTGATAATTCTTTCAATCCACTACATTGGCTTGTACTCATTTTAGTCACTACGATTGGGATTTTTACATTTTGTCGACGACACGATCATAAACATTTTGCCTCCGCTAGCTCCTTGGTTGAAATACACCGTCGGAAGTCCATCGATGTAGTAAATCATCACACGCCCGCCAAGAAACAACGCAGACCTAGCGAGGAAGCGTTGAAAATTTCCGGTACATATGAACATCTTCTTCTCGATGACGCCGAGTTGCGTAAACGTACACGTGAAAGAAAACGCAAACGCAAGAAGGGCTTGCAACGCTCGAATTCCATTACAACTTTGGGTGAAGAGCACCAATACAAGGCAATTACGCCGGAGTTTAATCCAACTATTCCAACCATTCCAACATGGTTGCGCCAGGAATCCGCACCGGCTCAAGTTCCGCATAACTGGAACGCAAATCTTAGTGGTCTGGATGAGGCGCCGATTGTTCTGGAAGAGAGCGATAATAACCCGTTGCAAGATATGCCGCTTCCAAAACCGTTGCAGGAAAAAGATAAGGCTGCAGGAATTAGTAGTAATGGTAGAGCAGTGCTTTTACCGGTTCGAAAAATATCCTCGCCTGCGTTTCTTAAAGCGGTGGAAACTCGGAAACCGAAGAACGGATTTTTTGAGTTAATCGAAAAGGGCCATAAGAAATCCGCCAGCGTGGATGAGACAAAGCGGCAGTCGAGTCCCACGCCGTCAGCGGGTAACATTAGCTTAAATTTAGAAAACAGTCAGAAGAAGGAGAAAAAAGGTACGCTGAAAAAGATATTCAGAAAGGTATTTTGAGATCTGTTTACACGTTTTACTGCGTGCGGCATTGTGCGGACGTTCAGATGGCTGGAAACTTTAAACACTTAAATGAAACAATAGGTTATGGATAGTATTTGAATATTTATTTATATAGATTTTTATCGACGCGTTGAATTAAATTTAAACTGAGTGGAACTAGTCATCTGGGCATTCAAACATTTTCCAAAAATGAAAGATGAGAAAAGACAAAGTCTGAATAGTAATTATCGTTGAGTATTTTGCTTGACGCATGCATTAAAAGTTCTGTCAGTTGTAACTTGTCTTTTGTGTTCTAATCTGTTATATTCCTAAATGTAAACTGTGATAATTAATTTAAATTATTTCTGAATGTAGGTGAATGACGAAAAAAGCAAAAGAAGTGGACAATTAGATTGTCGGTTATTTTGTAATAATGTTTGATAAGTTATACAGGATTAACGTTGTTTAAACACGTGTTATTTGTGATTTTCAAAATTTGCAACACAAATTCCTGTTGTAGTAAAATTGTGTATGGTCCTGGCCATGTGTCGATCTTGCGGTGTTGAATTTAGATATTATTAGCTAACTATGACTATACTTTGTAACCTGGATCTGTTAATTGTAAGTGCACTAATGGTTTTAGAATTGCGCAGTTTTCGTTCTGATTTAGTTTTTAATGTATGTATGCTAAAATTAGTAGAGTTCTCATATATTTATTTCACGATTGAAAAAGTGTACATTAATTTTCCGTTTTATCCTTCAAACAAAATGCGTTTAATGTGAGAGTATTAAAGAATCCCCAATAATATTATTGATTAACTTGGTATTTTTATGTTTTTTGAAAAACTGGTTAATCTCCTTACCTGAAGCACTAAATTGTTCCCTGATCTTCTCTATCGCTACATCATAATTGAAACATAGAAATATTTCATTTAAATCATGTTCCAATTTATAGGAAACAACAAGTTTAAAATGTTTCTGGAGTGATTTTACAACCCCTGGGCGCAGTTTGTTGTCTCGCAGTACGATATTTACAATGAAGAGACCATTTGATGTAAGCGAACGCACCACGTCGCTAATTACTTTATCTTCGAGGAATTCTTTGGGCGGACAACTCATACCAATAGTTTGGTCTTTGCTGTCAACGTCGAATACAATGTTATCATATTTTGTTCCTAAATAACATAAATGACATTGAAAACAGTATTTAATAATGTATAGTTTGTGTGACGCTACCATTTTCGGCTAGGTATTGTATTCCGTCCTTGATTTCTACGTGCATCTTGTCGCCCAGCGATAAGTCGAACCAATCAACCGCGATTTTGAGCATGTCCGCATCGATATCCACTGCAGTTATGTCCAACTGCTGCAGGTATTTGCGTAGAAATGAACAAAGACCTCCTCCACCCAAACCAATGATTAAACATTTGCCTGCACTTTTATCCTTGATTGACATTGCTACTGCGCGGCTAATGTAAATGTGATGCTCGCAATTTAAATATGTTACATCAATAGTTTCTTTTTCATTTCCGCTTCTTGATTTACCTAATAACATTAATTGATTTTCATAATATTTGGCTAGATATTAAATAAATACTTCGTTTCAGTTTAGCTTCCGATTGAATCACTGATTGCGACGATAAGTAAAACAATCTTCTAAATTTATCGTCATCAATAGTCACGTCCTCCACAACGTAATTTCCCGAGAATTTCGAGGTACCTTCGAAACGTAGTATCCGCTCGCCGACATCAGCACCCAATGATAAAAACAATATCTAAAATTAATATCCATGTTACCACATAGAAGCAAGTTAATCTCGAAAAAATATTACTTTATCAGTTCCAATCGTTGCTGGCGCCAAGTTTCTCACGCAATCTTCAAGTTCTACTTTGACCGCATCCAAACTTTCATACACCTGATTTCGGTGCATAATGACTACTGCTAATCGGTTACATTTTGACATTGAAGCTAATTCCTTCCTGCCATCAATTGTTGAAAACATCCATTCAGTTTCTCTGCCCTGAGGAACAATAAATGCAGCATATTGCATATTTTTCCTATTTGGTGGTATATCAGTGACAAAAACAGTGTATCTAGGCTTATCATCATTAGGTAAAAACATATCAAATGATATATTGTCATCCGATATGTTACTGTTCTTTAAACCAGAACAAACAAATGCAGCTTGTTGTGCAGATGAGATTTGTTTAATTAAATCCTCCTCCTGTGCAATTCTCTGCATTTTATCATTACCAGCCAAACTCAATTCTAGAATCTTACTTGGTAATGATAAAAATTTGGTGCAAATTATCACAAAAACTGGCATTGGACTCTCACCAGCATCTGCAGCATTTTTCTCAGCCTCAAAACATCTAACAATTCTAAACATGCAATTATGACTTGGAAAATAATTTACTAGAATGTTTAGAATTTGTTCTTGTAGAAGGGAAATGCAAATATATCTACCACCAGTTTTTAAAACTCTTATCATTTCAGAAAAATACTTATTAATTGTCTGTAAAGTATCTTCTAAATTGTCAGGCATGAGGGCATCAAGTGTACCTTTGTCAATTATTGCAGTAAAAGAGTTATCAGGAAATGACATGTTGGTAGCATCCATTTGAAGGAATTTCATCTCAGGCCTTCTTTTCTCATTCAAATTGTTCATTTGCCTGATTGCGACATTAGATATATCAATACTTGTAATATTCCTATAAACTAAGCATTAGTTTTTTGATAGGTGAGATAGGTGAGAATAAAGTATTACTTATAGCCTACATCATAAAGATCATTTCCTAGTACTGAGTTACCACAGCCAACCACAAGAACATGGTCTTTTGGCTTGATATATTTGTGAAGTTGGTTACACAGTTCTGGATATTCACCATACCATTCAAATGCTTGATTACCTCGTTTCTTGAAGAAACTATCCCAATAATCCTTTTGTCCAAACTCTTTACTACTTTTTGGTAACAAATTCATTTTAAATCACTATAGTTAAAGACAACTTTAAGCTTTAAATTGTTTCAAAGTGAATAAACGCAAAAGTAAACACTTGAAAAGTTTTCAATGAAAACACATGTAACTAAGCAGGTTAGAATTTAACGCGCGTAATTTGAATCTTTGATTTGTTTGCATTGTAACAGCAGGCGATGAAAATAGATTTATCATTATTTATCATGGTGATAAGGCATTCATGAGTTGGTACAATTATTGTGCACACAATGAGTAAGAAATGGAATATTTGTGTATTTTGTTGTCTGTTGATGAAAAAGCATTATTCTACATAATATTTCTTCTAGTCATCGTTCAACGCAACTGCTAATTGTTATTATGTACTAAATTACATTCATACCATACTGGGTCTTCTTTTTAAACTCACAAAATAAGCCATTAATAAATACGCTAATTACTTGTTTTTACTACACAGTGACCTTTGGGATTTAATACGAAAAGTAAGAAATAAATATTTATTTTGTGAAAAATATAAATTACTTTTTTCGGGTGACACTCATGTTTGTCAAGATTACTCGAGGCATTTACTGCAAATGATACGACATTGAGATCTACTCCACACACGATGATGAAGCACATTTTGAACATTATCACATAAAAACCCGCAACCATCATACTAACACGACATTAATAAACAATTCGTGCATGCAGTCGCAACCTAAACAAATTAAGTATACTTCACTGACGTGAACAATCATCAACCAAAGTCGACACAACAATCCATCAAAATGCTGCCAATAATATTATTAGCAGTAGTAGTAGTGCTAATAGTTTTCTACTTTCAAAACACATTCACCTACTGGGAGCGGAAAAAAATACCTTCCTATCCGTCGCCATCTTTAATCACCGGTCACAGCAAATCAAACTTCGCCAATCAAATAGTGGACATGTACAAATATTTCAAGAACAAGGGATTAAAACATGGCGGTTTTTATATTTTCCATCAACCTATCTACATGCCAATGGACTTAGATCTGCTGCGTCAAATTATTACCAAAGATTTTGATCATTTTAATGAAAAAGGATTGTACAACAACGAAAAGGACCAGCCAATCAACATGCATCTGTTCGCGCTTGGTGGTAACCGGTGGAAGAAACTGCGTGTCAAGCTAACTCCAACTTTTACCTCTGGTAAGCTAAAGAACATGTTCCCAACGATGCTTGATTGTTCCAAGCCGCTATTGAAGGCGATCGAAAAGAGCACCAAATCGAAGACGGTAATCGATATAAAAGATGTTGCTTCGAAATTTACGACTGATATCATTGGTAGTTGTGCATTTGGAATTGAATGTGACAGTTTCAATGATCAAAAATCAGAGTTTCATGAAAATGGCAAAAAATTGTTGACGCGCTCAAAGTTAGGATTATTTAAACGTGCAATGGGATTATCATTTCCAAAACTTTGCCGTTTTGTTGGAATGGTTCAACTGCCACGTGATCTCGAAGCATTTTACACTAATATTACCAAAGACACTATTAAACTTCGCGAGGAAAACAATATTCACCGCAATGATTTCTTAGAACTCTTAATGACCATGAGAGACAAAGCAAATCCTGAGGAACGTATTAATCTTCAGGAGATTATTAATCAATCTTTTGTTTTTTACGTGGCTGGCTTTGAGACATCTTCATCTGTGATGACCTACGCTCTCTTAGAATTAAGCCGCAACGCCGAAATGCAAGACAAAGTTCGTCAAGAGATTACTGACGTTTTAAAGAAATATAACAATGAAATTACATATGATGCTGTCCATGACATGAAGTACCTGGGACAGGTAATTGATGAAACATTAAGGATGTATCCACCAGTGTTAGTGTTGAATCGGGCATGTAACAAAGACTACCCCATTCCTGGAACTGACAGGGTTTTAGAAAAAGACACCAAAGTCTTCATTCCTGTGCTTGCCATTCATCATGATGAAGAGTTTTATCCTAATCCGGAAAAGTTTGATCCAGAGAGGTTTTCCGATGAGAATAAAAAAGAAAGACATCCATATGCGTTCTTGCCATTTGGAGAAGGACCACGACAATGTATTGGGTTGCGGTTTGGATATATACAGACCAAAATTGGTTTACTTACAATGTTGAAACAGTTTAAGTTTACTTTGCATCCGAGTGTGAGTTATCCTATCAGGTTTGATAAAGGACTGATTGCGTTGTCTCCGGCTGAAACCATTTTGTTGAACTCAACGCCAATATAAATAATACTCAGTATTAATGTACCGACTAGACTATAATTAGTGATATAACAAACAAAAAATTTGGTCGTATAAACTTGAAAATATAATCTGGTTGACCTTGTAATTTGGAAATTATGTTATGGTAAAGGTAGATAACTATGTACATTTATTTAAATAATTCGTCATCGAATTAAGTAAAACTGAAATGCAAATAATCACAGACAATACTAATTTATTTCACCAGTTGATAATACCACTTTGGCACATGTCACAATAAATTAAACACAAACATTAAAACAAATCAATTTTTTTAAATATTTGTATTGCTATGATAACAACAAACACAGAAGAAAAAAAAGAGACATTTTTCATATAATAATATTCTTCTTAAAGTGAATATAAATGTTTTGATACATTTATAGTAATTTTTAAATAATCTGAGATTGATAACATAAAATAAATTGATAAGAATGATAATATTTGTTTAGTTGTGAATGCGTTGAGATATCATAGTATGTTTGTGAATTTTACTACTTGCCACCGAACATAATAACAACGAAAATATTATCTTTGGTTGTATATACTCATATTCCAAGCGGTGTATAACTGTACAGGTCAATGCAAATGATTGAAAACTTGATATTGTCTGGTTCCAGTGCCCTCAAGTTCCTATAAACATAAATATTCATGCAAACTACTAAGCATGTGTCATGTGTCATTATTTCCAGTTATTTGGGCTATATACAAAACTAGGTTTGTTGATATGACTAAAAAAAACCTATACTTTAAAATGCACCGCAGAAACTCATTATTCTATTTTATTCATCTAAACTATTTTTAAACTATGCTTAAAACATTGGTTATGTATTTCTAGTATGTATAGATATCTGTGAGTAAGGAAGTTAACTTTAAAATAATTACAAAACAATATATGTAAAATTAAAATTTACTACATTGGCGTGGAAATTTTCTATATTGTGTTTTATCACATTTTTTGGAAATATACATAAAGCTGAATTCATTCATTGACTATTCATTTGGGTGCTATTGTAGTACAAAAAAGCACTGACGCAAATTCAATGTAAGTCTATATAAGTTGCAAGGCTAGTATACCAGCTTAGTTTAGCCGCCGGAGCGTCGAAAGTTTGATGAATTGAAGTGTAATTGCAATCATAATATAATTTGTTGCAATAATGTGTTTATGGGATCAACACATAGAATTTTTTGAGACTTATGGCGGTTAGTTTGAAATAAATATGTAATTTGACAGACTTGAATAAAGTATGAAAAATTACAGATCAAAGATTGAAAGGATGGTTCCTGATGACTTCTCCGGTTCCAACAATATGCTTGTGTTTGTTTTACGGGCTGGGAGTGACAAAACTCGGACCATATTTGATGGGTGATCGAAAACCTTTTGAGTTACGTAATCTAATTATTGGATACAATTTTGTACAAGTTCTCATTAGTACATATTTATTTTATGAGGTGAGATTTTTTTAGCAACAGTTGAGTAGTAATAATATTATATAAATGTTTATTTGTTTAGTTTGCTTCATTATGGTTCACTTCCTATGATTTTATTTGTCAACCAGTCGACTATTCAGACAATCCAGATGCAATAAGAGTATGTAGAAAATATTGCAATTGACTAAAACTCATTTCGAAAACAATTGACATTTTATTTTGATTTTAGATAATGAGGGCCATGTATTTGTATCTGTTATCTAAATTTTTTGAATTTTTCGACACAGTAAGTACAATGTCTAATATAAAAACTAAATTTATAATTAATATTTGGTTTATATAACAGATTTTTTGTGCTGCGAAAAAACTATCATCAAGTTAGTGCTCTACATGTCATTCATCATATGACTGTTCCTATGTCCGTTTGGTTGGGTGTAAAGTTTGTTGCTGGTGGCCATGCAACTTTTTACAGCCTTCTCAATACTTTCGTGCACATTATAATGTATACCTATTACATGTTGGCGGCACTAGGACCTCATCTGCGGAAGTATCTATGGTGGAAGAAGTATTTAACGGTGCTACAAATGGTAGGTTACACCTAATATAGGTTATGTTAAAGTAACTGAGGTTATGTAATTTTATTTATGATTTAAGGTACAATTTACCCTCTTTGGCATTCATTCCATTCAATTGTTGTTCATTGAGTGCGAGTTTCCGAGGGTGTTCGCACATATCATAATCGGCAATGCAATATTGTTTTTATACCTATTCTATAATTTCTATGGCAACAGCTATGCCAAAAATGACAAAACAGATGTGGTGCAACCAAAAGCTGTAAAAACTATAAACGTATGTTTTATTTCAATGTATATTGCTCTAGTAACAATCAAATACTTATAGCTGTGGAATTACGATTGGGTGGATAAGATGTGCTTTCCGGGCCAGGATGTATTATTTGAGGATGACAACGGTAAACATGACGATTGCCCATCACTGGAAGATTCGTCGTCGGATGGCATGTCCAAGAAATTACCGGTATTTAGCAGTGCAGGAGAAGTTCGCGAACGTCGAAACCAAAAAAACGAGGCAGAAGCGTAATTATTTAAGTTCTTATATATCGCGCTAAGATATTATTTCTTTCTTGAAACGTAATTTTTAATAGACGTTCCAAGGTTATTTAAATTAAATAAGTAAGTAATAAAGTAATGAATAAAGCATTTCATTAGTATAAACTCGTGTATTACAATGCAGGAAAACATGCATATAATTGCAAACATTTTGCAATATTGATTTTATTCGATAAAATTGAGCTGGCACCTGTGAATTGACGTTCGCTATTATGAACCCGACCCTTTCAGATTAAACTTTTATTACTTTCATTTGTGAATACGTTCCTAATCCATTGTAATATTTTGAAATATTTATTTATAAAATTTTACGTGATTTTATTGGATTTTACAATTTTAAATGTTGAGTTAACATGTTTCGTCCTGAGGGTATCTTCATAAACCCGAAACATGTTAACTCAACATTTAAAATTGTAAAATCCAATAAAATCACGTAAAATTTTATAAATAAATATTTCAAAATAGATTAAACTTTTCCATTCTTTTCTACCCTTTGAAAAATATTTTTGAGAATTTTTTCAACATTTTTTCAAACTTCAAAAAAGTTACGAATTTTTCAAAAAATGGCATTTTAGTTGTCTAATAGCCATAACTTTTTTCAAAATTGATCTTTGGATACGTTTTGTTTTCATAATTTTTGTTTTTAAATGAATTTTTTTTTAATTTGATTCAAATTTTCCGTAAAGTTGTTATGTTATATCTTTAAGAAGTCCTGAAAATTTGAACAATGTTATCGAGCTTTTATCCGAGATATAAATTTTTTAATATTGTCAAAATTACGTGTTTAATTCTAATTTTTGCCAATAATGTCTTATATGTTTAACAAATTATTTACTTGTTAACAAGTAAAATATTTATAAATTTTCTATTAGATAAAACTTTTATTAGATATTTCTTATAATTAGTGCTCTGATCGTTTTTATATTGTTTGAATTTGTATTTTGTGTGCATTTTCTGTTACTTAACTTATCCGCTCGGTGGTGTGAGAGAGGTATTTACGTTAAAATCGTCGAATTCATTAATATGACCATATGTTGACAATATTAAAAATTGTATATCTCGGATACAAGCTTGATAACATAGTTCATATATAGTTTTCAGGGCTTCTTAAAGATATAACAGAGCAACATTTCTGAAAATTTGAAGCCAATTGAAGTTCGGAGAAAAAAGTACTTGCTACGTGAAAACAGCCATTTTTTAAAATTTGTTCGGTTTTGGATGAGTATAACTTTGCTTAATAGAAGCAATCAAGCAAAAACTGCGAAGATTCTAATAAAATATACCCCAATAAAAGACATTAGCTACTGGTCAAATACTGTACATATACTAGTGTTTTACAAATTGGTAAAATCGAACCAAAACAATTTGTTAGTTAGAGGTTGTCAGCTAAGCCCGATATAAATTTAGGCCATCTATTTTGTTCTCAAAAGTAAAGAGTCTACTGGAAAGAATTTTATTTGGTAGGGGTCTTTAAGTCCTATAGAAGCTAATATATAAATTACTGAAAATCAGTGAAAAATTGACAATTTCATCGGTCGGATTTGGTTATATCGGGCTCAAATTTTTATGATCGTCTTCTTTTAGGGTGTACTTTTAAGGAAAAAGTCGGCATCAAAATTGCTGACCTAAGTGCGCACACATTGGTCGATAATTAATGGATCTGTCCATATATATAATACTAGCTTTAACCCGCGGCTTCGCTCGCGAATATCTAAAATAATGAAGTTGCTTCCGTACGCGTCTGTAGTCACAGAAGAAGTAACAATGAAGTAGAATGGCGGGAAGTTTAAAATGGCTGAAAGTATAGTCTATGGAAGTATAGTGTACAGTCTCCATAGTGTAGTCAATTGGATTTGATGTTGACGTAGCTGTCGGTAATACAGTGTGATAATATAGTGTGATGGTACTATAGTACTTAGGTTTGAGCTTCATTGCTGGAATGCTAGATGGCGTTAAAGTAGTCAAATAGCCAGATGCAGAGGTATTATTGGCTAAACAATTTCTTTATTTTATTTATAAAATAATTTTTTTTATTAAATAAAAAGTAGCGTATAACCATTCGGGGACCACTAAGAATATGTGTACAAATTTTCATGATGATCTGTTAAGTAGTTTTTGCGTGTTAGTGTAACAAACATCAGGACTTCTGCATTTATAATATTAGTAGGGATATTAGTAGGGATATATATCGTATATCAAAACTCAGTCACCTGAAAAGTGAGGGGATCAAATCAGGAGAGCTGAGGCATTAGACTCTTAGGAAAATCACGTATATATGTTTTCGGAAGTGTCGCCTTTTAGACAAAACTTTGCTTCGACATTTGGACAATCTTATGAACTCTGCAAATGTTGGTAAAGCTAGAAAATTAAGTTTATCAAATAATCGATGTGTTAGTGGTGGTGTGGATACACCTGCACACTCAGTTTGCCAAGGGTAAGCATTTAAAATATAATTAATTTTAATTAAAGTGGTACTTTAAACAAGAACGGCCAAGGCCGTGACTAAAGTACTCCAAACTCCAAAAAACTCCAATTTAGCCACTTGATACTTAATAAACTACTGTATTTGAACTGCAGTAAAATCAAACCAACCACAAAATTGACAATTTAGATTTATTTTTTTGCTTTATTTTATCTCGAGAATACATGTTTTGCCTTGTCACTGATGATTTATTAAGAACAGGGTGTAATACATTGCAATTGATTATTTTTTATTTTGCTTGTTTCCACTAAGGCGTGTTTGATTTATGTGTACATTTAGTTGCATATAGACAATATTAATTTTTAGAATTATCAAATTAATTGTTAACTTTGCTTACGTCACAAACTTTGTAAATTAGTTTCAATAAAAAACATTAGAAATTTCATAAGTGTATACTACTATTAAATTTGTTTAAATATCTAAATTTTCTTTATTGATTAAAGTAAAAAACAGTCGAATTTGCAGTTCGGGCATTTTCGTGACATGAGATCCCACCCGAAAGCATTGACCCCCCCTTATGGATATAAGAGTAAGCGCATGATGCGGCCAGGCGCAGCGGGAGAGTGAGACGGGCAGGTTCAGGCGCTCGCCCCGCACGCCGCTCAGCAGTCAGTGTTCATTAGGTGCGCCGGGATGTGTGCGTGCTGCTGGTGACAACATAGGTGCCGTTTGAGCGAAAAATGTCTTCTCGTCGCGATTGCCGTGCAATATAACTACAATAAAAACGCACATCGCCACCCATCGATGTCGTAGATTAAGTGCGCGCCGTTAACGTGCAACGATCGGGCGTGCGAGCTTTGGAAGTTGGGATTATTTTGATAGCGAGTGCAAAGACAAAATGGCGCATAATATGCCACCATCGGTGAATTGTTCACTGGATGATATAGATTTATCGGCGCTGAAGGTGAGTGCATTGTCGACGGAGAATTACGTAAAGAGTGATGCTTTGCATCGGTCAGACGCAACGAGTGCACTACTCTCCGCTTTTTATTTACGTTTTCCGTCCCGCAAACATACGCGACGGGATGATTCACACCCATCCCGGTCCGTGTGTTTGCGCGTCCAATCAGTGAGTGATGTGCATGAATCGGGCGCTTCTCTTACGAATTCCACTTGGTTGTAATGCTATTATATGTACACATAATGTGGTTTTGTGATGATGGCGTACACAAACGCTGAATACGGAAAATTCTCATGTTATACTTGATTGTTCAACGTTTAAGCCCGTGGTGGTTGTCAATCGTTAATGTGAGTTTCGTTTACTTTTCGCAGGAGCCAGCCGGTATCTTCGAACTGATTGAAGTCGTTGGTAATGGCACGTATGGACAAGTTTACAAGGTGTGTATCGATATTGATATTTTATATTAACTGCAACAAGTTAAGCTGCCTGTTGTTATTGATGATTCACTCATTCTACATAATATTATCCAATTAAATCCACGTTATCTTTATTGTATCTGTGTAACAATAGAAATTCACACAAACGGATTGAACTTAAAATAAATGATTATTAAAGGTGTATAAATAAGTATTCATTAAATTGTGTTATATCAAATTATATTTTATGTCAATCTGATGGGGAAGACAAGAGCAGGAGTACAATTCATATTTGATTTATAAAGGTGTGGCTATGTTTTTCTACGATAGTGCACAAATGACAACCTTTGTGATGTTATAAGGGTGTGTAAAGATTTTCTCAATTTTTGCTTCCATATACATAGTATACATATGCCACGTTTGTCATTCCACTAACCTCAAATTATGAAACAGTCCGAGTCAGCTGTGAAAAGTTAGGTTATTTGGTAAGTTTGCTCTTCAAAACAAAAACACAGAGAAAGACAGGTAATTGGCGATATCTACTGTATTATATTTACCAAATTTGATAAATTAATAATTTTTTAAATCAACATTTTAAAAAATAACAATTGCATACAACATATTCCGTACCAAAAAGGAATACTTATATTTGAATTTAAATTCATATTTTATTGGTATTATTATTATGTTGAGAGTCATACCTTCAAGCACAAATTGGCAGCGTGGTATTATATAATATACATTAAAGAATTAAATTTAAATATTTTGTGATTGTGAACAAATGCAACGAGGCGAGACGAACAGTCTGTTCAATGACCCAAAACATTAAAATTTACGTTAGTTACAATAGCTTGCACCATTTTGTGACAAACCCGAATCAAATTACAAGCCCAAAATATTGCAGAAATTACAATTTTTTTTGTAGGTAAGTAAATAAATTCGTTCGCATTCGTCGTAGATCACGTCGACGTCCCCTAAATGGTGGAAACTCGAGATTCCCCTGTATTGGAATTTGAAAACGTTTAATTGAGTCACCATGAATGGATATTAGAGGGTACAATGTCCATCATGATATTTGCGAGTATTACTGGGTTGTTTAAATGTGAAAGCCCCCCATTCTGCAATTTATTCGATTTATATTGTCGTTATTGTTAGTTGGGTTGGAATATATTTATTAGCTCTGAAATTAATCCGAAATTTAGTATTATTAAGGTGTTTTCAATCCTAAAAATAAACCTACAACCAACAAAAATTCAATTTTGTTATTGCTAATCACCACACATTTTAAAATCAGGTGTGCTTCTCCAATAAGTTCATAGACTTACCTATCTACTTGAAATTTTTAACACTTAGTTAAGATTGACTTTGCCTATTCAAAAATTTCATAGTCATAATTAATAAACCTTTATGCCTTGATCAAAGCCAACTCTTTTATGTCTGCATCGTGAATGAAAAAGGCAAAGAATTAAATTAAAAATATACCCAAAACAATTCATTAACGTCAACATTTTATCAGCGTCGAAACGAATTAATTCACCTGCTGCTTATATTTTATGAGTCGATTGTTCGTATTTGGTTACACATTTTATATTTTAACTAAACCGGCTAATGCCGCCTCGGCACGGTGGCTCTAGGCTAGTGCTCTGATACAAATGGGAATCTTTGCTCCGCGGTAACAGTAAAGTTTATCGCTTCGTGACTGACGACCTAATGAATAATTTGCATTTGGTGCTTTTAAATTCACACAATACGCATACGTTCTTATAAAAATACACATTACGGCCGCTGCGTCGAGTCGCTCTCCTCGTTCCTCTATTACTTACTCTATTTAAAAAGCTAGGTTTTGCGTTCAACAAGTTCAAAGATAGCGGCATTTCGAAATCACCGAACGACGAACGCGAAATTAATGAAACCGTCTTTAGGTTCACATTTATTTTCAGAGGATTAGCAAGATAAATAAATTATTTACAGAAATGTTGCTATAGCAACTTTAAACCTCAAAACATGTGTAATTGTGGGAAGGTAAATTAATTATTATTAATTAAATTTAATATTCCGAAGTTGATTCCTCGAGTGTATTGGTTTTTCATCAATTTTCGTTGTCGTTCGCTAGCGTATGGCCGAGCTAAATGTTTACGCTGTGCGAAAGAGATTGTTGATCGTAATAAAATGCGAGCGAGTTGAATGGCATTTATCAGCGATAGGCGAGAGCACTTAGCCTGCTCATGACGGACGCGTCGGCGAGCTTCCATCGAGTGCGCCTAGCACAGCACAGCGTCCATGTTGTTGAATCACGATCATAATGTGTGCCGTTGATTGGAATACGCGCGAATCGCAAATATTACGCCGGCCGCGCGGCGACAACAATGCGTTATGATAACGATTTTGTATTTCATAGCCAATAAACCGAAATGAATTGTAGAGCGGTAAGTGGAATGTAAACATAATACTACAACATTGTATTGTAATTGAGTTCGCGTACGATTGCTGTGGAAATGTGTTGACTACGAACTGCAGAGCATATTGCAGGAAGTCGAACACACAGCGCGCATAAAATCGATTTATGGCAATCATTTTAATTATAGACTTATTTAAAGCGTTTGAGCTACATTGTGATTAGGCTAGAGGATGATAAATTGAAGTGGATCCATCCCCTCCAGGGTGTTTCTGGGTGCGGACGCTTGAAGCAGAATTACCAATCTTAACTTTTGATGAAAATCTCGAGTATATGTGGGAGAATAGTCTGCTCGGAGGCATCGTAAATCATAAGTAGATTTAGGTGTGAATGACAAGTCTGATGATTTACTAATAAATTAAATCTGGTACAAATAGATTGTCCTTATTCAATTAAGTTTTCTTGCTTAAATCTTATGGAAGAATATGCTGTTGTTGAAAATCCCAGAAGCGCATGTTTTATTTATGCCGTCATCTTGTATATTGTACAATAAAAGCAAGTTCGGGGACATTGGGTTCTCGCTTCGTTACAAATTCTATTGAATACAGTCCCCGAACAAGAAAAAAAATACACCAACCAAAAACATCTGTTTAAATTTACATTCCAAATTACTGTTTACTTGGATAGTTTGAAGTTAGTACCGTTCGACATCTCGAAAGTTGTGTGTGACGTGTAGCAATTTCTCCATGTTTTATTAAAATCAAATAAGAGGCGGTGGTGTGACAGCGGCGAGACATGAACCAGACCGCTCGTACATCACCTCTTTTTTGCTTAATTGAAGCTGTAGAAGGTATTTGTTTTCGCCTAATGCACTTAATTGGATTGTGTTTTCATCGTCTGGGGGGCACTGGGCGTGAATTACATGCTATTGATAAAATTTAATGTTTGCTTTTTTTCCTCGTACCACAGACTGCAAAATTTACAAGTCTTATCACAATATTGTTCGAGCATTTAGTCATACATCTGCAATATTGACTTGAATGTGTTGTAAGAAGGTAAATTTAAAGAAATCTTATCTTATATCCTGTCAGTTAACAGTCATCGCTACTTGCGAGAAGTGTAAATAAGTTTTAAAAATGGACAATCATCAAATTTCATGGTAATAGAAATGAATGACTCAACGCGTACTTGCTACTTGAGAGATTCATCTGGTTATATTTTTTATTTCTATTGTAATTTTCTTAGAGCTGTATTTGGGGTTTCAATTAAATTAAGTGAAACTTCGAAAACAAATACTTTTTTCTCTCTTTGTATGATTATAATTGTTTACTCCAGCCGATATAAAAACTTTTGGATCTCAAATACCCTTGTCCACCCTTGCCACGCACTATATTTCAAAGTTTTATTGTGTCAACCTCTAGAAATTAATGACCCTAGCCGGAATGTGTGTCTTTCACATTCCAATCTAGGCTATGCATTTTCTCGTTTTATCAGGATGAAGTAATACGAGGGTGGTCTGAAAAGTTATCAACCAAACAAAGATACAAGACATTTTTTCTAAAATGTGTCTACATAGTCTCCTTGTAACTCAGCACACTTCTCCTTGCGATGCGCTCATCTCTGTAATCCGTCCAAATAGTACGTAAATAGTAATAATTTCTTCTGTTAGAGGTCGGAATCTTTTCAGACCACTCTTGTATATCCGTCACTTTGGGAAATGCACCTTATCCCGGCGAATAAGGCAAATTGTAATTTACATAAAGCTTTTATCGTAACACCAGTGAGAGAAAACCGCAAGACCGCGAACGTGACATGAAATTGCCTTGTCAAATGTCTGCGTATAAAATTTACAAATGCCCGGTAACTGAATCACATTTTTCCAAATCTCGACGTTTTTACATATGCAGACAATATTTTAATAGTGATTTATTGCAGGATAAATATGTCTTCTACTTCCGAATTAGTAAATTAATTCAGTTACCGCTCTGAGATTACTAAATTTAATTTAAATGACACGCCAATAGCACAATTTAAATAATAATGGTTTAAAATTTATAACGTTTGGAAAAGAAAGTAAATTTTTTCTGATGATTGAATTAAATTTTTAGACCTTGTTGCACACATTTGGTACGATTATCATGACATGAGAAATGACGCATAGTCAAATGCGAAATGTGAATGTTTCCCCTAGTACAAATATTTATTTAGTAAACTATGTTGGCTATGCCACATCGGTTGGTTTGGATTCGATATCATCGATGCGCTCGGTTTACATTGCAGCTTTGTTTACTCGAACCATTCCCCGTTGCATTACTAGCGAAATGACACTGAACGAACGTTTGTCGAAACGAAAAGATAATCAAAATATTTCTATTTTCATGCGGCACTCGTCGTTCGAAGACGGTTGTTCGCTTGAGTCGAGTAATTGCACATCCGAACGGTAATAAATAAACGAGCTGGCGATAAAATGAAATTAGAAAATCGGATTAAATTACAAGAAGCGCTATACAGCTAGAGTAGAATATTCTAATAAAATATGCGATTAATTTCTATTTAAATGTGCTTACATACCTTGTAATTAATGCCATTATTAGACGGTGGCTAAAGGTGTTCGCGTGGAAGCTTTATGAAACAAGTTTGCGTTCGTTTAGCACGAATTTGTTGCTCGCATTAGCAACGATAATGCACGCAGCGAACGCAACCGAGGAAAAGTGTGTAATATAATACTAAAGCAAACAAACTGCCATTGAGTCAATTTGTTCGTTTTAAGTTTAATTTATTTGTTGCGCGCACGCGTGTGTGTGTGTGTGTGTGTGTGTGTCGGTAAGGCACTTCAAGTGATTCATAACTAGTAAGCAGCAACATTCCACGCTTAATCATATGACTTTATTTAAGTATACTCGTACATGAAGTTATCATTAAGTGCTTCTTTGAATCTGACTATCACAAGAAATCGTATAGATTATAAATTAATAAATATAACAACTTTTGCTCACAACTTCCCGTCGCGTAAATTATAACAAAATATAGCCTGACTATTTGTATTTTTAGTCGCCGGATCGATTATGAGCCGTATTCGCCAATAACTTCATGCCAAGTTTCATCCATAATTTTACCCTAAAGTTTATGTCTTTGCGTCACAAGTAGTTTACTATTTTAATTATTATATTATTGAAAAGGTTAGTGGTGGAAGATAATTAAGCGAACAGACTCACAATTGAATTGATGGTATTTGTTAGAACTTGTTGCAATTAGTTTTTTCCATAGAAATTGGATTTGCCTTAATATCTAATAATGTGCAGATTTTAATGATCAAACAATTAGGTACAAAAAGTATGTACTCGTACCATCGCTTATAAGTTGACACAAGTTAAATCTTGTGAGATTGATATATTATAAAAGTCTTAAATTGTATTGTAACTCTTGATAAAATCCTGTTATTGATAAAACAGTTTATTGTTTTTTATTAATAAATGATTAAGTAATTATTTAGCTTTACAAATTTACTTTAGGTTAGTTTACTTTAAGATATTACTAACCTGTTAACACCAAAATGAATAAACCTGTTCTCATTATTGAAAGATTTATTGTTATTTCCTATATTTACGATCGGTGTGCATCAAAAAGAACTTGCTGAAAGTTCCAAACATTTTATGCTCCAATTTGAAATGTGCGCGTTAATACCCGTGAAGAAAGTCTCGTCTCATTAATTTAATTACGAATGTAACAGAACTTCTTGTTATAATCTGCTGCATTGTTACATTGAAAAGTAACAACGATGAGAAAACCGAAACGCGCGTCCGGTTTATACAATTTTGCGCGGTTTTTGTCGACTTTTTTGAGCGCGAGGCTTGGAAACGTGTGAGAAAATTTAAATTTTCGTCGTATATGCAACAATTCACTGCCACACTCACACTCGCATATTTACATTACACATTCTGGGGTCGGAGCACGCTCACACCTCGTCGACGAACGCAGATCCCAAATGCAGTCAAGTTTTCTTATATCTTTTTGGTCAGTCACCTTACGCCCACCCGTTCGCGTCTGCATGGCCGTGAGGAATTTTACGATACATCGCCGTATCGGGCGTATTATCCCCAACATATGTGCGCATACGGATAATATAATGTACGAGTAAAGTGTGTCCAATTTGAAATTCAAATTAAATCGTTGCGACGCTATATGAATCGCAGTCAGATAGGCTGATAAAACACCGGATTTGCTCTCTCTCTTCATTCCCTCCTACATATCATTTCAAACAGTACAAATTTGTGATATTATCTAGGAATAATCACTTTATGTGTTCTAGCTATCTTAAAATTTGCAATGACATGTTTACCCTGTGAATTGGCGGCACTAGACTTTCTCGGAATTCGATGTGATTAATATCAGTGGCATTTCCGTATTTTAAAATTAACTCACACTGTCGATTGTGTGTACTAATAATTTGTTTCTTGTTTGCAATTCGAAATTTCGCCGCGACAAATATACTGATTTGGGGTTGGCGATTAATTGCACATTAAAACTGAAAACCGGTTTAACAGTTGCGCGTGCGCTTGTGTAACCAAAGTTAACACCAAGTTAATTCTTGTTGATCAACTTGTTACAACATTCGCATGGTGTTTTTATTTTGTTATTGCAGTTTCACTTGCGTTCATTGCGCGTTTATTACAATAACTTTACGAGCAATTACAACAACAGTATTGTCATTAAACATCGTCGTTTTTAATTATTATGTTAATAAATTTCCACTTGTCTGAGAATAAAGTATGTTTGAAATTTTGAGTGATGAAGTGATCTCTGCAAATGAAAGACGAAAGTTACAATAATAGATTTAGTAGGTCAAGTTTCTGCAGGTTTCTGGCAGGAAATCGTTGCAAGGCGCTTTTCTTTTACAAAAGTGTGTTCCACATAAGTGCCGCTCAGCGCGATTTCCGTACCATAATAGCATGACATCACATTTTACACAAATTAATACGTACGTGATGTTACGCTGCGGAAATTTATTGTCTTGGCAGAAGGTGGACAAGTAAATTACTAAAATGCTGTTTGTCGGAAATCTCTCACGCTAGTAATAGTAATTTGGTATTAGAATCCGTTGCTTGTGAATTGTTATGCTCACATGTACTACATGCCACACATATCATGCTGATATTTAAGAAATAATTAAGTGCTTTATTTTGTTGCTATGCAGGGTCGGCATACGAAAACAGGCCAGCTTGCTGCCATTAAGGTGATGGACGTCACCGAAGATGAGGAGGAAGAAATTAAACTTGAAATCAACGTGTTGAAGAAGTATTCGAACCATCGCAACATTGCGACCTACTATGGCGCCTTCATCAAGAAGTCTCCACCCGGCAAGGACGATCAGTTGTGGCTGGTGATGGAATATTGTGGAGCAGGTTTGCTTGTTGTGTGCCTCAATTTGAGGGGTGTTATATGAGTATTATATTTATAGGATCTGTCACGGATCTGGTAAAGTCTACCAAAGGTCAAAGTCTTAAAGAAGAGTGGATTGCCTATATCTGTCGTGAGATACTACGCGGTCTTTCATATTTGCATTCGAATAAAGTGATCCATCGTGATATTAAAGGACAGAATGTGCTCTTAACCGATAACGCCGAAGTGAAGCTTGGTAATAATTACATTATTAGATTAAACATACACTTACATGTGCATGGTCGCTAATCTATTGTTTGTGTTTTGTGATATAGTCGACTTCGGAGTGTCCGCGCAATTAGATCGCACGATAGGTCGCAGGAACACGTTCATTGGCACTCCCTACTGGATGGCGCCGGAGGTAATTGCGTGCGATGAGAACCCTGACGCGACCTATGACAATAGAAGCGACTTGTGGTCACTGGGCATCACGGCGCTAGAAATGGCCGAGAGTCAGCCGCCTTTGTGCGAACTCCATCCAATGCGAGCGCTGTTCCTCATTCCTCGCAATCCGCCTCCGCGTTTGAAGAACAAGAAGTGGAATAAGAAGTTTCAGAGTAATAACTTGTTTTAGTTTAGTAGCGTCGCGTACTAAATCTGCTTGGTTTTAGATTTCATTGAAACCGTGTTGGTGAAGGATTATCATGAGCGTCCATACACAGAGCAACTACTCAAACATTCGTTCATCAAGGACCAACCAACCGAGCGTCAGGTGCGCATCCAGCTTAAGGATCACATCGATCGCTGCAAGAAACGCAAGCAAGAGCGTGAACGCGAGGATTATAGGTATGACTGAAATCGCAAACGCTAATCTGACATATACGGATTATTTTCTTCTATAGATACTCCGGATCAGAGAATGAGGAGGAAGAGCCCGCCTTGGCCGGCGAACCGAGTAGCATTGTGCAGGCACCTGGCGGTGACACGCTGCGAAGGAACTTCCAGCAGATTCAAGAGGGCCGCAATATTATCCAGCAACAAGTTGAACCTCCACCAAGGTGCGTACATTAAATAATATGTTGTATTTATCATCTTGACGTTTTATTGCTTAATTAGGAGTGGCAGAAACAAAGAACGTGAAGAAATTCCTGAACCTGGGCCGCCTGCAAGACCCCCAATTCCGCAGAGAATGATTATGGTTCCAGACCTGCCACCAGCACCGAGAAGGTAATTTGAACATCTTTGAATAAGAAAATGTTCTTTAAACTATGTTCAGTATGGCTTCCAGACCACTGCCACCGCCTCCAGAGAATGCGGCGCCGCGATCTCAACAACCGCAACGAAACTCTCAGTCGCAGTTTAAACCAATGGTGAGTTTATGTTTCAATGTTCGTTTTGTCATGTTGTAATCATCCTCAATCTGAGAGGGTTTAAAGCTTTTAATTACATTGATTTTATTTTAAATTGGCTATTGGTTACTTCAATTCGTTGAAAATAGTTGTGAGAAAGCACTACTTATAAATTTAAGGCTAGTTGTTTGCAAAAAAATTGCGAATTTAAGAAAAAGCTATTTGTAAAAATCGCCGCGATGGAACACTATATTGAGAATGATTGCAATGTATTTGATTATAGTGTAATAAACAGTGAAATTGTTATTAACTCTTCTGTAGTTGAACATTCTTGCATTATTAATTTGCTTTGTGATTACACACTCTGCTTCCTAATTTGTTAAATTAATTCTATTTTATTTCATGTCCGTATATTTCATCTTTTGCTCTACATAGACGCCCTTTCGAAGACCTGAGGTAGGTTATTGTCTTTTGGTTGAGTTTCGCTTTAATTGTTGTGCTTTTGGTTTCGACTCAACGATATTTAACGATACTCATTCTAGGAATTGGATGCATTGGCTGCTCATTTGAACGAGATCGGCTTGCAACAAAACGTTCAACCTGAAGCTCCACCGCGAAACAATCGCAATAGCAGCAGTAACAATAAAGCGCAGTCAGCCGCCAACAACAATGTCGCTACGCCATCAAACAACCATTCAGCGGGCGTTCCGATTTTGGACGGTTTGGTGGATAGTGATAGCGACTCGGAACCCGAGGACAACGGCAGGGGTCGAAATGATGGAACATTGTTAGCTAGCGATCCGCCAAAACCTCTGTGAGTATATTTTTGAGCTTTGTTGAAAGTTTTAACTTTTTCTACTAGATTGATGTGATTACTAACACAAATCCCTTCTTTTATTTTTATGCCTTTTTCTCTTTTTTTGTTTTCTTTTTGTTAGTCCTGAGTTTTCTTACAGACCCGGCTTAGGTGTCGTTGCCGAAGGCTCGCCGAGTGGTTCTAGTCCGAGCGCAACCGGATCGGGAGGTCCTCCCAATCGACCGTTGCCTCCAACACCCGATGACGACGAATCTCAAGGCGACAAGACTTTGGTATTGCGAAACAGGGTGCGTAACCATTATGCGTTTATTTGCTATAACACTGGCATGCGTTTAACTCGGTGGAGGCCTACGTTTATTTTTTACGTTTTGTTTATTTTCTTCCGTTACTCCGTTAATTGCGCGCTAAGCAGCAGCTGGCAGCTAGTCAAGCGAAAAAGGAAGACATTGACGAAGCGACGTTACTTAAGGATTGGGATTTCGCACGCTTTTTCCCATCCAAATTCCAAGGATCTTCTTCGACTTCCACCTCGAGCGCGTCCACGAAGAGCAATAAGAAAGGCGCCGTTAGTGGCGAAAAGCCGGCGATGCACAGGCGCAACGAAAGCGATAGTAATCTCGGCCCGTTTGCCCGCGGCTTTCGGCGTGAAAACTCCGACCTGCTGCCGCTCAGCTCGCGGCACTCGGCCGTATTTCCTGATCGAAACCAGAGTCCCATGAGGAGCAGCGGCCTGTTTAGTAATCGCCGCAGCTCCGACGCTGGCCTCTCGAAAAAGAACGGCGAACCGATTCTCACCGACTTCGTGAAAAAGAACTCGGAGTTGAGCCGGCGGCCAAAGATCACGATGATGATAGACAAAGCTGAAGTTCAGCTGCGCCCCAGACGCGAAAAAACCGAATCCGATATCGTCCTTAAGTACACAGAGGCGCGAAAGGGTATGGAGACGCGCCGGCGGGAGATTGCGCTCAATCGCGAGGCGGAGGACCTGCGCCGACGCAGCTCCCGGTCTATAGATCCGCCGTCGTTTGCACCAGTCTCGTCGAAAAATAATTCTCTAATCGGTCACGAGTTTTTAATTTTACAGGTAAACAATCTCTCTCTCACTTTGTAGGGGGCTTTGATATGAGCGCATCTTGGAAAAAATGCTTTTCCGTCGACTTTGTTCTCACTCAGCCATCAGTAGTTAACTCCTAACACGATTAAATAACAAATGTGTGTTGCTTTCGAACTAACACCTAACTACTTGGTTTTCATATAGTGATAATATGACCGGATCCGACATTATAAATTACGGTTCTAAACGAAGGGCATGTCGTTCGGCGGATAAATATTGAATTGACTTGACTGTAACATTCGCATGGATATGATGACTGGCTGCCACTGCTGCCACATAATTCTTGAGTACCACAATGTTGTTATTTTTTTCTTTATTTGTGTGTTGACGCACATACCAGCGTTGAATTCACTGGCGAAAAGTGAATCACAAACATTCACGATGAATTCACCGAGTGATTTCCTAACAGACACGTATTGTGTGGACATTTTGGTAACGCCATCATGCACGTAATGAGTGATTAATATGCATTGTACTGCTTCACTGATCTGTGTTCGTCGCACCCCAAAGGATGCGCACACTGACGGCTAATTTCTTATTGCTTTTATAGAATGGCCGCGGAAGCGATCATGCGAGGCAGAGCAACGTCCTGCCGGATTTGCTCTCACAGGCCAGTGGAAGTCCTGGCACGCCTTCCGCCAGAGACAAGAGCTCCAGCGAGGAGGTGCGTATTGTGTACATAATTGTCCATATCTTTTTATTTTCAATACAATTTTCCTCCCTGACTTATAAAAAAGACTGTTGGTTAGAACCACCCAAACTAGAAACCGCGTTTGAAATGCGCCGATGTTACAGCCGTTGTGATCTGTGTGTCGTTTTTTGTTTTATTTGATTTGTTATTTGTCACTAATGTTTATGTCTTTCTCTTGGTTTTGCCTAACTGAGTGGCGACGGTAACTTCATAACGTAATAACTGTAAGTATAAAATCTTGTTCGTTTGTATCGTTTACTTTCGTAACCAAAAAAATACATACATTGTTTTGTTTGCGTTGGAGAGCTCTATGAAATTACGCCGTTTGAGATCTAAATCTATGAAGACATAAACATTTTAGACGTGACTCACCATCAAATCTGTCTGGAATATGAAATGTTGATGGATTTTAGATTTCAGGCGTAATTTTATAGAGGTAAAGTGCCTTTTATCGTTTTGTTGTAGCAATGTGCTTGCCTATTAAATTTTACCGAGTTGTTGCTTTATGTAGAACCTAGATTTGCTTGAAATTTTATATGCTATAAACATTGTTTTGGCCGAATAGTGTAAACACTTACAATCGCACAATATTTAACTATCCCACATTATTTGTGATGAATTATTTTATGTAACTTTCGTTCACTGGATGGAGACATTTTTCAATTCATTTTAACACACATTTAATGATAGGTTCCAGTGCATTGTTACTTAAAAGGCACTTGAATTCCTTTTACAATGCAAACTTATTTCAATTATAATTTTTTTATAATTTTATAAAGTTATCAGTAATTTTGGTTTGGAAAAACTAATGGGAAAGACTAACTTGCATTGAATGTTTACTAATTGTTTTACATTTGTGATTAACACATGGGTGTTACATTTATCATTAATATAGTGGCGTTAAATGTAACATAATTCATGACTTTACATGAGAAGGAAACTATAATATTTACCAGATATTTGTTACGTGGTGTTCTGGTTGTTAAGGGCGATTGTATTTGAACTAACAACAACATTGGACCAAAATGAAAGTATTGGAGACATGCCAAAGAATTAGGTCTATTTTGGTACTTGGGATACACCACATTTGCCCTCTCATCATTATATAATTAATTTACAAACAGCTTATGTTTTAACTAGTAATCTTCACAGACCCATTGTAGAAACATTTGTAAACCTCATTGATTATTTCTGTATTCACAGCTAATGTGGAATACCGAGTAGTTTTTTTGCATCATCATCACCATGCAAGTAGATTAACGTTTGCATGCACAATATGTGTCCTTAAATAATACTTACATTCGATGTGTTCTGCTTTTTTCTAGTACCGTCAGGCTGTGCACATTAATATGGCACCCAGTACACCTATGATCAGTAATCATGCTCTTCATTTACAACAGAAGCAACGTTCTTTCTTGACATTTGGCTTTGGAGCCGGCAGCGCAAATTCCAGACGAGAGTCGCACGTCAACGTGAATGTTACACCAACATCACATGACTTGTCCTCAGACACACCGGAAATTCGGAAGTACAAGAAACGTTTCAACAGCGATATTCTTTGCGCTGCTCTATGGGGTACATAAATATTACATTATTTCATGCACTCGCCTCTATCGTATTTTTTGTAGGTGTCAATTTGTTGATTGGTACTGAACATGGTTTGATGTTACTCGATCGCAGTGGCCAAGGAAAAGTTTACCAACTAATATCTCGAAGAAGATTCCAACAAATGGAGGTATTGGAAGGCCAAAATATCCTTGTTACGATATCTGGCAAAAAGAATCGCGTGCGTGTTTACTACCTCAGTTGGCTCAAGAGTAAAATTTTGAGATCTGACGGAGTAGATGTAAGTACCATAAATTAACGGTGATTCTAAAGTTTTCCAGTAATATATTGATTTGGTCTTAATGGTCATTTACGTCCTTAGCAGCAGGTTGAAAGGAGAAACGGATGGATCAACGTGGGTGATCTGCAGGGCGCAGTTCATTTCAAAATAGTAAAATATGAAAGAATAAAGTTTTTGGTGATAGCACTTAAAGACAGCATCGAGATTTACGCATGGGCTCCGAAACCGTACCACAAGTTCATGGCATTTAAATCGTTTGGCGAATTGACGCACAGGCCTTTGCTCGTAGACCTCACTGTCGAAGAGGGCACAAGACTTAAAGTGATCTATGGAAGTGGCGACGGCTTTCACGCCGTTGATTTGGACTCCGCAAACGTTTACAATATTTATTTACCAAAACACGTACGTGGGAATGTGTATGCTTGAAGAATTCTTTATTGGTATTTTTGATTTTTGTTTAGATTCAAGGATCAATTTCTCCTCATTGCATTGTAACACTTCCAAACAGCAACGGAATGAATTTGCTCCTATGCTACGATAATGAAGGCGTCTACGTGAATACGTACGGAAAGATATCTAAGAACGTTGTTCTTCAGGTATGTTTCTTTTTTGTATTATTACAAAAATGTGTGACGCTGAATATGTATTTTAATTCTAGTGGGGCGAATTGCCAACCTCTGTCGCCTATATTGGCACTGGTCAGATCATGGGTTGGGGCAATAAGGCAATCGAAATTCGTTCGGTTGAGTCGGGTCACCTGGATGGCGTATTCATGCATAAAAAAGCTCAACGATTAAAGTTTTTGTGCGAGCGCAACGACAAAGTCTTCTTCTCAAGCGCAAAGAGTGGTTCCTCTTGTCAAATCTACTTTATGACACTAAATAAGCCGGGCATGGCAAACTGGTAACGGAATATTAAAGTTGAGGCGATGTTAATTTTTAGATAGTAAACTACAGTTGGCTCCATTTATAAACACACAGACCGGGGATGTTTTGTTCTTGCATATAAACAAACTAGCGTAGTTTCCAGTAACCATGCTAATGAAGAGAAAAACCTTAAAAACATACGTACAACCTAACCGCATTTTAAATTCAATACGTTTCGATGCACAAAATATGCAAGGTTTGATTCAGCGGGGAACCACGCGAAGATGAAGCAATAACCAGTGTATAATTTGACAATATGCACACCATTAGGGAACTTTGATTCACATCTTTGTGCCAACCAGCATTTTAGCGGTGAAGCTCACGAAGTTATCATACGATATGTTTTAAGGACGAAGCAAAAGAAACGTTGTATAATAGTATACATAAACATACAAACATAAACACATAATTTGAATACGGGGAGGAATCATTTGAAACAATTTTGATAACGAATTAATTAAAATGTCGCATTAAAAGTAACTTGATGTTGTACATAGTCCCATCAAAACATTTTGTTTTACGTTAAAACGATGTTGTGGTTGAATTGACGATGCTATCAATTTTGATACTTGACAGAAATATTTATATATACCTAATTGTATGGCAAACAAACAGTTTTGCATAGTACAAATAGAAACGAATACCTGCCGAAGTTATCATTCAATTTGAATACTGTTTGTACCGAGATATAATACTAATGAGCGTAATTTTAACGTAATCGAAATGTTTTGTTTCAATCATGTCATGGAATAGTCAGTTGTGCACTCTGTCTTTATAATCCGACATTTGTTGATTCTCCTTCCTTTTCACATTGTGTGCAGCACGCAATCTAATGCATTACCCGTAACCTTATTACTGCAAAATTATGAGGAACTCTTACAATTTTATACTAAAAAAAATATGCAAATTGTAGTGAATAATATATGTCAGTATCTAAAAATATTCATTATTCTTACGGTGCTGTTATACCTACTATTCAAAATTTCATTTCTAATTATTTAGGTTATTGTAAATATTATCGATTACTTATGTTGTATTGTTTATTTCTCTTATTCATGTATAAGATGAATATAACGTCGTAAAGTTGCAATGCATTGCACAACACGCTGTCGCCATCAGTTTTGTTTAAGAATCTTATACTTTCGATCAGTAATAGTTATGGTGCAATGAAGACTGTTTTATATATTTGATTTATATTATAGTAGTATTTGTATTGAAATATCACTTTTGTAATATCTTTTTGTTATACTGATATTCCGTTTACATATTCGAGTGAGGAAGATTGTTAATAAATGCAAATAGCGGAATAGCTGCCTTCCTCGCGTATCGGAGGCGCGATGTATCTGGCATTTGCATCAAATTTATTTATTTGTGCGATTCTTTCTAAAAAATTTAAATTATTGTTGATTCCAAATTTTATAAGAAAATGAAGAAAAAAGAAAGTGCTATCCTTGCTCTGATTATGTGTTAATTTACGTTACGTATTATATTAAACATATGCTATGTAATATTCTATGTACTCCTTTTATAGTAATTTCCAAAGAATTGGTAAGTGTGATTTTTTAACTGATTCTAACATATAGATCATTTTATTAATATAACGAATAAAGTTGTATATTAAAACTGGTTTTTCGTTTACATCATGCATAGAAATGATAGAAAGATATGGGCCGTAAAATGCATCGAATATAGTGGCCTACCAAATGAGGATTTGATTTTAATTTGCGACACACCTTTTGCATTCCTACGAAACACCAGTGCCCAACTCCTAGGTCATCGCAAAAATTATGCGATCTGTTTGATAAAATCATTATGCGATGCTTAAATTAAATTATAAATCGGCAACACATTAAATAAATAATTTTGCGTTGACACTAGAAAATGTCCTGAATTATTGTTTTTATTGAATAGCCAAAGATTAAAAATATTGTACAATAATAATTTATTCCTGCAATATTAGTTTTTTAATTGTTGAAAAATATCTTTGAAGACTTGAACACTTCTATCCACACTGTTTGATTCAAAGAATGTAACACCCCTTGCTTTATTTTCCTCCGATTTAACTTGAACTAACTGCAAGTATTTCAGATATTCCGGCCAAACGCAAAGTTCGAAATACCCAGGGCAATCCGGAGGTTCGTAGACACGAAGCAGCCGCCGACGTTTACATTCCTCATAGTCCAAGGTAAAAAAATACTTCAGGTCACATAGTTCATAAACTTCTGCATGTTCATAGATTGAAAATCCTTCTATGATTAAAATGTTTACATCCCTTTGTAAACCTTGAAGGAATAATATTAATTCTTGGTTTTTGTCTTGGGAGCCATTTTCTTGTGCAGATTTATGCTCTGCATAATGTGGTTGATTTGCAATTATTGTTAATATATCTTTATACATCTGATCCATGTCTATACTGGTTATGATATCAAAGTGTATATGTTGAATTTCTTCAACCCATACATGCCTCTTGTCTTCAACATCAAGAAAATAGTCATCTTGGGAAATCACTTTCACATTTATTTTAAATTTGGAATATTGGGCATGCTGGTTTATTAGATTAATGAGTTTTTTACTAAGACTTGTTTTTCCTCCACAAGTTACCCCTGTTATACCAATCACTAAATATTTTCCATTCATTTCAAATGGATCTTTTTTAAATATTAGAAACAACTGGTGTACAGTGCTAAGACAGTAATAAAACAGTCTTATTAGAGTTTGCTGTATAATAATCTTATAAAAGTGTTATATAATACGGAAGTTATGATTCGCATTAAGTAAAACCATAAAGTTTGACCTTATGTGTTAATTAAGCAAACTTGTTTATCCAGCAACAAGATAAACGATAGGCGACCCAAAATGTGAGGTATACATGAGAGGTTAGGACAAATGCGAGATTCTGCGCGCGAAATATTCACACATTTAAAAACCAGAAGCCGAACCATAAGTTTTATCCCATTTCAAATATTGTTCTAGATCAGACGGTGAAACACTAGATCGCACCCTAGCCAGAGCATTGGTAAAATCAAACATTGAAACAGGCCGAACCTAAAAAAAAAAACAATATGTTTTAATTGTATTGCATATTTTAAATTAAATATTACCTCTGACAATTGAAGATTTTCAATTTGCGAAAAGTCCATTGTTCTGATTGGCCCTAAACACGCATCTGAACACAAAGTCTTAATATCAGCTCCTGAGTAACCATCTGACAATTTAGCAAGTTCTATGTAATCCTCATCACTCAAACAGTTCTTTTCCTTCTCCATTAATTTCTTGACTAGTTGCAGTCGTCCTTCATTTTCTGGCAGAGGAATGTACAATCGTTTTACAAATCGTCTCCGAGCAGCTTCGTCCAACTCCTGTGGCCGATTCGTCGCACCAATAATAAGCAATCTTTCTTCACTCTCAGTTCTAGCACCGTCCAACTGCACCAAAAATTCTGTTTTTATTCTCCTAGAACACTCGTGTTCTGATTCGCTTCTCTGAGATAGAAGCGAGTCAATCTCGTCAATGAAAATCACAGCGGGTTGGTGACAACGCGCAATCGTAAATAATGCTCGCACCATTTTCTCACCCTCGCCAACCCATTTTGAAGTAAGACTGGATGCACTAATGCTAAAAAAAGTAGATTTGCTCTGTGAGGCAACACATTTGCCAATTAGGGTTTTGCCAGTGCCAGGGGGTCCAAAGAGTAATATTCCTTTGGGTGGTCTTCTGAGACCCGTGAATATGTCGGGTCTCAACATGGGCCATACCACAGCCTCCTTAATTGATGTTTTTGCAAATTGAAGGCCAGCAATATCATTCCATTCCACAGTGCTTCCTGCATCCATAATTTCTGATCTAATCAACTCAATTATCTTTGGATCAATGTTCTTCAGTCTTTCATCTTCAGGTTCTTCTAGATTTCTTGTTGAATTCTCACTGTTGAAATAATGTTATACTTGAATGTTATTTAAGTTATTGTAGTTTTATATACTCACCTTTCATTTGATAGTAACGGAGGAATAAATTTATTAGATTTGTGCCTCTGTACAACAACTTTTTTTCTTGACATAACATTGTACATATTGCCCAATTTTTTCATTTCTTCCATGTCCAGAACATCACCAGCAGTTTTGAATACATCCAGAGGATTTGTTATATTTTGGGATATACCAGCTTGTGGGGACTGATCTTCACTTTGATCAATTTCCATTTGATCTTTACTTTGTTTGTAATCAATGTTTATCCTTTTTAATGTTTTTTGATAATCTGATTTATTTCCTTGTTTGAACAAGGTACTCAAAATCTGTTTATGTGATTCTGCATTATTAAACTCCTGCAAGTTATCAGGTAGATCAATATTGTTTATATTGCATTTCCATTGAAAACTATTGTTTTCCACCTCATAGGTCTTCAGTTTAGTTGCAATTTCATTATTAAGTTGCCCCAATTTACTACATGAAAGCATATAATCTTGTATAGATTTACTAAGTAATAGATCTCCAACTGCTGGGTGAACTCTAAACATAAATCAAAATGTTTGTTAACTATTGTAAACTTACAAATAATTAATCAATCAAAGAGTACTTACAATGACATAGCATTTAGAATATCCTTTCTTTTGCCCCCCATTGCCTCAATAATTTCATTGCTCTTATTCATTACTTTTAAAGCCAACGAAAGTATCAGCTGTTTTTTAAAACTTCTATAGCTTTGCAACACTACTGATTTGTAAAATGTTTATCGTAGGCAACACACAGCTCAAAGCAAACTTTCCATCAACTTTTTCAGTTATATGGCTTTATTTTCAATAAATAAATTTAATAGTAATTAGATTACCAAATTTATCAGATTGCACATTGGCAATATGGTGATTTGGTATATTAGTTACATATGTAACGTCCATAGACTCCTTTTGCACTTGTTACAACATTGCGCGCATGTGCAGTAAGTGCGATTGTCATTTTAAATAAGGTGAAGCTTAACGGTTTGGTCACTCTAATGTGACGGTTTGCTTTTGGGGTTTGATAACTGCCAGTCAACTGTATAAAGTAGATTTGTAGAAGTGATACACAAGATAAGAGAACTTCGTTTATTAATTCAGCTTCAGTTTACAATCTAACTGCTATTATAATTTATTACAACATGGATAAACCAACGAAAAAGATTAAGCGACCGGTGATTCGGCAGACAAAGACTTCGATATACCGAATGGCCAAAGCAAATCCTCTTCTTGTCCGTGAGAATCAAATCAAGGTTGCTGATAAAGACGTTAATTTACCACTAGCTGTTACGTATCCGGGCCGCATAACCCTTGACGACATTGAGTTTAAAAAGTGGATTCAAACTAGCACTAAAGCTAGTTCATCTAATAATTCTCTTGGCCTACCACCTCAGAAGAAGGAAGTTATTCCAATGACAAAAGCAAATGTAAAAAAGGCAACAAATATGAGGCCGAAACCAAACCTGCCTGTAAAGAATAAACCACTGATCAAATCTGCAAGTGAAGATAATGGGAAGCAGGGCCAAGGCCTAGCAATATGAATGAAAACTTTAAGATGCCGTTATCTACAGCACCGAAAAAAACGCAGTTACGCCGCTCACTATCGTCTGAATACTTTGCTAATACTAATAAACCTATTACAAAATGTTTTGGATCTGCAAATGAGACTCTGAATAAGTCATTGTCATTCCAAAGTTTAAATAGTAACACATCTAAATCAGGCCTACATACATTCAGCAAGTTTTTAAGTTATAGAAGTACCAGCACTCCAATGTGCATGGCTAATAAAGTGCGCAAGAATGTGCAAGAGTCACCTTTGAACACACTTCAGCATCCATTAAAGGAATGGTTAAAGCAACGCGGTAAATCATTGAGCAATTATCAACATTTAAAATGTTTTGGAATGCAACAATTAAGAGGTGATGAAAGAAATGAAGAGAAGGAAAACATCCCTGAAGTTAGCCCAAGGAGTGGGAGTTATGATGATCTGAAGATTCCTGTCTCTGCAGGTTCTGCAGCTGATGATCAGAAAGCTTTTGCTGAAAATCTTGTAACTGGAGCAGTTGAAGATTTACACAATTTAATTGTAACTGGCTATTCTCCAGAACAGTGTGAAGCTTGGCTAGATTTCATTAAGCAAAAGAGTAAAAATATGGAAGAAAAACCGCAGTATTGGGAATGCAGAGCTGCAATTGAGCAGAGAAGAGGAAACATTGCATCAGCAGTGGAATGCTACAAGAATTCAATTATTAATGGAGCAAATGTAAGTGTACTTTAATTTTTAGCACCCATAAAAAATATTTTAATATAGTAGATATTAACAATGTTAAACTTTTCAGGTGGATCATATTGATGAATCTCTGGGTCACTTATTAGAAAAGTTTAGCCTGCTAAATATTGAAGCGAAAAATCCAGTTGAAACAGAGAAAAGACGAAAAGCAAAAGAGGAAGAAGTCAGGAACATATTTAAATCGACAATCATTCAGTTTGCCATTAAAGAACGTTCATTAAATAAGTAAGATTATTTATTCGCTCTGCGTTTTTTTAATGATTATTAATTTCTTAATTAATATGTACATAGGAAAGATAACACGAAGGAAGCTGAAAAATCGAAGAAACAATTTACTGGCACACCAGTGCGACGCAGCACACGAAAATCGTGCGCTAAATTTCAACACACTCCAGGAAAAACTCTGTATGATTCATGGAGTGATGTTGACAATTCCATCAAGGAGAATGTCGAGTTCAAAAATAACGCGTATTTGGCTTAAACACTTAATGTTTTTAATTAAAATTGAATTTTAACGTTATAATATATTCTTAAAGATTCGATAATTTGTAAATTTAAGATTGATTATAAAATAAGACTTTAACTTGAACAAGTTCATTTTTTATGTTGTGGTACAATTAAAGTATTTTATGTATGTATCTATATTTAAATAACAATAGTTTTACGAGAGGCTGAATATTAATAATAAGCAATTACGCTTAACTACGATCACTTGTGACGGAATTGCGTTCAATTTGCTTACTTTGTTTATTAGTATATTGTGTATTTATTTTAAAGAGTGTTTTTAGGGTTCTCGTCTGATACATGTCGGCTGGGTTACATATAACAAAATTTTGAAGTCAGAACTTCCGTATGATATTGCACCTCTGGTTCAGACATCTTTAAATTAAATGTCGAAAGAAGCATAGCGAATATCGACGGCCTCTGTTTCGAACAGGCGTATATATACTGCGCGAACAACACCCCTATGTGCTTTATGTTGTCAGTAACTCTTTAAATTGCCTTTTATTGTGCAATGTGCTTTATTTTTTCTGATTTATCAATGTAGTACGATCGTGCTTGCGGAGCATCTGCGCATGACGAAATTCCATACAATACGTTAGAACCAAATTTTCAAATATAATCCAATCGAATCCGCTAATCCGACAATCACTTTGCAGGGCAGTGTCGGATGAGCGAATTTGTCGGATTATAGAGAACTGCCTAAGACGCCATACAGTCCGGAATTTTTTCCAAAAGAGAACCTTGTAATCCGACAAATTACAAATCCTAAAGTACAAACATGGCATATGACCATGTCAGATTATAAGAGGTGCCGTATTAAACCGGGTCCGGATTACTGGGATTCCACTGTATTATGAAATCGAAATATGAGTGACAGTGACGATCAAGTGACCAAACAGAAACAAAAACCTAACGATGAAAAAACAAGAGCTTTTCAGATAATAGAAGGTCAAGAGTCTAATCGTTGTAGCAACTTTTTTTTTGTTTTATTCCACTTTTCGGTATAGATTTTATTGTTTTTATTTAAAAGTTATACGTGAATTGAATTATAGTTTATTTCGACCATACGTACGTAAAGTTACTGACGATGCCCTCAAATCGAAACAAGTATACTGGAAATAAACTGCAAATAGAATAGTGGATTACACGAATTCAACGTTCAACGAAGAAGATATATTTTTATTTAATAATTGCCAAAGTAAAAGCAGTACCCTCACAATTTATCGTAGTTAAACGATACTTTATTAAAACCATTGCAAATCGATGCAAATGTTTGTCAAACCTGATGTTCAGAGCTACTTAGACAGAAGTTTCGTTTACTTTGGCAATTATTAATATTCACCCTCTTTATTTTAATTTAAAAACTCTGAGACCAGTTGCAATAAACCCACCTCCGTCAAATCCCTAATTGAAAATACGACTCGGAATGAAATCGGACTTCTCCACAAATATTGAAATTTTTACGAAAATATTTTATGGAGATAATGACTTCAAAAGTATGCACTAGTGTTAGCTAAAACGACCTTCTTTCAAATTATGTATCGTCAGTGTTGGGTTGACTGCTCCTGACGTCATGTTTGAGTAAGGCATACGTCGTTTCGCCGAGAGACGTTTCGTCAAGAGTCATTTCGCTGTGACACATTACCACCTCAAAAATAATTCAAATTTCCAAGTAAATTTGATGCGGAAATATCTATATTCCTAAAAATATGTCACTGATTTATGTAGGTTCAAATTAAATCCACAAATGCATTGAATGCAGAACATTCGACATTGGACTTAATATTCTTATAAATGTATTTATTTCCGCCTAGAAAATTTAGTTATTCTTGCGGCGAATCGACTCCGGGCGAATATGTGCCGCGAAGAAACAACTCGCGACGAAACACCGTAATTGAGTAACAGAAGCAGTAAACCATTAATGAATAATTCTGTTATTTTATGTCCTTAAAAATGAATTCGAAGGTGTATAAGTGGTGTGGGGTCCCTCACTGTGGTAATACATCAAAAAAGACTCCCAATAAATTATTCGTGTTCGTTCCGCAAAAGAAATCAATTCGGGACAAATGGCTTGAACTTGCGAAGCGGGACTCATTTGTGATAATGGCTACGACCCACCTTTACTTCTGTGAAGATCATTTCGATGTAAGTTTATTTTTGTTTAATTATATAAGATTATGTGCCATTTTAGGTTAGGCGTGTTATTGTGCTGTGGCTCTATGGCTGTGTTGGGTATTATCAACATTCAAATTTCAGTTGCCAAATGATATGGTGAATTATATGCAATATCATTTGATGGGTTCAGTGCCAAAGGTTCGCATGAAGGCAGGATGTTTGCCTACAAAGTTTGAGTGTCAATCAGATATAAAAAGAAAATATACATCTGATGCTACATATCAATCAATTCTCAAAAAACAAAGAAAGACATTGAGTAAAAAATCGGAAAATGGTTTGGATGAGAAAATTGGTACTATAAAACAGGAGGAATTTAAAGAGGCTACATTGAGTAGTTCAGGTGGGTACTTTTGAAATAAAACTTATATCTCAGTTTCTATATAACTTAAATAATAAGACACCAAACGGTATTCTTCTCAGTAGACATAATACTTTTGAGAAAAAAATAGATATGTAGGTCTAAACTTAAATTGGGCTTAGCTGACAGCCTCTAACTAACGAACTGTTATATCCTTAATCTTAAGTCTTAAGTCCTGAAAATTTGAATGTTATTGAGCTTATATCAAAAGATATAATTTTTTTTTTAACAAAATTTAGTCAAAATTACGTTTTTAATTGCAATTTTTGACAATATTTTCTTCACTCAATTTACTTAAATTATATCGAATTTTATTATCAGAGTATGTCTCCAAATGACATTCTGAATCAGTTAATAAACCCAGAGTGGGCCGTATTTTCTATTTTCTCTATTTAATTGAAAAAAAGCCAAATTTTCAAAAATGACAAAATTTTTTTTGGATATTTTATATCTCTTATTAAATAAATGTAATAGGGATGTTAATATTACAAATGCAAATATTTTTAGTATTTTTTTAAATACGATTAAAGCCTAAAAACCATGTTTTTAAAATTCCGTTTCAAATTTCGCTCCAAAACGCTAATACTATGTCACGTGATCGCTGTGGCGTCACACGTTACCAAACAATGGTTACTGTTATGGTGAAATGAAGTGTTTAACTATTAGAGTCTGACCGAAACTAGTTTTTAGCCGAAACCGAAATTTCGACCCTGCCCTCAGTTTCGGCCGAAACCGAAACTGTAACTTACATAAACATATTTTTCTACTTCTACCTACAAAGGGCCGGTTTTTCCACGTTTTTTGATACAAAATCAATCTCGTGAATAAAGTCCCCGTTTAGTCACTTGATACTTAATATAATATTAATTTAAGTCTCTATGTGCGAACTCAGATGGCAAATAACGACCGCCATTAGCCGCGAAGTTAGCTGAATTGCGCATGAAAATTCACGTACAGTGAGTTTCGGCCAATTTTTGGTCGAAACCGAAACTGAAGCCGAAACTAAAATTCTTGGCCGAAACCGAAATTTTGGTCGGTCTCTATTAACTATACTATGAATTCTAAGTTTTATAAATGTTGTGCGGTGCCTCAGTGTGCAAGTACTACGATCAGGACACCAGAAAAAATATTTATTCACGTTCCACGTTCAGGGAATGGAAGGAAAAAGTGGCTTCAGCTTGCCCGCAGGGATGCAGCTCTCGTAGCTCCACAATCCAAAATGCATTTTTTCGATGTACGTTCTGATAACTAATTGTTTATTTTATATGTTTTTTTAGCTAACTATGTTTTGTACTGTTTTATTTTAGTTGCCAAATGATATGGAAAACTATACTGAATATCGAGTGATGGGCTCGGTATCTCAGGTCCGAATGAGAGCGGGTTGTATGCCAACAAAATTTGAGTGTCAACCTGATCGGAGAAGACGAGCAGGGAATGAAAGAACACGACCATTAGTAGTTAAAAGACAAAGATTGGAAGCAATAGCTGATTGTGAAAGGGAAATAGAACAAGCACGCTCTGCACAAAGTATTTCCAATGCTGAGGTTCAACCAGGTCCAAGCTCAGGTATGTAACTATACAGTTATTACTAGTTGATTCTAAATACAGTATTTTATTTATTTGCTGAAAAAGACAAAACAGATGTACTTCAACTAGCAAAGTGTAAGTCAATAACAACAGACAAATCAATACAAGTATCCATGTTTCATAAATTCAGAAGTAAAAGCACACAGACTCAAATAACAGTTAGAAACATGGCTGTTTCAGTACTAAAGAAGAACAGTCAGATAGTGATGTATCATTATTTTCACAATCAACAAGTGTGTCTGTGACCACGATTGGTGTTCATTGTCATGTGACTTGAGAGTGATTTAGTGATATTTTATATTTATAATATTGAATAAATTTTGTACAAATAAGGCAAAATATTGTGATTTTGAGTAATTCTACCATAGAAACAATCATTTTGTGTAGAAATTATGTTTTTATTTAAATACAGTCAACATCCTTATTCAACTATGTGATGGTATTTACACTATTTGATTGCACTGTGAGTAAATAATACTATTTTTACATAACCTGTAAATCTTTTTACGATCTAGAGTTCAATGAGAGATTTTTGGCATTATTGTTAACTAAAAAATAATTCTCCTAGCTTATGATCCCCTCCGAGTTGTCCTTGTTTGAAAAGCAAATCATTAGGTAGGCTACCTTGTTCTTTTTCTATGAAATTCAAACTACTGAAAATTTTCTCGTATCAACCCCAAGAACAAATAGTCTGATTTACTTGTTTGTGTACTGGATAATTTAATTGGGCTACGAAAAACCCAAGTAGGAATTTGAATCTACAGCATAAGGGATTTACGCATTTGCGGAATTGTACATGATCTGCCTTAAAAACAAAATCCATGACGATGTGGTTGATCAATACGTAAAAAGAAATATCCATAGAAAATTTTAAAGATGTATGACGAAGTTTTATCGTAATATAAATGATCTGGCACATAATGTATACGATCATTTCAAATTTCTCGAAAAGTGTCATGAGTACCGGCAGAGTAAAAAGGAAGAAGTAGAAAGAGGTACTTGAATAATTTCTAACAAATTTTGTCCCTAATTTTAATCCATACATTATGTGTATAATCTTGTATTTTTTTCTTTTCAGGTGATTCTAAAGGGGATGTATTAAATGTGCAAGTAAATGTATCAGTTGGAAATACTATTGAAAATAATGATTGTGAGTATATGAATATTTTTACACATGCAAAATCACACACACACTTTTTTAAATTCCCCTATCATAAATTAATTTTGTCTATTTTAATAGATTATCAGCATGGTACTTTAAATCCATGTGACTCAAGATATACTGAAACAGATCGTGTTTCACGTAACAGTTGTATAAAAAAGGTAATTAAAATTGAAAAATTAGTTTAATCATAGAGTAAAGTATATTAAGTATCAAGTGGTTAAACAGGGGCTTTGCTTTCGAAATCGATTGGGCGTTTAACGACGTTTATCCACGTGGTGCTTACGCTATTTTTTCTACTTCCACTCTATTTCCACGTTTAGTTTTTGTATCTGAACTTTTGTATTTTAAATCTTCGAAATTCGCTCGCACACTACTGGGAAATGTAAGGTTATAAATGTCGTGCCGCGCCGACACATGGCATTTCATATGGTCTTGTGCTGTTCCGTAGGCAAATACGGAGGCGCAAGCTTCGTCTTGAGACTAAAGCCCGTGACTAAAGTACTTAGCCGTGGAAAAACTCACGGCTTTGACCGTCCGTATTTAAACTACCACTTTTTGCTAAAAACCGTAGAAGAACTGGCAATTTATAGATGGAAGTAGAAAAAGTTACATTTTTTGATTTAATGCATTTTATTTATTCTGTATTATCATTTATCATTAATATAATATTTTCATTTTTTTTATAGGAGTGTGAAGATATGTCTACTGAAGATTTATCAGAATCTGAGGACAATGAACATGTTAACATAAAAACTGAACCTAATGTAAATTGCTATGAAGATTATATCATTAATTATGGCATTAAGGAAGATATAGACCCGGAGGACCAGAAATTCAACAGAGATGTTGACATAAAAAGTGAAACAATGGAAGAATATGAGGATGAAACAGCTACCAATTTTTGTCGGCCAGAATTACAGTCGATTGTACAAAATAGTGAGAACTATCATGAAAGTACTTGAATATTTTCAAATAAATTTTGTCCCCAATTCTTACAACTCATAGATCATATGCTCAATCTCCATACATACTTTATATGTTATTCTCTTTTCAGGCGATTCCCGAGCGGATGTTTTAAATGTGCAAGTTGATGTTTCAGTTGAAAATAATATTGAAAATCATGATTGTTAGTATCTGAATATTATGCAGATGTAAAATCAACACTCTTTTTTCAATTATTTCTTAATATAGGTACATATATAAATTACGTGTCACGTTGTTTGTCCGCGATGGATTCTTAAACTACTTAACCGATTTTAATGAAATTTGCAGTTTGATGCAACATGAAAGATAGGATAGCTTACATCTTAATTTATAGTCGTAATATTATTTTATTGCAAATTATTTGTCTATTATTTGACGTTCACAAATATCTGTTAACTCCAAACGATTTTAACAGTAGACGATATTTGTTGGCTGGATTAAGTAAGTAATCAATAGATGGCGCTGCTATGTTAAACCAGAAACGTGTCATATAAGTTACAATTCAATAGCATAACCACCACGTGTTGTTAAGGCACGTGTTGAGCCTAAGTATAGGTAAAGTTATTTTGTAGTAAACGAAATACCGTGAAGTTTAATAGTTTTAACTTTTTAATGTTTTGGTGTTAGCATAGCCGACTACGTGTTCCTTAGAGTGAAGTGTGAATTAAATTTATATTATAGTGAAGATAATACAGTGAAATTATTCCTGCTTTTTGATTACTCGTGCTTCATTGTTCAAACTCTTTAATTAAAATATATACATGTAAGTATAATCACACAGTTATAAAAGATAAGAGGGGCGCTTAAGGGTACGGCAGATATATGCGGTCAGAAGCTTACAACAAGGCTTACAATCACGCACAATGCTGAAATATATATAATTATATTTGCTAAGATTAATTAAATTTTAAAAAATTGAACCAATTTAAAAGTACGACCCTGATAACGGACACTAAAAAATAATGCCGACCCTGTTTATATCAATCACGGCGCGAACGTCCTGTATATACCCATTGACACAACAAGTCAGCTGACGCTGCTTATTGAGCCGATTTCGTGGAGCCGATATTACACGAAGTATAGATACACAGAAGACCGAATGTCATGTTCTCGAAGTATAGATACACAGGAGACCGAACGTCATATTAAATTAATGGTCAAAATCACGAAGTATAGATATAAGGAGTCCGAACGGTATAGGCTTTTTCGTCGTAGTCATGGTACACAATTATAAACACATCTCATAGTTCTCTTTTCTGCCACTGGTTGCGCTGGGAACCCGAGGGACCCGATATTCGTTGGTTCGTGTCTATGGCAACATTGAGACAATTTGTTTACATGACGTTCCTGTATTTAAATACAGGATTTAAACGAGTACACACGAAGTGCGAGTACTCTAAGGCATAGTGGCGCGCTCTATTGACGAATGTTCTGTTCCCTAGATTTTGACCATTAATTTATCATGACGTTCGGTCTCCTGTGTATCTATATTTCGTGGTCAAAATCTAGGGAACAGAACATTCGTCAATAGAGCGCGCCACCATGCCTTAGGGTACTCGCACTTCGTGTGTACTCGTTTAAATCCTTACGTTGCTATGGACACCGCCGGGAAAAATTCAACATGAAACAAGAGATACTCTGAAAAGCCAAATAACGTCATGTAAACAAATTGTCTCAATGTTGCCATAGACACGAACCAACGAATATCGGTTCACTCGGGTTCCCAGCGCAACCAGTGGCAGAAAAGAGAACTATGAGATGTGTTTATAATTGTGTACCATGACTACGACGAAAAAGCCTATACCGTTCGGACTCCTTATATCTTTACTTCGTGCGATATTATCACGAAGTATAGATACACAGGAGACCGAACGTCATGTTAAATTAATGGTCTCGATCTAGGGAACAGAACATTCGCCAATAGAGGGCGCCACTATACGTTAATGTACTCGTTTAAATCCTTACTTTGCTATGGAAACCACCATAGAAATAATTGTTGAAATAATTTCAACATGAAACAATAACACTCACGAATTATAAAAACACAAGATCGTCATGTAAACGGATTGCCTCAATGTTGCTATGGACACGAACCAACGTACATCGATTTACTAGTGATCCTTGCGCAGCCAGTGGCAGAAAAGGGAACTATGAGCTGTGTACCATGACTACGACAAAAAAGCCTATACCGTTCGGACTCCTTATATCTATACTTCGTGCGATATTATCATTAACCCGTCAGCACTCTTGTGAACATTCGGGTAATCTTTAGTCTCGTGATGAGAGATTTGCTCACGCTCAATGCGCATGCGTTCAATATCTCGCGCGGTTGATTTACTTTTGAAATGTACGTTTGAAATGTTCGACCGAACGGCTATACACTGACGAAGGCGCACGAACTGACCCGACCGTTACCGAAAGTACATTTTTTTAATGTTACATCTGTATTCTCGTGATGAGATAAATGCTCACGATTTCTGGAGCGCAAGAGGAAAATATTTTTTTATTAATTATGTATAATACTAAAAAATTTAAAAAGCACATAATACTAAAGTAGAAGAACTTACTTGAAGGTAGAAAAAATTTCATCTACCCTTTCCATCTGAAAAAAAAAAAGTTATCACCGTTTCAAATTGAGCGTGAGCAAAATGCTCATAACAAGAGTGCTGACGGGTTAACAACATGCCGCGACCAAAACGATCAGATCTTTCCCGACACAGCCGTACTGCAAGAAAGTCTCGAAACATTACGAATAAAAGGACTGAAGAAGAACAAGAAATTGCACGTGAACAGTGCCGCGTTAGTATGGCTCGACTTCGTGCTTCTCAATCTCAAGAGCAAAGGGATGCAGTCCGTGAAACGGCTCGGGTGGCAATGCGAAATCGCACAAAACGCAAGAGAAGAAATTTATCAAGTACAGATTCGAATCGAGCAGCGTTTCGATACGATTGCTGCACTGATTACTGCTTGCATACTAGCGTTCGTATTGGGCCAATGGACATTGTATGCGAGTATTGTGGCGCGTTTAAGTTTTCCGGAGGAACGCCAGGATTGTGCTGCCTGAGTAGGAAAGAGAAACTACCATTAATGACTCCACCACCTGAGCCATTGCATTCATTGCTTCGTGGCGGAACTAAGTTCGTCGGGTCAGCTAGTAGTTGTATAAAAAGGGTAATTAATATGGAAAAAAATGTAGTAATCATGAAATAAGTTACATATTTGGATTTCATGCATTCTATTTATTGTGTAATTATTAGCAGATTTATTTTAACATTCACATAATATTTTATTTTTGATAGGAGTGTGAAGATATTTTTACTGAAGATTTATTGGGATCTGAGGACTATGAAAATGACAACATAAAACCTGAGCCTAGTGTAGATTGCTATGAAGATTATGTAATTAATTATGATTGAAAAATATTTATTTATTAAAAGTTATATGTGATTTTGTTGTGATTATGATTTATATATTTGAGTTGACATGTTTTGCCCTGAGGGCATATATGTACATAAACTGTTTATTTTTAACTTTTAATACATAAATATTTTTCAACTATACAAAAATGGATTATGTATTCAACATTCAAGGTAATAAAATTAATTATGATATTGAGGAAGATTTGGAACACTTTTAAATTTACCTAAATAGCGTTCATTTTTTATTGAAATAAATACACTAATCATGATTTGTCCTTTACATACCTGAAAATATTTTTTTAGCAAAATGTCAAACTCATGACATGATCATTTTAATGTTACCCATTTTTGTTTCATCGAATTCTCAAACCACAACGATGCCAAAGAAGTATCACTTAAAAACGATACAATAATCAAATATTTTGTGTATTAATAATTATTTTAACAAGAACAAGCTCTGACGATAAAATATAATATTCGATTAGCACAACGGCAATCCTACACACGTGTTTAAATAAAAATCTTGGGAAAAAATGAAATTATTTATAGCTAAATTATTGTTTTTGGCTTCTTTTTGATTTTTACCAAATTTTATAATTTCTTTACGATTCATATCAAATAAAACTTATATTAAGATTTTATTATTTGAAGTTTAATTAATCTTAAGCATAACTAGCATTGCCAATATTTATTTTTTGTTATGGATAACCCTGGCTTAATCGGAAGACGAAGTCTAAAATTGAATGCATGTGCTCTGTTATCTTTATTCTAGTATAGTAGTCTATTAACTTTTGAATTATTGTTAAACTAGTTTGTAAGTGAATAACGTGTTTTAATAAAGATATGTTAAAAGCAATTTCTAACTCTATGATTGTATGTGTACCCTCTTTTCTATCATTTCAGGTACAGGTCATAACATGGGAAGTAGGTCTAAGTTTGAGTCGATAAATAGAAATATTTGTTCAAGTTCTTATAACCATGGTCTCTATAAAAAGTTCTCCCTCTCAGGGGGTGATCCTTCACCAAAAATATTGTGCAGGTCTTAGATTATCCCGGGGCTGAGGACGGGTCGAGAGCAATGGATGCACCCGAAGCAGCGGGCAGTTAAGCAGAGCGTCGAGGGTGCTCTGTAAGAGCGACCTTTCAGTCTTATGGAACAATTCGTCGCCCAAAAAATTAAAAAAACCGGCCAGTCGTCGCTCAACTACTGTTTGTTAATATCAATATTTACTCGTTTTATATCAATGCAACACAAGATCATATGAAATATGTACCATGAACAGTCCACAGAGTGCATAACATATAACCTAAATGTCCACCACAAATTATACACTAATTCCACCTGCTCTCTAATCGTAGCCTCGAATATTTCTGTGCAGTTTTGTGGTGTATGGTGTCGTTTGATGGTAAATCGATTGAAATCTGTCTCAAAATGGAAGAAAGATGTAAATTGGAACTGAAATCATCATATCTAAAATGTTTTGATGAAGGATCTACTACCACTAACCTAATAAATAATATTCTGGAAAAGGTAAATGTTCGCTCTACAAACAATTATTCATTATTCTACATTGTTGTTGCCTTTAGCATAAAAGTTTACTGGATAATATTGATTTTTACAACTCACAGCAAGACCTTTACAAACGAAAGGTTATTCTTGAATCAACCAAGTTAAATTATCAGTTATTCAACAAGTTGTTTTCAATAAATGTGGAACTGGAGTCTTTTTGGAAGAGTTGCATAGAGCATTCACTTAAGACTATTGCAGATCAAGTTCTTAATTTTGAAGCATGTGGTGATGCACTTTCCACCAGTTCTGAACCAATACATAGATTCACATCCTCTGTTACTACTGGTGACCCAATCGAATTTAAATCTGAATATGCATATGACTATAAAACAATTTCCAAAGAAAATAGTTTAAACCCATTGGTGCCTAGTTTTATTCCTAGTAAAAGCACAATGAGCATGTCAATTTCATCTTCATCAATCAATAGTCAAGATTGGCATGATGCACTTTCAAATACAGACTTTGATGTAGATTTATTGAATGCAAAACAAAAAGAAATAGGAGCTGAATACAATTCATGCAATTCAGGGTCCAGTTCATCTAAATTAATTGAGACTGAAATAAAACCCAAAGATAAATTTAAAAGAAAGTATGAAAAGGATAAGTGTGAGATACTTAATTCAGTATCTCATAACAATTCACCATATAAGAATTCTAAAGACCTCAGTGTGACCAAGGAGCCATTAAAACAAAATTGTGAAGGTATTTATTGGCGTAACCTGTATACTTTTGTTTATATTCTATTGGATTAGATTAGAATATCGAAAATACTATTTGTTTTATTAATTTTTAGAAATCCCGGAGCATGATGGCCCAAATAATACCGATTCATGCTTTGTCATGTACGTTCAAGACCCGTCTGAGTTCTACATTACCCTTTTAGGCAGTGATACAATTATATTGTAAGTATATTACACCTAACAGTGAATGTAAATATGTTAGGCTAATATTAAATGGACAAAATTTGTTTAAATTTAGAATTGGTGAGCTGTTAGCAGAGTATGCAAAAACGAGTAGAGAAAATTATAAAAATAAATTTGACGCAAAACAAGGTATTGGAAATTATTGCATTGCCTATTCAGAAGAGTTCAAGTCTTGGAACAGGGCACATATTTTAGACTGGAAAATGGTATGCAACATTTATAGTGACAATAATTTCAGATGAACTTTACTAAGTAGTTTGATTTAGACTGAGCCACATACTGTCAATGTTCAATTTGTTGATCACGGGGAGTATGCAACTGTTCCATACACATGTTTGATGCCTATTCCTGCAATGTTTTGTGAAATACCCAAACAAGCAATTTGCTGTTCTCTGCTAAATGTAAGCCCACACATATCATGTTCTTCTCTATGTTTTTAAATTATTGTCATGCCACGTAGGTCATTCCTGATAATAATTTCGGGAAATGGAGCAAGAGCGCAATTAAATACTTTGAAGATATATGTTTTAATAATGGCAAATATGTTGAAATTCGAATGATTTCTGTGGCTAAAAAATGGTAAAAACATTACTTTTTTCATATAAATTGTCGCTTCATAAACAATTTTTAGTCATCGAATTGAAGTCGATTTCTTAAAAGATGGCGAAGATATTACCTGTGCTGAAAGTTTGGTTTTAGCTGGGCATGCACGATATATCACAGAAAACGATCAAGATAGAACATCAATGAAGTTTATGGTGGAACAAATACAATATGCACAAGGTAAATTTCTGAATTATGATGAAAGTAACAAAATTTTTATTTATTGTGATAGTAATGTAAAAATGATATTTTACCAAATTAATCTAATGTGTGCGTGCATTTGTTAATTATTCACAGGATTGTCGGGAATTTCCGCGCAAGACGACGTATCGAAAGCCCTTGATAAGTTTTGTGATTCAAGGACGGAAACGTATGACACGTTAGCCGACGCCATGTTGGGATACAACGCTCAGGACGATCTAAGGCTGTGCAAGTTTACTCGTCCTGATGGTACTTGTTTTAAGGGTGCCAAATGCAAATTAAAACATGTAATGCGAAGAAAGGGTGAGTATATTTTTGTACGCTTAAATACGAATAATAATGTGTAGGTGTTTTCAAGGCGGAATTACAGTGGACACTGAAGAAGTGCTTGTTGTACCCGATAATACATTCATGCCCGACGTGAACGATGTGCTCTCTGTATACATTACACATTTCAAAACACCTTCACTTCTTTTCGGACAAATTAAACATCCATCCAATCGATATGGTAATTATGATACTTTCGTTTTTATTTTATTTTTCTACTTCCACCTATAAAGTGCCAGTTTTTCCACCGCTAAGTACTTTTGTCACGGGCTTTAGTCTCGGGGCGAAGCATGTGCCTACGGACCATATTTGCACAAAACCATATGAAATACCATGCGCCGCTAATCAAACAAGTCAAAGCAGACGCTGCTTATTACATTTCCCAGTAATGTGCGAGCGAATTTCGAAGATTTAAAATGCAAAAGTTCAAATACAAAAAGCTCAACGTGGAAATAGAATGGAAGTAGAAAAAATAGCGTAAGCATCATATGGCTAAACGTTGTTAAACTAAAACTCCCGTTTGGCCACCTGATACTATTAATTTTAATTTCGTGTTGTGTTACATTATACTTTATTGTGACATGTTTTGCATAATTGGTATTTCCAAACTGCCCACCTGTGAGAAGCATGTCACAATAAAGTAAAATGTTACAATACGAAACTGAAGTGGAAATAAATCATGCTTTTGTTATTGTTTCAATTGCCATCGAAATACATCGAAATACGAATAAGTATATGTAATGTTTCAGGCGGTGTTATGGAGGAAATGTTTAAATGCATGAACAAAAAACAAGTGATTAATTCACTGGTAAAATTTGATTATCCACCTGCTGTCAGCGAGTTAGTAATAGCGAAAAACTTTGATGAACAGTGGTATCGTGCCATGGTGCTAGAGAATAATGCTCATGAGTCCACACAGTTTACACTCGTGCACGTTTTCTTCATTGATTTTGGCAATGTTGCCGACGTGTTGCTGTTGAACGTTAGAAAAATGATACCTGGATTTGTTCTTCATCCGTGTCAGGTACACAGGAATAAATCATTTAAATTAAAAGTTTTATTAAATCTGTCAATATTTTAGGCATTTCGATTCAGTATTAGTAATATAAGGTCGTTAAGTGATTACGATCCAGAGGATTTTAAAGAGTTTACTTTGCGCCACCTGTATACTTCAGTAAATGTCAGAGTAAAGTAAGTAAAAATAGATCGTAGTTATTTATATTTCTAATTATGTTTTAATTTAGATATGCGGGTGATGACTTTATCAGTGGTATTATCACGGATGCTAAAGGGAACGATTTAGGCGATGAGTTAATAAATAATTATTTCGCTGAACCATATTCGAGGGACGTTTATCCCATGCAGTCAAGTAATATTTTAGTACATTAGTTTTATACACCTTAAATAAATTTTATTCAAAATAAGTCACTTCTGACTAGTACAGTAACATCAAAACGTTTAAGTTACAAAGGTTCAGATCACAATACCAACAAAAATCTAATTATTATCATTTGACGTTTTAAATACACATCCTCACAAGATTCAAATGAGATTATGACTATTCGTGATATAGATTGAACAAAGTGGTCCGTATTCGTATTGATTAATGAAATCAATACAATTAATATGTAATCACCTAGCTCTAATTTTGCTGTTTACAATAGCAAAATTTCCTCAAATTTGGATGCGTCGTCGCAATACACCACGGCTGTGTGCCGTACACGTTAATCCTGCTTATATCCTCCTCTTTTACGGTGAACACATCTTGATCCAAATTATGAATTAGGGTGGCTTCAAATATACCGGCACCCGGAAATAGTTTCAATTTAATCTGATAGAGCATAGTCGAAATTTGCGTATTGCCAGTGAGGTCCGGGACAAAACCGTCGTTATCCTTCGAGTTTTTGAATTTAATCAGATTATCATTAGGGGTGAGTTTATTCACCCAAAATACTGATCCAATGCTGAGCGTTTCGCATTGATTGCGTACAACCGACGTGTAATTGTTCAGAATATTTGTGAATGCCGCCGCTAAGCGCTCCACGACGGGCAAGGTCAAGTCAACCGGCTGCCAATCTAAGCAGGCGCACCAGTGTGGTTCGATAAAGGCTTGGGCGCAACCACGTTCTTGTGGAATCTAAATAAAACACGAACAATTTAGTCAGAAATATACAGAATTGTTTTGTATGTACTTACATGACTAAATAATGACAACGAACGTTCGGAGAGATTCGCTTTTTCCAAACTTCCTAAATGCAGAACGCTTTTCAGAGTGGCATGAATATCGAACGGGGTGACTAGGGTTTTCAAATTGCCTTTGAAATTATCGTATGCGCGCTTGTACTTGGTTTTGAACCATGGTGGGAATGTGAATGAAAAGAACGGTAATCGTTCCTCCAATTTTCCTTGGAATGTATTTCGGATTTCCGCAAATCTGATAAATGAACAGAAATTAATTTCAAATATTGTAATTAGCATATGTAACAATTTACCGATGACCATGATCTGCCATAGTTATCAATAGAGTATTATTCAAAGCACCAGAATTGTGTAAACTCTGTAAAAAATCTACATAATCCAAGTCAGCTGCACCAATTAAGTTATAGTTGTCGTGCGACAAATCAGCTTGGAACGCAAACATAAATTTCGGCCTTGATTTGTACACATTGAAGAACTAAAAATTTAAAAGTTTATTGGTACGCACCACATACAAATTTACAAATTTTAGAAATACGTAATAAGATTAAAAAAATCACTCACGCTTTTCACAAAGTCCAACATGACTTTATGCTTAGGAGTTGAACCAGCGCACATTTGTGGTGACTTTTTAAAAAATCCAGCGGATGATAAATAATATGTGCGACCGTAATGATCGGTTGGTTGAACCTAAGAAACCAGTAACTAGATTCACATTTTTTAGATATAGAAATACTTACATTAAATCCTTTCAATCGAAATGTATAAGTACCAATGTCGGCACCTTCCTCCAAATAACCAGTAACATACCCATTCTTTCTATAGTCATTCCAAATGAATGGATAAATATCTACATAGCTAGCACCTTTCACTCGCTTCCGCGTCTCTGGTAACTCAAGTTCAGTCTTTCCGGTCAACATTGGAGTTAATGCTTGCGGCGTTCCATCGCCAATGATATTATATCCTTCCAAAACTAACGCTCCTAGCTGCTCAGTGAGATATTTGTAAGTTTTTGGTAGTTTCCGTATCATCGTATTTCTCGAAATTGAATCAATCGCAAAAATCAGCACATTCATTTTTAGCCCCTCTTCATCTGTGTACTCCCAGCCGGTGCGATCCCAAACGTGTTGGTCATATCGTGTCGTCGTAAGCACACCATTCCAAGCATCATTTGCTGCATGGCAATCAACTTTAACCACATCACTGGCTTCCATTCTGTACATAGAGTCTGATTTCTTGGTGTCCCCTTCAGAGAAACGGGAATCACCCAATCTTATTATATCCGTGAACGAACATGTTATAGGTCCTTTTTGCATTATGATATCATGTGATATGTGGCATTCATAATTCTAATAACAATATAATTGGTTTCACATTATAATTCTAGGATACTAGTGATAAACTTACCTCACAAGTTACCCAATTGGGTGTAGCCTTTGAGCAATCAATTGGAGGTACATACCTAACAAAATTCATCATCTCCTGGGAAAATACTGGCAAGTTTGGCTGTTTGCAGGCTTGTTTACTTGCTTTATTATGTATCATCTCTTCCAATTGATGCCTTTAATATTACATGAAATTAAAATATGTAGTATATAATTACATAATTATTTTTTTATAATATATAGTGTTTAAACATACCTTATAATATTCCGGTCAACATCAGTATATGCAAACTGCCAGAGATAAACAATAATGTATAATAGCAGGCCAAATGTAAATATAGGAACAAAAATTCTCCTCAAAAAGGAGTTTCTTCTGCAGCTGCTTCTTGATGACATGATAATTGGTGTTGTATTAAAACAGACTTGTTTTATATTTGAAGTATTAGGTTGGTTGGTTGATTCTTTCTCTCTGTGTCTATATATCACATAAAGTATTTTGTTACTATTTTCTGTATTTGATCAGTTATTGTTCAGAAAAGGGGCGGTATTAAACTAAGGTATTTATATCATTGTTTGAAATTTAATCAATACGCGTTTGTTAGATACTTCCGTGCGTAAGCACGATTTTAACGACTTTTATTTTTTATGCGAATTCATTTTTGGAATAGTTATCGTTAAAGGTGAAGCACTGGAAGGAAGAAACAAAACCGCTAAGACAATCTTTTTAAGGTTATAAACTGTAATATCCTTGAATGAATGGAATCCAGAGCACTCAGTCCGGCTTTGTTCTTCAGTACTAAAATGACTATATCTTGCTCTATTTACCCTTCGGAAAATCAACCCCTCCATATTTATAATGTCATCCTAACGACCCTGTCCAATCGGACCTATCGTACCGACCGGCATACATAATACATAGATTACAGCCAGATTATACCTATTGCACAATTTTTAAATTTTTGAAATGAAATATGTAGGCGTATTCTTGATTGGTTAAAAAAATACAAATTTAATTTTTTTGTCGAGTGATTTCGATTTTTTCCAGAATCTGCCTTTAAAAACTTAAATGGTTAAAAATTATTTATTGGATATGTATCTAAATTGTTTCTTAGACGGCACTTTAATTGTGTGTTCTATTTTAAAATATTTTTTGCATTGTTGTCAAATATGAACTGTGGTATTTTGTTTGTTTGTAAACTGCGACTTGTCAACTTGTCAACGCTACATAACCACACAACAAAATTGTTGACTTAATCCATTGATGATGTGTATTTATTTCTACGATCTTTATAACAAAATAATAATAAATAATTATTGATTAGTATTAAATAATAGTAACTCTGAATAATGGACGTACAAAATAAAGTTCATTGGGCCCTTAATGCTTCAATTGAAGAAATTGATAAGGAATTAGATGAGTTAAAACTTGCAGAGGTAAGTTTATTGAATTATAAAACTATAATTTACATAGTTTATAACATACTTTATAGTCTGAGGCCATCAAGAATTTGTCTAATCAATTATCTCAAAAAACGTATGTTGATGACAAAATTCGAAGTCTGAACAAAATTGTTCCAATGTTAAAAGTTGTACAACAAGAAGCTGGCAATTTGGTTGAAACAATTAAGAATATTTCTGAGGCATCCAATAAAATCAGTGGAGAAATTAAATCGTTAGATGCAGCAAGGGTATGTTTACAAATAAAAATTACTCTATTGATTACATTTTCCTACTTTTATACAGTCAAGAATTGAAGAAAGCCATCGAAGAGTTTCTGACCTGATTGACTTGGAATATTGTGCTCAAGGTGTTCAAACTGCAATCAACAATGAAGAGTATGAAATTGGTGCTGGACACATACACAGATTTCTTACAATTGACCAAAATCTACTAAAAAGAACAGCTGCAGATGTCAAAAAAGCATCAGGAATTTTAAAATCTGTGCATACATTACAAGATGCAAGCACCCAACTCCGCGCAATTGTTAAACATAGATTTGATGAAGCAATTAGAAACAATGATTTGCCATCAATCGAGCGATTTTTCAAAATATATCCTTTGATTGGCATGCATGAGGAGGGCATCAGAGAATTTTGTGTGTATTTGTCCACAAAATTACAAGACACAGCACAAAAGAACATCAGCACTGCATTGAACACCAGCATTGCAGATGAAAGATATAATGTGATTTATGCAGACACACTTACACTATTATTTGAAGGCTTGGCAAGGATAATTGACTCACAACACCCATCAATTGAAAGTTACTATGGCCCTGGGCGATTGTTATCCGCGATAACAATCCTACAGAGTGAATGCGATAAGCAGTGTCAGAGAATAATGATTGAGATGAATAGAAATAGACAGGTGAATAAAAAATTGGCTTTGATTAACGACGTGAACACTTCGGGAAGCTCAAGCAAATTGGAAAGAATTGATCCAAAGGACTTGGATGTTCTTATTGGGGAGATGACTATTATGCACGCCAGAACAGAATTATATTTAAAATATATTAGAAGGAAAGTTAATGTAAGTATTACATTAACAAATATGTATGTTTTTTTTTTACCTCTAAAGAAAAACTAATTTATTATGTCTAACAGACTGATTTAGAAGTTGGTATTCCGGACTTGGCCGAGCGTAAAACTAAAGTAGTCCAATTGGAAAATCTTATCAATCACAGCCAGCTAAGTCAAAGTAAACATGAACTTCTCGGGTATTATCTCCGTTTAGAACAATATTTCATGGAGGAATCAATATCCAAAGCTGTGTCAATGGATACAATTGATAATACTTCAGAACTAAAAACATCTTCGCTTGTGGATGACACATTTTTCATCATTCGGAAATGTATCAGGCGCGCTTTATCAACCGGAAGTTTAGATGGTTGTTGTGCTATCATTAATAATGGGTGTCGCGTCTTGGAAAATGACTACTGCACTGTTCTTAAAAATCGTTTGAAACAAGGCTATCCGTATGGATATTTAGATTTAACGCAGGCTTACAATGTACTGCAGACTTCTATTCAACAAGGCAGATTGCAACCGAATGATGCTGAGCAAGCTCGCACCACGTTCATTGTAAGTATGATCTGTATTTATATTTTAAATATTCCATGTTGAATTCTAAATGTTAGGTTGCATTAAATAATGCGGATTTATCGGCGGAATATGTCGAGACCCTGTGCGACAGCATTATGGCTGAAATTGAACTGGTACTACCAGGAATGAAAGAAAATGAACGCGGAAAACTTGAAAGTTGTTTATCCGGCTTATCATCAGTCATAGCAAATTTAAAAGCTGTGACGGATTACGGCATGCAACAATTAAAGACAAGTGCAATCAAGCCGAGGATCACCACATGGGTGGACGCTTTCTCCACTTTGAATCATCATTTTTCAGAAGATGATCTTGCGGCGTATGAAGCAGGAGGATCCTTCGTGGAGACTTTAATCTTCAACTTGGATTCACTGCTAGCATCGTTTAAGGAATCGCTGACATCTGGAAATTATGATACGCTTGTTGCAATGGTCACGGCTGAAGTTACATCCAGATTGGAGACTGTTATCCTGAAGTCTTCTTTTAACAGAGTAGGTGACCACTTAATTGTTTTAAAGTATGTACATTATTTATATTTATAGTTGGGTGGTTTGATAATGGATAAGGAAGTTAGGAGTTTGTCTGGGTATCTGACCACGTCAACATCGTGGTCTGTGCGCGATAAATTTGCCAGATTAACCCAAATTGCAACGGTTCTAAACTTTGAAAAAGTCTCCGAGATTGCTGATTATTGGGGAAGTCATGAAGGTGCTCTGACATGGCGTTTAACACCTTCTGAAGTTCGCACCGTGATGAGTTTGAGGTATATACGTATTTATAAATTTTGTACAAAATTTTAGTTTTTTATGGTTCTACAGAGTCGACTTCAAAATCGAGGACATCAGGAAGTTGAAGCTGTAAAGCTATTTTAAACTACTTTTGCATTAAATGAGAGTCTTTGTAAATATGCACTTAGGTATGTAACAGAATATATTTTATAATATACAATGTTGCAAAAATGTGCCTTGGTTAATTCAATGGCGAGTTCCTTGGGACGGACACTTTTCCTCGGAGGACCCGTACAAAATCGGAACGTTGAATTCACAACAAAGCATACATATTTGTTTACCTACAGCGTTCAAGCATTTCCTCTCTTACATACGCATGTCGACGCCTAAGAATATTTATGTTAATTAGCAAGGATTATTTACATTTCACATGGAGTTCGCGTATTGCGCTACTGTATAAATATAACTTGTTCCTTATAAAACTACAATAAACTTCCAGCTCCGCGTACACAACTCATCAGTCCATCGTTTCAGGACGTATATGCTTCAAATTTTAGTTTTGAGTGATATTATCACAGTAGTTACATGGTACGGAAACCAAAGGCCACCGAATTCAATAAGGTCTCTGTGTGTTACATCCTAACTTCTTGTTTTGTCTGCGGAAAGTTATGCATGCGCGGGGCAAACTTGTGTCGCTTGCATCTAGATTGATCGAGATAGAGATAGAATAGATCAGAAGCATTGTAAAGTAGTTCAAGTGGTTCGCTTAGATTCCAAAGGGACCGCAGTTATAACATTATTAACGGAATTAAAATGAATTAAAAGATACGTACATATTTAAAATAACATGAAAGCTACATAAATATTTTTGGCTTCTTATTCCTTGAAGATATCGTTATTCACCGTTTAAAAAAAATAAATATTCGGTCGTATATCTTCGTAACAATATCGACCTGTGTCGCTATTCGCTTACTCCTTCTCCTAGGCAAATGAAAACGTTAAGCAAGCGAAGGGAGATTCATCGGAAATCAGCATGGTGTATCATATACTGGGTGTTCAGCCGACGCTCAGTTTGTAAATCCTGCGATGTCACTTCGTAGTTTTCTTCTTTAAATACTATCTAGTTTGTTTTTATTTTGTTTCGTTTCGTCATGGTTCTTTCACGTTCATAATGGCTCTCACAAGAAGGGATTGCTCGAGTTACCGCTTGCAATCTGAAACAGCGGATGTAATTTTATAATGCGGTTTGCGGGTCGACGTGCATTCGACGCGAGTTGCGCTGCGTGTGTACGTACTTTGAACGGATTAGGCGTCCACGTCGTGCCATTAATCGGCGTGCCGAAAGCAGACTGGATGTCGCCGTTGTGTGGCGACATGAAGTTTTCCGGCGAGGCGCGGAACGGATTCGGGTTTCCATTGAAGGAAGCGCTGAGTCCTGTCGTTCCGTTCAAGTTGAATGGATTCGAAACGTGGCTTTGTTCAGTCGTTGGGTATAAATTCATAAATTGACCTGAAAGTGCATTCATTTGTAATTGAAAGTTAATATTAGTCACATAAATGAGTGTAATGTAAAACATATGTTTAAAAAGTTGTTTATACCTTGACTAGGAGATCCATACGATGAGCTTTGTGGAGATGCGGTGGAACTGTAAAACGAACCCGGCGTTGTGGGCGAGCTGTAAAGACTAGAATTTGATCCGGCCGAATTCCAATCGAGTTGCGTCTGCGTTTTCAACTCGTTGTCAAGATCCTTGAGCGCAGCGTATCGGTCCACCGCAGGCGCCTGTGGGAGACTCGGAAGTGCCGGCGGAGTTGGTTTGATAACACCACTGGTTTTGAATCCGTTGAAATTTCCGTTCACATTGTGGAAGCCGTTACCATTAGTGGTGCCATTTTGGAAATCTGGAAATTCAACTACAAATGAAACCCTTCACTGCACTCCTCCATCCTATCAACTCCAAGCAAAGACAACATCGACTCAAATATTAGTATGCAAAGCAAACAAACGCCTGCAGTGAATCTACTTTAATCCACAACAACAATAACAAAAATGGTGATAATAACTGTTGAAGAAACAAATGATTGCGACAAGAGAATTTTTTTGGTGCACAATGTCTACGCCGCTAACAAATTTTGACCCAAGACTTCTGCAACACGCAGGAAAATTAACCAAAACAAATTCTAAGAGACAAATAAAATGTCGAAACAATAGAAGCAGTTGGTGCGCGCTTTATTGCCGACTTACTCCAACGATTGAGATTCATCTTAGGAAATAATGGAACTTGATTATAAACCGGGCCGATATTAGTGAATTGCAGATCAAATATACTAAACTCCTTGGTTCGCTTCGGCGCTGCAAATGAACGTAAATGTTTTTTTACGATTCTGGTCGCTTCAAACGAAGGAGGAGAGAAAAGGCACAAACACACAAATTGAAAACGACGTCGAACGTAAACGTGCAAACACGTAGAAAATAGAAAGTTGTGCCGGTGACTAGCCGGCTGACGACTTACTTTCATTGCAGAATATCGGATTGTTGTCAAAATTGGCGAAGGAAGCCTGATTGGTAGTTGAGCAGTTCGTGATATCGTCGCTGGACGCGTTGAAGATGTCCGCATGTGCAAAGTCGGCGATGAAATTATCGCCGCCCGGATGTGAGTTGCCGTTGTTCATGAAGTTGTTCGCGATGTTCATGCTATTGAAGCTGTTCACTTTCAACGGCCTGGGTTCCGCTATAATACTAGTCAATGGTTTCACATCCTGTTTCGTCGGTTTGGTCACCTCGTTTTGTTTATTGTAACTATTGCGTAAAGCGATGGACGGCTCCATGTAGTAGCGCTTCCTCTCGTATTTATCCAGCATTAGCGTATGCACGCTGCGCTCGTCCGATGGCTTTGTTCCTTCGTACAAGCCTAGCCACACTTGCTGGCAGTAGTCATTGCCTCGCGTCTTCAGCAATTCAACTTCCTCTTGCGTGAACGTCGCCATTGATATCGACTTGACTCGGTGTGGCGGCGTCAGGCCGCGACTGAAACGAAACCAAAAGTTGTAACAACTTTATAGAGAGATTGCAACGATGGGTGGCAAAATGTGTGTGTAATTAATATGAGATTCACTCCCATTACGATATTGTTGTGAGAAAAACCAACAGATAATTTACAAAACAACAAACTCAATAACCGCACAGTTCGGAGAATAACTTTTGAAATAAACAAGAACGTCACTTCAAAAAAGCCCGAATTTGTGATATTGACAATGAGTGGGCATGAAAACAAGGCTGTTTTTAGATTTGGTGCAGATCCAAGAAGCCGCTCAGAGAACATTTGAAATAATATCGCCAATTGTAAAAATGAGTTCACCGCAAAAAAATAAAATTTGAGCTAAATCTATATAGTTTAACTGAAGCTCAAATATTGCGTGAAACGCAGTTGAAAATTAAATGACTTGTGTTTGTTTTCGTAATAGCAACATGCGCACAAAGTTTATACACAAACAAATGCACAACGTCACTTCCAGAAGTTGCGAAACAAACCGCTCCTACGACAAAACATTGATCTCGAAAGCATCATAATTACACATGTTTCATTCATTTTGGCGAGATAAAAACGAATCGTCGCAGTGTGGTGCCGCCGATAACGCTTCGATCGGGTAACAAACAAAAAATATGCCAATAAAAACATGAATATGAAAATAAAAAAATCAGCGACGCAAATGCATCATACTATGCCCCTTTATCACAACGAACAGTGTGCGCACATGCATTTAACACAGCATTCATTCTTGGTTCAAGGATGCTGCTGCTGATACTATATGAATGTTTGATATCATTACTTAGTATCTTTCATTTCCTAAAGTGACTATTATGTATAAAATAGTACCACTAAATGTATTTTAGAAAAATGGAAAGGCAAATGAAATTTACATCCAAAATGTAAATAATTCATGTGCGTATCAATGCAGGCGATCGATATTTTAACAACAAAGTTGACGGCAAATCGACGACGCGGAAAATAAATTATGAACAATTGTACACATCGAATATATCGACGGGCATACGGAGATTTGTTTTTGGTGGCGCATACACTAGACTCCATTTAACACATTTCCAACAAACTCGTATTTACTGTTTACTGTTATTAAACAAATATCGTAAAACATAGATAATCGATATTATTAACATGAAATGAATCGTTTGGTCTGTCCTTCGCTGTACTTTCAACTAGTGACTATTATTTCAATAAGCGTAAACAATGGGCAGTTTACACAAACATTCTGTAAGTCCGTATTGGAGAAAATATTGTGAAACTCAAAACGCGTATTTTCCACCATGCAGCCTGCCATTATATTGTTGTACAATGTATGTTATTTGAATCCATGTCAAATGAACATGCAACCTAAAAAGATTCACGCTGTACGCAACACCGTGTTATAATATAATGCGAATTTATTTCACAAATTTAACAAACCTCCGTAAATGAATATTTTAAAATGCATGGGGAGCTTGCGAGTTAATGTTCTCTGTAACGACGCAAAATAATCTAATTTATTATAACTTTGACATTCAATATCTTATTTATCTTCATGTCACCCATGGTAAATTTTTGTAATAGAGTTTACAACATTCTTACAAATTTTGATGAAAATGTATGTAACTTAAGCTGAATTTTTAAGTAAAATACAGCACGTTATAACAAACGCATTTAGAGAATATTTGCAGACGTTTTTTGTCGAGAATTTATAACCAGATAACAAACGATCTAGAATTAGTACAAAAAAAGATGCCGGCCCGCATAAATTCCAATATTTGGTTACTTTTTTGTTCCACCAAATAACGACACTTCTATAAAGCGATACAGAACACTAGGTCCCTAAAGACTACATTGTATATTTTTGTAAAATTCACTCTTTAATGCAATAAAACTTAATGAGCAAATCACACTCCACGCTGCAAGCCCCACCTTATACTGTATATCAATAATGACAGTGCATGATAAACATCCCACACTATTGCAGCATGTAACTCTCTTAAACGTTGTAAACCGTTCAATACTACAATGATGCAAGCCATTTGTTTACGAATATTGTACGTGAACCGTTACACGGTGATGCACCTAGATTCCGACAACATTTTTACAAGTGGTCAGTGACCTATTTAATGTTATCATTATCTGAGCAAATAGAACGACAACGTGTCAGACGCACCGCAGACGACGATATCGTGCGCGCACGTTTGACCGCCTGCATTCGTTACAATAATGTAACTTACAAACTTGTCGCGATGAACTCCAATGAATACAAATGAACCAATACCGCCGCACATTGCACGCGCACCTATCGGTTAATTATTGAAAGGTTATAAGGTGAAGGCTCTCCCATGAACATAATTCCACGCGTCGCTTTAATTAACAAATCAATCATTGCGCTTCAATTAATATCAATTGAAACACAAAAAAGTAGAACATGTATGCATACGAAAGTAACATTCAATTTCGATGATTAAAAATAAAAACTGCATTGTAATAACTTTAATTTCATTAATTAAAATGTTCATTGTAATAGTGTGACGTAAATAGGTATATGGTACCATAAGGAATTTCGATGGCTTCGTCAGCCACTCGTTTTAAGCATTACCTAATTAAATTAATCTAAGCGATGCGAGTGAATTACGGCACACATGTAACTCTTCTATTCTGTAACGATAATAAAAGTGAATTTCCGGCTTGCGCTCCACATTTCAAAAGCGGTTCGTGTCTGATTCTAATTATATTATAATTATTAACTGCCAGAAGCGATTAAGACTACATATGTATACATAATGTTTATTGCTATAGCACGTAAATTCAGCACGTAGGAGTGACAATTGGTGATAATGTTATCAATGAGAACATCTAGTGTATCTTCAATAGATAATACCTACTTGCATTACGAAGTTTTCCACACTTTCATAAACACATAACTAATTTTCAATTTAGCTTTGACCTAAGTTGAGCTATAGAATTAGACAAATATTTTATTGATAATTCTTACTAAATGATTTCTTCTAAATGGACCTACAATAAATTTAGACGATTAACCAATCAGCAGGTTTCGTAGATGAGGGAAGCGTAGCAGTATAGTCTCTAAATCATGAAATATGGTTTTAAGACGTATGTTATGAGTTGTAATAGATATAATTAAAAAAATATATACACACATATTCTTCTTCAAAATCATCGTTTAATTCGTATTTCAGTTCCATAAAACTTTTTACATAAGCAGGGAAATATTGCTAAAATTGTACCTACTCTCTATTAGCTAGGTTAAAAATTATCCTGATATTTCAGTTCACACTACTATTTTCATAGTAAAACAAACAGCACATGTACCTATATAGTGCATTAAAATTATACATATAATAAAATTATATGATATTGTGGATAAAAACGCTTTTTTACATTCTAAGAATATTATTAACCCATTCTTCCTTTCCCATCGTTTACTTCAGTTATTTACCACAATATGCTTGTTTTTCTAGAACACTATATAGCTTTGATCTGTATCCAAAACGCAAAAGGTCAGTAGCGATTACGTAACGCTCTGCACCCTAAAGGTTGACATTTGCGAAGAGTGTAAATAACAACGTGATTCCGCAACGCCATGCCATAGCATGCCATGTTATAGCAAGCCCGTCTCGATGTTTACATCAGATTGGCGGCTGGTTGTGCACAATGAAAATCGGCAAGGAAAGCAAGCACGCGCCGCAATCGCCAAACAATAATTCTAAGCCCTTGAACTCGCGCGGCACTAAGCCAACCGTGCCAACATTATTCGCTCACAATAACGATCCACTTTATTTTAACGCCGCACTGCTTACATGCTTAATAAATTCAGTTAGCATCGATTAGTTATTAATAGAAATTTTGTTCGATTTTTCCAACATCGGTCCGGGTCCGGTAAAAGTGCCTACTTACAACAAGGCGTAAGCGTTGTAAGTGTATGTAGATGCGAGTAGGTACTTAAGCAATCCTAACGATTGCTTAGAAAGTATTTACAAAAATGTACACTGGCTCTACAAATAATCATTGTTAACAACATAGCAGAAGTGGCCGGCTCTACGAAAAATTGAATAATGGAATTAGGTGGAACAATTTTTATCTTAATATCATGATTGACGCAAATGGTGATAAACTATGCGCATGGTCACACTGAATTATGGTTGTTAATAAATACTACCTTCGGTTATAAATAATATTAGGTCTGGTTAAATTCAAAGGACTTTTAAATAAATGTGTTATTGTTAGGTAGGCATTTATCGATTATGTATTATTCTGACATTGAATAAATGTTAATTTAAACGTATGCATTTATTTTATGCACTCTAAACAAGCTATTATGCACTTTAAACTATTTCTAAAGAAACAATATATCCAAGTCAAGTATTTATGCTAAACTCAAAGCAATTTCTGTAAGCTAAAATCAAAGATAAAATAAAAATCACTATTTGGGATCTAAGCCAACTTCAAACGTTTCTATTATAAAATAATGCAATAATGTTATTGTCACCTAAACTTTGTAAACAGTAATCAAGTTCGAAAAAAATGTTTTCAGGTGCTGCTTGTGATGGAAGCTAAAATCAAACTTCTCAAGTATTCCACGAATCTTAATTCAATCCAAACGAATCGCAATAATTCCTCGTTGGATGCTCGTTCAAGCAAATCGGTTGATAATCGTGAATATGGGAACGTGTGCGACCTTCACACTAGCTCGCAAGCGGCGTCAGCGTACCGAGCACCGAGCGTACGAATGCAAATAACCCGTGATGTAATTCGCCTCCGATGTTAGTGCGTTTCATTAGTGGAAAATTGGTTTGAGTGCGAATTTGAGTCACATTTTTTGCGTGCTCAATTTAGCTAAGTGCACTAATTAATTTTTTTGTCCATCGACAATACATCTACTGGTAAGTAATGAACGTGAACGTGCCCTCATCGATGTTTGGCCAAATAAAAAAAAAGTTATAGGTAGCAGGCATTTTTGTTTAGCTATACTATCGACGCGTTTCAAGGTTGCTGACTTATGATTAATGTTCTCGCTGCGAAACATCAAATTTCAATGCTACAATAGCTTAATATAAAACACATTATGCTATTTTTACATAACCAAAGGAAAATTATGAAAAAAATGCTATGGAACTTAAATTTGACTTTTTTTATGCACTGACAAGATTAAAAAGCAAGAAGTAATTAACATTAATGATTGCCAAGTTTACTACTTAAACTTTAATCTTGCAAATTATCCCAAACAATAACCACATAGTTAGTCACAGTATTTCTGAAAAAAGCAACCATTAATTCACCAACGCCCATGAAAATTGATTCACTTCTACAACCGATTTGAGGAAAACCTAAATACCTACCTAAGTCAATAGTAATATCAGTCAATTCAATATTATTATCCTAATATTGAACATAGATTATTACGTCCTCCATGTCTACATATTTAGTTCTGTATAATTAAGATTGCAATAATCGTCAAACTCGTCAAAATCGTCAAACTTGTGTACCAGTGCTAATACTAATTAACATGTTGGTTTTGAGTCGTTTTTTTCTGCGATATTTGATTAATGATAACATTGAAAAGAAACCATTGATAACAAATTAAGGTGTACTACATAATATGAATTACCAGGTGTGACTCAAACTTTCAATTAAGGATGAAATTTCAACGTAATATTGCGATATTATGATGTAAATAATAAAAATAAAAGAGACTCCTTGGCGTTCCAAAAATACCGCGTCTTCGGATGCTTATGAAAGCATGGACTTTACGGCAATTTTATTGCCAAAGTTCTCGAGTGTGCTTTGTCATTCCCATTCACTCCAAGCGAAGCGCCATCACAACGATGACGCATCGCCGAGGTCGCAGCTAATTAAACCGTCTAAATACACCATCAAGTGAAACACTTTTTATTTTTATGTTAACAACAAAGTGAATGTCAGCAGCAAGAAAAAGTTAAACGGAAACTAGGGAAAGCAATCAAACAATGCTTTATCTTAAGTCAGAAAAGACATGCACCTTTTTGCAATCAATAATAATGTTTTGTTCAAACATTATTTGTTAATGGGAGTTTTAGTCACGAGATTGATTGAGAGCGAGCGTAGGAAGAGATTCATCAATCGAGGATTTAACATGGTTTAGCCACGTAATGCTTGCGCTATTTTTTCTACTTCCACTCTAATTCCACGCTGAGGCTTTTGCAGTTGAAGTTTGGATTTTAAAATCTTTGAAATTAGCTCATACACTACTGGGAAATTTAAGGTTAGAAATGCCGTGCCACGCCGTGCCTTTGACTTGTTTGAATGGCGCATGACATATCATATGGTCTGGTGCTGCACCGCAGGCAAATACACAGGCGCAAGCTCCGTCCCGCGAATAATGCCCGTGAGTAAAGTACTTTGGTCGCGACTACGGCCGTCCGTGTTTAAAGTATCAATTTAACGTGATTACGTTAACAGAATTACTTACCTATATCACTTGTTTCCCTTTTTAAATTTAATCATTTTGTATTACTGATTTTGGTTTATTGTTGATAAGCAAAAACAGGCCAAGAAGATTAAAATAAGTAACTCAACATGATTAAATCCAAAAATGGATATAAATAACAATAAATAAAACAAAAGCACATTGTCTTGTAAAATTTGGAATTTTGTTATCTAGTCATTTCAATTAATCGCCATGTGCAACCTTGACTGGCATCAATATATATTATGTTTCATACCTGCAAATATTGTAATATCGATTTATTCCACTATTGAATAGGCCTGAGAAAAACTGAAGCAAGAACACCGTTTTTCAACCTAGAGATGCGCGAACTACAAAAAAATCGATTCTAAGTAAAACAATTTACAGTAATCTATAGTTCTGATGCGATAAATGCACTAATAGCAATCACATATAAATGCACACTAGTCACAGATGGTGACAGTTAGCAAACCAGTCACAACAATATCTAATTGCAAAGCTTCTACACGACTGCCTTTGGCATGTCCTATACCTATAGACAAATAAAATGGATACGCAACATGTCGTTACTACTGTTAGAAATACAACCGCATTCTAACCGTCTACGTCGGTACGTATTTGCATCAAACTCGTTCGTCATTAGGAGTGCACATGTGTGTGCAAGTAGGCAAAACAAAAAGAACCTTCGACAAGTTTTACAAACGCATGCGTTCAAACAATAATCCACAATCAGTGAGCGATCAACACAATTACTTTCTGATTGCGAACGTCAATATCAATTATTCTATAAATGTTAAAAAAATAAGTAAAAAAACTGGTGTTAAGTTTACTCAATTTCCGCTCTTCATTCACGATATCACACAACATGCTTTGCACAATTATTTGTAATATTTTTTTATCGTACGACATTCTATTGAGGCTATCGAGGCCTCCGGATTGTCAAGTTGACAATCGCCACAGCTTGACATGAAATTATTCTTGTGGAATTTTCGTCGGACGTTTGAATCGGATTGTAACGGTTGGGTGTTTTTTATGCGAGCAGAAGGCACTCGCAGACACCGGCGTTGGGAATGAAGTCATGAATGAAGAAACCGTAGATGTGGTGTGCAGTCGTGGTTGCCGCATCGTCAGATGGTCAACATAAATTGTTGTGCCAGCGAAAGAAAGGATGGTTCTGCTTAGTGCACTGTGAGTAATGCAGGTGTCTTCACACTTGAATAATATGATATAATAGTCGCGCTTTACTTGCGTCGATGGTGCAGTAAACTACTGTTTTGCCTGTAGGCTCAAAGAGGCAATTTGCGCATTTATAGTGCTTAGCAACTGTAACTTGCTTTATATAGAATTTGTATTAATTGGAAATTCTGTGACGTTCGATATTCCCTCAAAATCAACTTTTTTCGTTTTAAACAATTAAGTAAATAGTTCTTATCGTAAATTCCGTTATTGCAAAAATTATTTGTACGTAGGTATTGATTTTCTAAAAAAAAAGTTACTCCTGTGCATAAATAACTACCATGTTATGCGAAAATTTTTATAGTGAAGAAATGGTCGCCTTTTATATTAAAAATGGTGGTTTAATGCTTATCAGAAATAATCACTAAAGTACGAAGGTATCCATAATAATAATTTAACTCAGAAGTTATATAAACTATACCATCATCACAACAAAGAGACTAAGCAAAACCTGATATGAATCATCATATTTGTACTTGCATGTGTGTGAGTTTAGGCGATATCTCACTATTCTCATGGTTTATACTGCAAAATATATTTTTGTAAACAAGTACATGTCATATAAAATACTCAAAAATAATTGCTAGGAAAGCAGAGAGAAAATGTTGACTTTAGGCAAGCCTTTATTCTCAACAAGTATAGCTTTTGTAACATTTGTTCATAATAGACATATCACTAAATAAATCACTTTATTATTATAAATAAAACACTCTCTCTTTCAGTTTCAAATATGAAACAAATGAAATATTTGTTCTTTTAACGTTCATTTCAAATTAGTATTCTATAAATAAGTGTGACTTTACGATTATGATATTTCTGACAAATTCCAAGAAGGTAAAATAGTGCAAATTTTATACTTTTTGTACCCTTGTAACCTGATGCTCCATGTATATTTTTGTAAGTTTGACAGTAATATTTTGGAAATATATTCAACCATGAACCTAGAAAATGATAAATTTTACGGTTGTATTTTACTACAATGTCCCATAGCAAAAATACACACACACAAACCACAACAATTTTAAATAAAATATCAACTGTGCTGACTTTAATTTTGTGGCGGAAAATCCCAAATACAAACCGACCTTAAAAATATATATCAAATGCGAGCGATGAGATGTCCTTTGAGTTGTTATATATTTATCCGCGCTTCTTAGAACTACTAACCGCTATCAACCAGTGGCATTAAAGATCAAAGTGCGCTGATTTTCGAAAAATGTTACAGAAAAATGTAAACACGAGTTAGAATTAATTAAATATTGAGCTTGAACTTGCGAGCACGTTCTAATCTTGTGGCTGGTGCTGCTGTTGATAGCAGCATTAGCAGTATTTTCGAATGTTGTGCTAGCCACTTAAATAAATCACAACTCACAACCTAGAAAGTTGGAGGTTACTTAGAGTTAGGTGAGTGAAGAGTTACTTGAGAGATTCGATGATTTTAAAAATTCAACTTTTGTTCCAAAATTAAAAGAAAAAACTTAGCATTCTATTGGTATTTATTATTAATGAAGTATGCGTTGAATGCACGACATTCGATTGTCTACTCGACTTTTAGTGCGCCTCCTTCGACTGGTGCACCGAGCCACATCCGGGAGGTTTCATTGTGCATTCGAGATAAATAATACTCCTAGTTACGAGTTACGTATTGAATACAGTCGTCCCCCAACTCGGACAATAGATGCAGGCGCACTTGGCGTTTTTGAGAATGTTCGTGTGCGGACTTGTGGAGCCGATTCGTAGTGCTATTGTACTTACAGCATTCCGGAGCATTTGGTGCACACGAAACTTCCGATCGTCACATTAACATAGGTGGGTCCGCGTTGATTACACTCGAAGCAGTGCTTGTTCGCGGCCTGCGACACTAATTCGCGCAATGTTTTCAAATTTTTCTCGTCCTGCTTTCTACGAGCGGACGCCATGTTCGTCGACATACGGACTCCGACACAAAGCGCACACAACGAGCAACTGAGCCAGCCAGCCGCAGCGGTAGTAGGCGAGCGGGCGAACGACGGATGAGCACAAGCAAACGAAGTTTGAGAAGCGCGACTGAGCGCGATAGGTGAGTCTTTGACGGGGCGAAACAGTGCCGGCGACCGTTGCTCGCTGAACACCAACCTCCACAAGCACAAGTTGTGAACACTTTGTGAAGTTGCACAAACCGCCGGTATGAACTAGGAAACTCGTGTAGTGTCGTAGCGCCATGCACGGAGAATTTACGTACTAAATTTTCTGCGTGTTTGTTTTAATAACAGGTGTTTTCGCGCGCAATTGTTAAATTTTAATTGATCTACGATATATTCGTCAACACATTGCACGTTTTTACTTCTTTTGGTAAGAAACTAAACGCAACAGAAGCATTTAAAAACTTGTCCACTGCTAAACCACGTAAGTATTCACTATAATATTGAAATATAACTCAAGTCAAACTTTGAAGTTAGGCAACTTTTTATATAGGTAAAAACAAAAGTGTGATAACTTTCAGGACGAATTGCAAGTAAGAAAGTTGAGTTTTTATGGAAGAAAAGCACAAATTAGATTTTCTTCCTTCCTATGATTTCACTAAAGTAATATTCCATTGCCATATGTAGTTAATGTATTTCTGTAATCTTACTCAGTCTATATCCATCTTTCAATTAGAATTATAATTACATTGTGTAATTCAATTCGGATACATAGAAACGTTATGATGACGAGTCTTTCAACCTGACTTCGAAGCTATTGTAATTGTAGTCATTAAATAAACATAACTTTCAAAATCGAATAATGATTTATCTTTATGCAAGTAAATCATGACAAGTGTTTAAAAGTTTACCATTTTGACTTATCATTTAGTATGTACAATCAAATACATATATTGCTCAATTCTCAAATGTTCTGTTAATTGTAACTAAAGGTTAACTTATGCGTTGTAAAAAATATCTCGGCAACTAATAGATACACATCAATGCAATACTCTGTTATACTATGATAGTGAATTGGTAGACGCACTAATGGTTTGAAAATTTTGAAATTCGAATGTCGAGGAACCAATAAATTAATTTTAACATTAACCTTCCTTCCTAACGTGGACTAGACGTGTATACATTCAGCATGTTTTGAATTTAAGATATTAATATTTGCAGTCGGCGATTAAGATTATATCTAAGGAAGAACCAAAACGAATTACTCAAATCAACTACAAATAATCAAACATCTTTTAACTACCACTTCGACTATTGTTAGAAAATCATCCCACAAGCGTTTAAAGTTTACATTTACAAAACCCTACTTGATCTACTCATTAAATACATCTGTTTAACTGTTTGTTTGTTAGAAGGATGTCTTGTGTAATCGCCGATCCTAAAATGTAGCAGTATGCTCATAGTCCTAGTCTGCGCAAGGTCAGACTTCTTACAAAAAATATGTACATAATTGATCTTGAAATATTGTTGAAAACACCCGCGTTAATATCTACAGGTATGTTATGAGTTTGCTTGCAATGATGTTCAGAGAAGCAAATCATTAACATGGGGGCGCACAACTGTGTTGTCTCCATATAGGAAAATAATAACAAGAGATATAATAATTTTGGCACGTCGTAATAGAATCAACGGAAGAAGTTGATCACACGCAACTGCCTTAACTCGGCGGCTCTGACATCTCATGGTCCTGCTTAGAAACCACCATCTGCTCAACGCCGGGCCGACTGGGCGAAGGACTGTCCATCATTCGAAACTGGAAGCTTGGCGAATCTGCGCTGGAGATGCTTTCAGGCGTTCCTATAGAACTGAGACTTCCCGGTAGTGGGCTAGAAGTGGTAAGCAACCCGCCGCCGCGGTCATTACCGTAGCTCATACGTTTAGCACGCGGGCTGCTGTGGAAGTCCAGCTTGTCATCCAATTTGTTGTCTAGCTTACGTTTCGCGCCTAGCGTGCTCGGTCGGAACACTGGGCTGGCGGAACGACGAGTGAGTGACGTACGAGTCGGGCTGAGTATTCCAGGTGAAGTACAATATCTAAAATTTATAGTAATTCGTTGTCTTGAACTTACAAGTAAATCAGAAAATTAAACTTACGGTAATCTACTAGGGGAAGGTGAAGTGCAGTAGTTACCAAATGGAGGTAAATTCAACTGCAATGGAGACATTTTATTTGGCTTCTGGTTATCAGAAACAAGCCTAAGGTCTTCCCAGGATTGAGATATTTGCATTGTGTGATGAGTTTCGCGCTCATGCGCCAGCTCGCGCGAGTTGTTGACATCGACGCATTCCTCTTGCCTTAATTGACTAATTCGGGGTGTGATTTTCTGCAACAGCCACAACACATTTATGCACAGTCCAAGTCACTGGAATCAATTCAATTGACTTACAGGTGATCCAGCTGAAAGTGGACTAGAGCTGGCGCTGAAACGACGAGGCCGCGACTGATTACTAGATCCTAGTAAATTAATTATACTCGTTTCCCTGCGAACCCAACGCGGAAACAAAAGTTGAAAAGTTGGAAAATGTGCAAAAGTTTACTGGCAGGTAGTCAATTATTTGATGTGATGTAAACAAGACACCTTCTGATAAAATTGCAAAATAAATGTGCTAAAAATAAAGCAAGAACAAGTGAAGTTTGAATGGAATACCTGGAGGAGGTTGAAGCTGGGGGTGAAGTTGTCATTCCTGTAGTGCTGTTCTCGTTGATCATTGGCGCACTCGAACACCTCTTCAACGTCCCCGCCGGGGAATCAACGTCCATTGCAATATTCTGGCTTGAAGTCATGAATGCTGTTGCTCTTGGACATTGAGATTAAATACTCGGCGTGCACAATTTACACTACTTCTCGCACTTGACGATTTATCGAGTCTCGCGAAACAATCTACAACTTCTCGCAGTTCTCGCATTTAGCAACCGATCCGACCGTTTGACTTCTGTCATCCGCGGCGCGACCATGTCATGTTCATAATGTACATAACCTGCAGCACGATTTTTACCGAATCGTACTCTTTGTCGCTCGCGGAGAGGTTGAAACAGGAAAGAGAGAAATAGATATTTATTTCGGTTGTATTCGAATATCACTAGAATCGCTCAAAATCTCCTAAATATTTGGCAAATCTTTTGTATGATCTGTACTAGAAACAAGTAAAAAACAGCGAAAGTACCAAAATATGTACGAAGAATTCAAGATTTTATTTACAAAACTTAAATAAGTAGTCATGAACAAATATTACAAAAAGTATATTTACTTAGTAACCACATAAACAGCGTTAGCGACATATTTGCGAAAGTAAGGAAACGAATTTCGTAGTTTTCATCAGGTTGTGAATTTATTGCTGCGTATTTGCCACTCAACAAGCAAAAATGTATGTATCACAGATTAGATATACTTAAATCCAGTAGATCCTGCAGGATGTGTTAGTTACCTGTGGCTCAGGAGAGATACAATGAGTGCAAACGTAATGTAAGTGAATCGCATCAATTTCCAAGACACCTTTTTGTCCGCCAAAGTCCGCTACTTTTTTTGGAAGTATTCATATAAATTATTACGCGGAAAGTACGGGAAGTAACAGGGTTAATAATATCTAATATTAATAAATAATACTAATAATATAATTTATTCAATTTTTCTTTAATATTGAGCTTATAGTGAACAATTTATAAATAATATTTAAATTAGATTGATTATCTATTTTATAAGTTAAAAAATTGTTTTGAATTAAAATTGTTTGCATTTTTTTTCTTCTTCTGTCATTTGTGATTGTTAATTAAAAGGGCTAAAAGTGTAAATGTTTTATACCTTAAAGGTCGTCTCATTTGTTTTTGAAATATTAGTACGCAGCAAAAGCAGAACATGCTATATCAACAATGCAACTACAGTTATAACTTTATAATAGGTTGCCAAGTCTTACGAGAACACATAAACCCTTGTTAATTTTCGAATATTTAATTTGACTAAAAAATAGTTTTATACTGGTTCACTATTATTTGAAATTATAACAGATTTGTTTGAATTAGACCATAAATTTGATATGAATAATTTTGGGCTTGAGCAGCTGTACTGATGTTTCAAACGGTTTGAGGTTAACACGCAACTTGGTCCACTAAAGTTGGTCCCTGGAGTAAACGTCAATCAGTGTTGAGGGTGCTTTGAATCTTCAGGCGTTTGTGTTTTGTGGCACTTCAGGATCTTAGCTATTTATTTATAATTATATATCGTTAAATATGGAAAGAAATTCCGAGTATTTTTATGGCACTCCGCCTGAAGTTCCGGTCATATCTGCAGAAAACAAACAACTATGGACAACAAATGAAACAGCAAATGAAGGAACTTCATTGACTGAAAGATCTCAGGTAGCCTACAAGGTTGCCTTTGATAAATTCCAAAGGTGGTGTGTTGAAAAACAGGCGGATGGTTATTCGGAAACGGTACTTCTAGAATATTTTATTGAAAAGGCTAAACAACGCAAGTCGTCAACACTATGGGGCGAGTACTCAATGATTAAGAAATCGTTGTTTGTTATAGAAAATGTTGATATATCTAAGTATGATAATCTAAAAGCTTTTTTAAAGAAGATATCTGTGGGTTACCAACCAAAACAATCAAAAATATTTACTAAAGAAGAGTTCAATAGATATATAAGTGAAGCACCAGATAGTGAACATTTATTCAAAAAGGTGTGAAATATTGTTCTACATGTGTGTGCAATAGTATAGTATTGTTTTTAGGTTGTTGCAATTATTGGAATTGCTGGTGCTTGCAGCAGGGAAGAATTAATGAATCTTTGTGTTCAAGATATTGAAGATCATAACTCACATTTATTAATAAGAATAAGAAAAACCAAAAACTATTTGGAGAAAAGTTTTATAGTTAATGCTTATAGTGGAGAAAATAATTTGATTGAAATATACAGAAAATATGCTGCTTTGAGGCCAAAAAAAGCCAAAACTAATAGGTTCTTTTTGCAATATAGAAATTTAAAATGTACCTTGCAAGTAATTGGAATCAATACATTTGGCAAAATTCCTTCAGAGATTGCAACCTTTTTGAAATTGGAAGATCCGTCAGCTTACACAGGACACTGTTTTAGAAGATCATCAGTAAGAAAGATACCTAATATGCTATCTTCACAATTCACAGAAAGAGAACCATCAGTGCCACATGACTCCAATTTGTTATCAATTATCTCACCCACAGAGCAACCTTTTCTAACCAAGCAGGAGCATGACATTGACATTCTTGAAGAAGCATGGCCATATGAAAATGATGATAACCAAGACAGCTTACAAGACACCCAAGTGTCAACTGATACAGATCAGGATTACTATGAGGACCCTGTCGTTGATTATTCACAAGAAAGGAAGAAGGTCAAAAACGAAATTCTCTTGATTAAGAAACGGAAGAAACAAGCGGAACTGGACTTGATAGAACTTCAAAAGGAAAAGGCAGTCATTGAATTAGAAATTATGAAGATTGAATTGGAAAAGAAACGACGGTTAGTATAAATATTTAGCTAGCATTTTACCGTAAAATTTGCGTTTTTACACATTAGATATTTTTATAATAAAAGAAGTTAAATAAAACCAACACCTACACATCTGTTTATTGTTGAAACTGTTTATCCTCGTAATTTTAAAAACATAAATATAAAAGCGATGCCGATCACACCAATAAGACATTTTTGTTTTCCGCTCCAACAATATTGATAAAGTCCGCACGGGTCCTTATATTTGTTCATGCATTTATGTCGAAATATTATTATTATAAGAAATTGTTTTTTAAAGGGCGAACTTCGAAAATAATCACAATTTTACACAAAAAAGACGCGTTTTTACATAGTTCTGATCATTTAAAAAAAAATTAAAAATCGTATCTAAAGGTCAATTTAGGAAGAAGTTATGGCTATTTGAAAATTAAAAAATGCCATTTTTTGAAAAAAGGAAGAGAAAAAATTTGGAAAAATTCTCAATAATATTTTTCTTAAAGGCTAGAATACCCCACATATAGTGGTATATCCCATTCTGCAGGATTAACGCTTTTCTAGGCATATGTACATGAATGCGTACGTGTGTTCCTTATTAGCTTTAAAACGGTTGGACAAATTTTGATAAAATTTTCAGAAAATCTTCAGATTAGCCTATAATTGTGTGAAACATGGTAACAAAAATTAACTTAAAGGGTGGCAAATAAAATATGGTGTAAATAAGAAACAAATGCATGTAAGCGCAATCTCGATTTTAATTGCAGCACTATTGAAAGTGATAAAAAGTAGATCAACTTTCATCTCAAATTTTACATGGTTCGAGTTTTATTTTGATTTCAAAAAGTGGCCTATGTTCTTCTCCATTCCGTAACAGGTTTTTATTCATACCAAAGTTAACTAAAATTGATTTGAAGCATTAATCTTTGTTACCATACATACATTGCACAGTGATTTAGAGGTTATACGTAAAAAAGAAAGCAGACAAAGTTTAACGCGTATACAGTGAATATTTACGTATTTTCACTGAAAACGAACATAAATTGCACCTATTTTAATCTATGTAGTACATAGAAGTATATATATATATATCTGTACTAGTCATGAGAAAAAGAAAATCAGATCTTTCTAAAATCACAAGGAGGGCTAGAATGGCAAAATTGCGACGTGACAATGAATCGCCACAGATTAGAGCAATACGTCTCGCAACTAATAGATTCAGAACGTACGAGTCCAGGTTGAATGAAAGTAGCCACCAGAGAAGCCAACGATTAGAGCGAAGTAGACTTCGACATGCAATGATCAGGAAGCAGCAAAAAAATCAGAAGATGAAAGAACAACGTCTAGCTTTAGTTCGGCAATGCAATGACACCCAAAGAAGAATAAGTATTACAATTACCCCCAACAATTATATCCAGGAGGTTATTGTTATTGTTTGTTTGTTTTTATTTAAACTAAAATTTGTAATTTGCTTGATAGGATTGTGAGCATGGTGTTTCTAGAGATCCTTTGCAAACTTCCAACTTTGAAGGCTTGAGCCTAAAAATAGAAAATGGTTTAGATGTTCATGGGGAACCTTCCGTTTATTATGGTATTAAGGAGAGCTTATTAGCAAATACAAGGAGGCTTGGAGATCAAGAAATATACATAAAGAGAGAAACTGTTACACCTGATGATATGCATGAACTGCAATTAGAAAATTGTAACACTCTTCACTATTCATTGCCTTGTATAGAGCATATAGAAATTAAGGTAGGATCAGTTGCTGTCATTCTGTTTGAAAATAACCATTTTTGTTTTACCAGGAAGAACCTGAACAAAATTACAATGAAGATGTGTGAATCTATAGGATAACCAACTCTAACACTGAAAGTTGCTGCATGTGACAATAAAAAATTAAATGCAGCTGGAGAGAGAAGCAACTGCCTGAACTACTTGCATACTAATCAAGAATGCAAGAAAAGAACTGTTACCTATTTGTATTTTATTGAAAAAGGAGTCATTTATATGCATTTCATATTAAAATGTGTGCATTAAGAATTTAAATCAATTAATTTCATTAAATGTTTTTAGAACCATAGGCATTTATTGGATATTGAACATAATCTAGGGTGTTTAAAATTATGTGTAAATAATTCTGAATGTGGTATTTGATATTAATATTGAGGTTACCATACATCTTCAAAACATCAACTGTCATGCTATTTTACGTTGTGAACTATGCGGGGTCGTTATAGTTAAATTAAATTTCAATTTGTTTCAAAATTCCAACTTTTAATTTTCAACATGAATGTATGTACCTATATATAAAATATTTTTGGAAGCTGAAATTTCATTACCTTGGTATCCAAGACTTTGTTAAAAGTCAGTCAATTTGTAATTGCGGTATTTTAAATGGCAGTTTATTTGTATTATTTTGCAATTTATTCTTACATTGCAGATCATTATGCGCGTAATTTTTGCATTTTGTTACGCTTATGTCTTTCTGTCGGTATTCTCTGGTGCAAGCCGCCTAAAAGAACTTCGTCCTTCTTTGGAAAACGTGACAGAATTCAACGGATAATAAATTGATGTAGATCTCTAACAAACTATTTAGCCATTTGCACAAGTCTAGTTTTTCTTTGATTAATTTGTGGGAACCTTGGAGTGTTTTCTTCTAATATCGAAAATGTGAAAAAAGCGCTTTTGTACCTTTTTATTATTGAGTGTATCAAAATTTGATGTATTAAAAATTGGAAAAAGACGTAAGAATTCGAATCTACCGCACAAGGGACTTTCGCATTTGCGTAATTTGCGATTTAAATGAATAGCAACTTTTTCCCCTAGATTCAAATAAAACATAACTAGCGCAACTAGCGACATGAACCCCCTCGTCGATTTAGTGTTGTTGACGTGCTGTATTGTCCATTTCATTTGCTGACATTTACCGATCAGATTGGAAAAATGGTTTTCACGGGTTTCATCTAGTCGCAAACAACATTATTCACTCGCAGCCAATGCGAAACTCAACAAATTAATAATTAAATTTAGGCCGTACGATGTCCCACAAGGTACATTGGCACAATCAAGTTTACATGTGATAACCTCTACTACCAAAACAATAATCGTCCTTGTTCTGCAGGTCTTCATAGTCTTTGGCATTGTTCTCTCATGGATTGGTACGTCGCAGCAGTTCTATGTGCCGGGGATGGCACCGGTTGAATTCAAAAAAGGCCAGTCCATTGATGTGAAAGCTGTGAAGATGACCAGTATTCACACCCAGTTACCCTATGAGTACTACAGTCTACCATTCTGTGTGCCTAAGAATGGCAGTGCTGGTATTCACTACAAGTCTGAGAACTTGGGTGAAGTGCTGAGAGGTGATAGGATTGTGAACACACCTTATGAAGTAAGAATGGCAGACAACATTCCTTGTACACTGCTGTGCAATACACCAGAGACACCCATTAATTGGGATAGCTACCAGTCACAGACTGTTATTGACAGGATTCAGCATGAATATTTTGTACATTTGTAAGTTTTCCTGAATTAATTTTTGATTTTAATAATGATTTAATTTTTGTACATTGCCTAGATTGGTGGATAATTTACCAGCTGCTTCACCAGTCAACCGTCCAGATTCTAATGATATTCAGTATGAGCATGGATACAGATTAGGAAATGTGATTGGAGACAAGAGCTACATCAATAATCATTTAAAATTGACGCTTTTGTATCACATGCCAGAACCGTACATATATTTTTAAAATTTATATTAATGTTTCCAAAATAAGAAACTGTATGCTATTTAATTTGATGTTTCTTTTTAGAAATATCTATCGTATAGTGGGTTTCCGTGTAGAAGCACAATCAATCCATCACGATGATTTGAAATTTCATGGCAAGACATGCTCATTCACAAATTCTCCAAAACGACAATTAGTCGATAAAAGCGGCACCAAACTTTATTTTACATACGAGGTCGAATGGGCGCCTTCTAAAATTAGCTGGGCATCAAGATGGGACACATATTTGGCGATGAGCGATGTGCAAATCCATTGGTTCTCTATTATCAACTCATTGGTTGTTATTTTCTTCTTGTCGGGGATTTTAACAATGATTTTGATCAGGACCCTACGAAAGGACATTGCACGTTATAATGCTGATGAAATTATGGATGAAACTATTGAAGAGACTGGTTGGAAACTAGTTCACGGCGATGTTTTTAGACCGCCGCGAAACTCACGATTGTTCGCAGCCGTTATCGGTTCTGGAATTCAGATCTTTTTGATGTCATTAATCACGATATGTGAGTTTGAATTTTGAGTACAATTAATATTTTTTGTTTGAATATATTATCTTTCTAGTCTTTGCCATGTTGGGAATGTTATCCCCAGCATCCAGAGGTGCACTTATGACAGCTGCTATTTTCCTGTATGTTTCCATGGGTTTAATTGCTGGATACTTTTCGGCACGGCTTTACAAAACAATGAAGGGCCGCGAATGGAAACGTGCGGCGTTCTTGACAGCCACGTTGTATCCGGGTATCGTTGCGTCCACCGGATTCTTTTTGAATTTTTTCATCTGGGGCAAAGCGAGCAGTGGTGCAGTACCCTTCTCATGGATGATGTATCTACTGACGATGTGGTTCTGCATATCCTTACCACTAGTGTATCTGGGGTATTACTTTGGGTACAGAAAGCAACCATACCAACATCCCGTGCGGACCAATCAGATTCCACGACAAGTGCCCGAACAACATTGGTATATGAATCCCATGTTATGGTAAGTAAATTATTTAAATGTAGAACATGGAAGAAAGTTTTATTGTTTCTTTTTTGTGTATTGCAGTACATTAATGGCAGGTATTCTACCATTTGGGGCAGTCTTTATTGAGTTGTTCTTCATATTCACAGCGATATGGGAAAATCAATTCTACTATCTCTTTGGTTTTTTGTTCTTGGTGTTCATTATTTTAGTCATCTCTTGCTCGCAAATATCCATCGTAATGGTATATTTTCAGCTATGTGGAGAGGTAAGTTTGTACACATGATTGAGATTGAGGAGTTTTCATTTTTGTGTCAATTTTCTTTAGGATTACCACTGGTGGTGGAGAAGTTTCCTCGTGTCCGGAGGTTCGGCAGTATACATCCTGCTGTACTCCTTGTTTTATTTCCTAACAAAGTTGGAGATTACTGAATTCATCCCAATTCTACTTTACATCGGCTACACTGGTCTCATGGTAATGACTTTCTGGCTGCTCACAGGCACTATCGGCTTCTTCGCTGCTTATGCGTTCATTCGCAAAATTTATGGGGCTGTTAAAATCGACTAAGCTTACACTAATCTTCAAACATTGATTACTTGAAGAAATCATGCTCAACATTTGAACTTCCTCTCACCTCATTTATCATCATCACGGTCAGCACGTTTAACAACCAAAAATTCATTGGGAGGACCTTTTTCACTAGTGGGTTTATAATTTTAGTGATAATTTTCATGATAATATGAAGATAATATGTAAATGTTATGGAAAGTCATTATTTATTGATAAAAATGAACTTGATTGATATAATTGTACATTTTTGTGAAGACCTGTGAACCCCACACATTCTTTTTTATGTAAAAAAACATATTGATTTCGAATCTTAATTACTTTATTCTATCATGGGGGAAATCAGTAAAGGATTATAAAGTTGATCATTTTTGATAAGGATGTAAATTCCAAAAGTGTAGACTTGACTTGAAAATGTGAACATGAAATGGGAAATTCTAGTGTAATGACATTTAGTATTTACAATCGTTTTTGCGTATTTAATTTATATATAAAATATTAAAAATCACTTTTAATGTACCCATTTTTGAGTACGAGGGTAAGCTTTAATTTGTTTTTACCTTCGTCGTCATTTTACTTTTCAGCCATTTTTGGATAGTCACCAGAGACATGAAAACCGGTATCATTATCGGCAAGAAAAGTGGAATATATACGGCATACCTAAAAAGTAAACTTGTTAAATATAAACAAATACTTCTTCCATTTCTTAATTTAATTTTGTAGCTTGTGGTGTTACTCAACAAAATAGTAACACTTCACGTTACAAAATTAAATAAATGTAAGAATTACAATAAGCGATTACGAAAACAAATTAAAAACTAATATCAAATATATAGCTTAATAATAATTCCATCCGTACTCACTTTTGATCGTCAGGAAAATACAGTAAAGCCAACAACGACGGATCACTGAACGCAGCTTCAGAATTAGTATATGCAATTTTGGCGCTCTTCAAGCCACTAGCAACATCCCCCGCATTCAAGAACTCAACCGCTTCATCGGCCATCTTTAATGCAATCTGAATTTTCTCAGCAACTTCATCACTGATTACAATACTGTTAATTTCAATTAATAATTGCGCCAAAGATTTCAATGTCCTCCGCGTTGATGTCACCATTTCCCATGCTCGCAGCATTTCCAACTCTCTTACATCTTCCTGTTGTAAGCTCTTCAAATACATTAGTTTTTGCAATTGAGTCAAAAAAGTATCAACTATTGGTTTTAAATCTGGCTTGTAAAAGCCAGTCTTGCAAGATTCAACATCAGCGTTGTTTATCATCATTCCACCCCATCTAAGATTTAAAAACGCGTTAGACGGCACTCTGACTTTGTTATCTGTGTAGACATAAAGAGGCGACTTGCAATGCGGAAAATAAATCACCAAATTCAATGAGGGCCTTGGTGACATGTGTGCCCATGTTTTCTTTTCCAGTGGTGTAATAACATGTGTTAAAGAATGCTCATAGACCATTAGATGATCTGCACCTTGCACAGGCACTATACCCAAATCTACTAAATACAACCATTGACTTTTCACTGTGAAGTTCGCAATTGGTGTTAGAGTATGTATAAAGTTTTGCAGATTGGCAGCAATTTCATTTGAATTTATATCCACTTTAAGCTTTTCTGGTTCTGGATTGACTATTGTGATCAGTATGTCATATTCTAGACTTAATGGAATACTGTCTGGGCGGATCATCATTGAAGGTATCTGTATATTGAACATATCTTCAAGGGGTAAAGGGGCGCGATACACTTTGGTAGTTTGCCACCACACCGGAATGCCAATTATGACTAAGACAATTACATAGGAAATGACGCTATAAATTCTGTAGATTGATTCTGGATCTTCTTTGAAACGTACATCTAAATGTGGAAACAAATATTATATAAGTTGAAAGAGATAGTGAAAACTCACCTTCGACGGGAATGTCTTGAATTTTATCTCCCTTCTCATCTATCTCGGACATTTTCTAAACGTATCAAAGTTTCTTTGATAATCAGAGTCTCAAATTATGAATTGCGGCGAGAGAGGCACCTTAAAACTATTTAGGTTATGTTCTTAAATATAACAGAGTGATAGATAAAGTGCAGATAAAACGTTTTTAAATTTCGCTTTTCTTTTTACAATTTCATGCCACGATAGGGATAAGCCATTATATATTCCAATTTGTGAATGTTAGAAACTAATAGTCTCAGCATAGTAGATTAGTGCACAACTGTTCTTATGTATTTTTATAATTGTTGAACAATTATTGATTTTAAATAATTTTGAAAGCATAAACACTTAATCTACATACATATTTCCCTTTGTAGATTTACTGGAGAGTTCAAATATGTAACAAAGGACACCCAGCAACAGAGGTTGAATGTTGATCGTGGTAAGTTTACTAGAAAAAGTTGATAAAAAATGTATTTTTGTATTGTTGAGTCTTTATTTGAAAACAAAAGTCGGTACATATTCCACATGGCATCAGTTAATATTTAATTTTTGGTTTATTTCATCCCATACACAGCCAATTTGAACTGCAACATCGCGTAATAAATCCTTTACTAAGGCTCGCTAGTAAAGTAAAAAAGAAACGTAAAAAATGAACTGATGTAAATAAGTTATATACAAAAAGAGGAATGAATGATAGCATGATGGTCTGTGAGCGTGCGATTAATATAACGCAATAATTTAGAATTGAACGTGGGTGTAATAGCGTCCAAGTTGTTTAATCGACTTCTTCCATGCGAGAAGCATCTTCAGATTCGCCTTCGGCAGGAGGGGCGTCACCAGCGGGCAAGTCTTCAGTAACCATATCCTCTTCATCAATGCCAAGTCCCAACTTGATCATGCGGTAAATGCGAGAAGCGTGCACTTGTGGCTCATCCAGAGCAAAACCAGAGCTTAAGAGGGCGGTCTCGAAAAGCAAAACGACGAGATCTTTAACTGACTTGTCGTTCTTATCGGCATCTACCTTCACACGCAAATTTTCGATAATGGAGTGATCGGGGTTGATCTCCAAGTGCTTCTTGGCGGCCATATAACCCATGGTAGAGGTATCGCGAAGGGCTTGTGCCTTCATGATGCGCTCCATGTTGGCGGTCCAGCCGTATTGCGAAGTAACAATGCAGCATGGCGATTCGACGAGACGGTTGGAGACGACGACTTTCTCGACCTTAGCGTCCAAAATAGTCTTCATCACCTTGCACAGGCCTTCAAACTTGGTCTTGTCTTCTTCACGCTTCTTCTTCTCCTCCTCGTCTTCGGGAAGCTCCAAGCCCTCTTTGGTAACGGAGACGAGTTGCTTGCCGTCGTACTCCTTCATTTGCTGGACGACGTACTCATCAATAGGCTCGGTCATGTAAACAACCTCAAAGCCACGCTTTTTAACCAATTCGACAAATGAAGAGTTGGAGACCTGCTCCTTGGACTCGCCGGTGATGTAATAGATATGTTTCTGGTTAGCCTTCATGCGGCTGACATACTCCTTGAGAGAGCACGCCTCATCACCGCTGGCGGATGTGTGATAGCGCAAAAGATCGGCTAACTTGGAACGGTTAGCAGAGTCCTCGTGGATACCCAGTTTCATGTTCTTAGAGAATTGTTCGTAGAACTTCTTGTACCCGTCCTTGTCTTCAGATAACTCTTCAAAGAGTTCCATACATTTCTTGACCAAGTTCTTGCGGATGACTTTCAAGATCTTGTTTTGTTGCAACATTTCACGAGAGATGTTGAGAGGTAAATCTTCGGAATCGACGACACCCTTCATGAAATTGAGGTACTCAGGGATAAGCTCCTCGCAGTTGTCCATGATGAAAACTCTGCGTACGTACAGCTTGATATTGTTCTTGCGCTTCTTATTCTCGAAGAGATCGAAGGGCACGCGGCGGGGAACGAAGAGCAGAGCACGGAATTCCAACTGGCCTTCAACGCTGAAGTGCTTTACAGCCAAATGGTCTTCCCAATCATTAGTGAGGGACTTGTAGAACTCACCATATTCATCCTGACTGATGTCGTCAGCGTTGCGAGTCCAAATCGGCTTGGTCTTATTAAGTTCCTCATCTTCAGTGTATTTCTCTTTGATTGTCTTCTTCTTTTTCTTGTCCTTCTCTTTGTCTTCCTCTTCATCCTCGCCTACGTCTTCGATTTTAGGTTTGTTGTCTTCACCTTCTTCAGTCTTTTCCTCTTCGGCGCCCTCGTCGTCGCTCAACTCCTTCTCACGCTCTTTCTGGACAACCAATTTGATTGGATACCCAATAAACTGAGAATGCTTCTTAACGATCTCCTTAACTTTGTTTTCTTCCAAAAATTCAGACTGATCATCTTTAATGTGCAAGACGATCTTGGTACCACGTCCGATGGGTTCGCTGTGGTCGGTGCGTACAGTGAAACTGCCTCCAGCAGAAGATTCCCAAAGGTACTGCTCGTCATCGTTGTTGCGTGAGACGACTGTCACTTTATCTGCCACTAGGTATGCTGAATAGAAACCAACACCAAACTGACCAATCATGGAAATATCAGCGCCGGCTTGCAACGCTTCCATGAAAGCCTTGGTGCCCGATTTAGCAATGGTACCCAGGTTATTAACTAAATCAGCTTTGGTCATACCAATACCAGTATCAATGATGGTGAGGGTACCCTCTTCTTTGTTGGGAATGATCTTGATGTAGAGATCCTTGCCAGAATCCAACTTGCTTGGATTGGTAAGAGATTCATATCGGATCTTGTCCAAAGCATCAGAAGAGTTGGAAATCAATTCTCTGAGGAAGATTTCTTTGTTGGAGTAGAAGGTGTTAATGATCAAGCTCATTAACTGAGCAATCTCAGCCTGGAAGGCGAAGGTCTCAACTTCTTGATTTTCTTCTGGCATCTATCAAGAAAAAAAAAATGTATTAATTTAAATAATTCCTAAATAAGTATGCTATTGTGACAGAAATTAAATTTAAATTGTTTGCCGGCACGTGCCGGCCGCATCAAAAAATTTCAAAAACCGGTAAAACGTAACCGAACCATAAAGGATTATTTAATTAAAACAAGAAATGGTTAATGTAGGGATGCACTTACGTTGATTATAAGTATTGACTTCAGAAAGTAGAATTGAATTCAACAAATTTGCACTGGTATCGCACTTCGAATTGCTGGCAGCTTCGCACGCTTGCTTGTTTTCAAATGATTGTGAGCGGCCAACGCCGCCTGCTTTTATAGGGAATGTTGTTCTAGAACACTCTCGAACATTCTAGAAGGAATTGAACGCGTGTGACCGATGTTTGACATAGGATAGCAATAGTACTACTTCCGCTTAAAACGCGTGGCAAATTCGAATTTTAACCATATTTTCTGGAAAAATCAATAAAATCTACCCTGACAAATATGTAAAAAGGATTGCTTATCTATAAATTTATTGAATTTATTAATCACAGTATATTTATCATATAATTAATCAAGTATAGTCTTTACTTTCCCGTAAGATTGATTATTTTGTTAATGCATGATGTTTCTTCTAGAAATATTAATTTATTATGATAAAAATAAAATATTTAGGGTAATTATTAAAGAATTGGTTGATGGATTGAATATATTTATTACAGTTTCAGGAAATTAAAGGATATTTTAAATAAGTATTACCAATTTTTTAAGAAGAGCACGCCTTGATTTTGATGTATCATTTTCAACGATCGCTAAAAAGCAATCCAAATTCTCGAACATTCTTAACATAAATAAGATTGCGACATAAAATTAGCTGGTGTTTCATTGAGAAAATAAAGAATTATGAAGTTTTTCATTTACTTTTCACTCTTTTATTACACGCCATGCGGAATAACCTGTAAAATATTACCAGAAAAAATAATAATGTCGCAATTGATTAAACATAATTATTTTCAATATTAAGTATTGAATTGCAATTCTAGACAAGCCAGAAAGTTCTGGAACATCGACGTTCTAGAATATTCCACCTCATGTTATTCCAGAAAAAGCCTCGTCAAGGGTATTCGGTTTCGGTTGTGCTGAGATGTCAAAACATTCGCCAGACACAAGATAACCTCTATTTGCGCCATTTCAAAAGGCACCAGAAAACCGTTGGAATAAATATTCTTCACATTTATGTGTGTTGTGTTTAATTTGTTGTTTTTCCTTGTTTAATTCGGTTGCAAAATGACTTCAATTGCACAAAAAAGCAAAGGAGCGATTACTCTAAAGGGTTCTGCGGAGATTCTTTGCGAATATTTAGGTAAACAACAATTAAATATTCGTATTTGCTGCCAGGTAAACACATGTGTATTTTAATTTTCATGTGACTTGCAGATTTCGGCATTAATTCAATTTTATTCCAACGTGGATTATACCCTCCCGAGGATTTTAAACCAATGGAAAATTACGGTTTGACTATCCTCATGTCTCAAAATAATCAAATCAAAGAATTTCTATCTGTTACATTAAGTCAACTTAAAGGTACTTATTTACTGTACTACATACTGTATTTATTATAACACCAAATGTGGCTAATTCTATTGTTTCTTAGACTGGTTGGTGAAACGAATTGTTGATAAAGTGGCTTTAGTCATTACAAATGTGAACAGCTTTGAGGTAATGGAGCGCTGGGATTTTAAGGTCGAGTATGAAGGTGACAGTAACCAAGATGGTGGACAAACTTCAGACAAGCCATTGAAACAAATCAAGCATGAAATCAGAGATGTGCTAAAACAAATTGCCTCCTCTGTTGCATATCTGCCATTGTTGGACTGCTTGTGTGCATTTGATATTCAAATCTATATGAAGGATGATGTGAACTTGCCCAAAGACTGGTCAGATACTGATGCTGCACATGTAAAAAATGCACAGACAGTGAAAATGCGTTCATTCAGCACCAATATACATAGGATGGATACATGTGTTACTTATAAGAATGAAGATTAATGTGTTCTCTTAAGAATTATTATTTATTCTGCTATTTGACTAAATAATTTTAGTATTATATACCAACTTGAATTATACTTAAATTATTTGGGATTTTAGGTAAAATTAATACCATACTGTGTTGTTAATGTTGATGACTGTTGGGCTCGTATACTTGTAACGACCCTGCGAGCCGGGTTTCTGTAAAAAAATACACATCTCTATAAAATCCTAAAATATATTTAGGCTACGTTTACTTACGTCGCAAAACGCTTGGACTTTTCAAGTCCGTGCAATATTTCGTCATAATATAAAACAAAATTGTCACCAATGTAACTGCGCACGTTGAACCGAGAAAAATAAATTCGGGTCTTTTACGGTATTCACAACATTTATCACTCCACAATGCCCTTGTTCCATTCATCTGAAGAAGAAAAAAAAACAACAACAAAAATTTAATGTAGTAATGTATACCAATATGCTGCAGACCTTATTATTTCAATTAAGCATTAAACAAGAATACTTACCAAGTCAACAATATCCATACAAACGCCTATTTTGTCATTAACATCACTTATACTCTTGTAATAACTGTTAAGTCCCAAATATTCAGATATGCACTCTGAACAAAAGAATGTCTGATTATTGGTTGTTTCATTATGGTCATTGATGCAACTAAGGGTGCCATTTAATAAAATGTTGAACATTAATGTCTCCTCAGATATATTATTGGTTAATGTATTATTTACAATTTCAAAACATTCTGAAAACAAAAAATTAATACAAATCTATCACAAATCAATTATTAAGACTATTACAACTTACCATAGCACTTTGCTTTATGCCATAAATCATAACTATTTCTGTACAAACCCTCAACAATTTGCAATCTATCAAGGTTTACATAATCATCTATACAATAACCAACACTTGTTTTGGACTTGAAGAAAAATAAAAATTTAGTTGTTAAGAAATGTCGATTTACACATGAATAACTTACTGTAGATAAATTTTTATATGAATCTAAAACATTAATGTATGCATCTACACAAGATTCACAAAGTGTAATAGGCCTGGAATTCACAATTGCACAAGAAGTAAATGTTGACACAGCAGATGCTAAATTGTCTCTGTATATGGTGCAGTCACTATCTGGGCTTAAATTTGGATCATCCTGGGTTAACTTTACTTGCAAGTTCTGAACTTCCAGGATGTCTTTTAGTGACCTAAAACATAGACAACAAAATAAGTTGGGTTCAAAATGTATGATTAGTATAAAGTTTTACTTACTCTGCATAGGTGAAAAGAACAACAATATAAAAATAAATTAAAGCCATCCTGACTATGAAGCAGCACACAACATTAATGGGAGTTTAGCGTACGAGTTATTGTGTGATTTTCTGTGGCGACTTGCATGAATCATTTTAGATTCAAGCAGCACAAAAGCAAGTAAACATGTTTGGATTTAGTTGGGTTATGTTTTGATGACATTGAGATCGTCAAACGTTTCCAATAAACTTTGGAAACTTTTCAGAAAATAATCTGTATACCCATAGATCAGAGGTACACAATTTAGTTTACCATTCAAATTAAGAAATGGAATCTATAACATAAAAATCTTCAATAATATATAAATGAATCGCAAAATGTGTTGGTAAGCGCATAACTCAACAACGCCTTCTTTTTTTAACACGTATGTTTGTTGAAGGATCGTTTTACCGCGACGAGATAAATTCGAATAGTTGCCAGAAAAACCGTGAAGACAATAGTTTTCTAAATAAAATATTAACGAAACAAATTCCGCAGCTTTCTTCGATTTATTTTTGATTAATTGTTTTATATCGTGTTTTGTTATAATTTGTTCCTGAAAGGATGGCCACAGTTCGTGGAAGCGAAGATACTTTGATCCCCCGAGCTGAACCCACACACCACCCTATTTCCAGGGTGACGGTTCTGCTCAGGAGACATTTTGCGCCGACTGTAAAGTAGATAGGAATAAAAAATTGCTACATTCCAAATCTTTTTGACAGAACGAAGTCTGTCGGGGCCACTAGTATTTAAAACTTATATAAGCTGCAGTCAGGGTAATTTTGTGCTTCTTAAAATTCTACTCATCAAAATGATGCACTGCAAATCATGCAACCTTTCAATTAATAATTTGTAAATTATTTACTCAGGATTTAAATCAAAATACATATGCGGTTATGCCAATGATTTACAACCTAGATGTGTAACTCGATGAAAGACCGACAACATTAAATACATAGTCAATTATAAAAAATAAAATAGCCTAAATAATTACGACAATTAGCTATGTACACAAATAGAAAAATACATAATAATAGTAACTAGGATCGTCTTCTGCGCCTACTAAATATTTTTAAACCCAAATTTCGTATTTTGATTCCAATTGCTTCAATTTACATTCATAACAAGATAAATTATTTAACAATGATGTCAATTGTTGGACAGCTTACGTTACAAATACAGTTCGATTTCTTTGATATTAATCCATCTAATAATATAGAAAATATTAACAATGTTCAATGATGTTATATCTTTTAGTCCGCTTTAAATGTTTTCGATGACAACAAGGCACCTTCAAGGTTTTTAAAGTATGTAATCCATTAATATTGCTCGATAGTTAGGTATTAACGATAAAAATTTATCACATGACGACACATTGCATCGCGATCATCATCTTCATCATTAGTTTTATTTACGTTGGAATGTCGTGTGTGAATGGTGACTGCAATATTCATTTTTTTTTCTTGAAGTTAAATAAGATCTGATCACATATGTATCGTTGCAGCGGTGTAACGGGCTTCTCCTCGTCGCCAACTCCACTGACTTGGTCGGTACTACAAAATAATAAATATTAATCTAAAGCGTACATTATACAACAAAATAATATAATATAATACTGTCTCATTTTAAATCTCATACTTAACAAGTTATTTTCCAGATATACTTCTGACTTTTCTTGTCAGCTGCATTCCACAATTGAATTAAAGAATTTAAACATATAAATTTCAATTAAATATTTTAAATTTACATACCCGAATTAAAATTTGTCCACTTGTAGTATGCGGATTCCTAAACGCGTAGAACACCCATATAACAATTCCAGACAAGAGCGAAACCAAGAAAAGTATCGCCATAACACTGGAGACCCCCATCCGTACCGCTTGTGAATCCGGACTAAGAACATCCGACACTCGAGATCCCTTGGTTGGATCATCAAGTGGATCAAAACTACTATCGTGATTATTAAAAGCAACTTCGTGATCATCAGGCAATGCTTCCGAATATGGTTGGCCACACTCGCTGTCGTTCTTCACCTGTCTCTTATCACAACCCTTTGTTAACCATTCCTGACGACTTCTATCCAAACCATTAGAACATTTGTTCAATGATGGACACCATGAACACTATAAAAATAACAAGCGTAAAAATATGCACACACATTTAGAAATATTTTTGTTTGCATACTTGAAAATTGGCTAAAGATTTAGTCAAACAGGCGGTGCAATTCTTGAGAATTGGACAAGTTGCCAACGCACTCAAATAAATGACTGTTCCGTTCTTGATATCTTCTTTTCGGAAATTGACGCGATGATATTCGTAAATGGTTTTCCGTCGCATAAAGAAAATGGTGCGATCAATGATGTAGGCGTCTGATAGGCCAATTTTTACAGGATGATGACGGTCCTGAATGTTCTCAATAATCAATGGAACGTTTTGATACACAAATACAATGTCGCCGTTGCTGTGTAAGGTCGTTTGGAACGTGAACTTGCCATCGTCAGGTTTGTCCTGCAGCACGACATTCTCCCAGAGCACCGTGAATGCAGTTTTATTGTCAACATACTTTATATAACTGTCATTAGACAAACTAGTGTCAAAATTGGCCATCAACGGAGCAATGTATTGCGTAGCAGCCAACCAAGAGTGGACATAATCGCCAGTGTAGAGAAAACCACCGGTTGCAATGGTTACATTCCTAATGTAATGCCCGTAGAATGGAAAATCAAAAGATAGTCTAACAGTCTGAAATAGCAATTAGTTATTAGATATAACCAAAAATAAAATTTTCTTCAACTTACTGCTGCACGTCGATGTGATTTCGATAATAAATCACTGATTTTCATATCAACTTTCTTGTCGACATCAACCCAAAAAAGTTTTGATGCGGTGTCGTCTACTCTGAACGAACTGTTGTAATAAATATGCGTATCCTGTAAATTTTCAAACAAAGGCAATCATTATGTCAGCACTAAATACTAATATTAACTATACGCACATTTTGCATTGTACTAATGTTATTCTCTTGCAGGGTTTTGTTAAAGTTAAAAGAAGGATCGGCAAACTTATTGATCGAAACTTCATCGTCTTCCTCCACATGTACATTTGGAAAAACCGACACTACTTTTTTAGGAGTCTTGGACTCTTTCATTTCTTTAGCTTGTGGTGTTGGCTCAGTCATTGAAACCTTTGTCGAATTTGCAATTGGGTAAGATTTTGTAGCTTCCTCAGGTTTGGTTATGTTTGTTTTGGAAGGCGGTGACGGTAAAATCCTCGGTGCCTCCACGTTTGTAGCAGGCTAGTAAAAAATTAAAACAATATAATCAACACAACTAAAACAACTAACAAACATTTATTATTACCTGATTGGGAAGCTCCGATTTGGTGTCATTGTTAGTGGTTGCAAGGTTGTTAACGGTATCACGTTTATGCAGATGATGTCCTGTTTGATCATGTTGCAGAAATGATATGTACTCAGTTGGTAGGCCATTTGCATTCTCTAAATTGTAGAAGTTATAATCTAAAACGACAAAAACAAAACAAATTTTGTAAAAATCCTAAACTTTGCAACAATTTCGTTGCCAAAATGGAAATTGCATGTATGCAGCATTATTCCAATTATAATTTCTAACAAATTATTTTAGTTAATACGCGACGCTACGAGTTGGCACACGTGTGACGTTCGAGGTACTTAGTTACTACTTATGTATGGCTGCACAAATCAGATAAAAAACGTAATTTTATGACTTCCGTGGAAGGTCATTTCCCGTTTGAATCCTGTAAAAGATTCTATTTTACTAACAATAGTATTACAAAAAAAAAAAAAAAGAATTAACTTTATGACTGTTCGGTCATATGTGTTATATTAGTACTTATATTTGTATGCATGAAGAGTTCAAATTCCACGAAGCATACATTATGCAGACTTGTGGGTGTGTGAGTTAAGTAGTTTGGAATAATCGAAAGCTCTGCAAAGACTTTTCTAAACATTTACATTGGTAAATCGGTCCCGCGCACAGGATTTGCGCCTCATTTCCTGTCTTGATTCGCTAGCGCGTCTAAAAGCAGACGTATGAAATCTGTAAATAAACGAACTGCACAATGTAAATCACCAACTTAGGTGCTACAACTGCATTGGTGTCTATATGAAGATTAATACCAAAATTAACGGCAAAATTTCGTAAAACAGAAATTTAAAATCGCTCTGGTTGATTGTGTTGATATTTTTATTGCATGAAGTTTATACAACAGCACAAAGCAACAATTTAGTTCTGTCAAATAAAAAGAGATATTTAATATGTGTATGTGAGTAACAATAACACTGCAAAATAAAAGAACAAACTTTCTTTAGAACGTTCTTTAACTGCAATGTTGCTTCATAACACTAACAATTCATAATTAAATTGAAAACCTACAACCGCAGTAAAACTAGCAAAAAGATGGATAAATACAACACAAGCAACGAGGTAACATGCGCGTGTATCCGTTAACTACGAATTCTGTAATCATAATTTACACAATGGTCTTTGCAATTATACTCTGATCATGTTATACTGATCAATATAACAGTAAATGAAAAGCGATCATTTTAAGCGACTTGTTATAAAACAAATGATTTTTTAAGCAATTTTAACTCCAATAAAGCATAATAATCGTGATTTTATGAATTTAAAAAAATGTGACAAAAAAACAGAATGATAGTGGATCATGTGGTTAACCTGCGGTCCATAGTGTTTACTATGTAAGCCATAGCACACGTTGGAATATGGCATAAAATTGTGGAACGGCGAGGAAACAGTGCGCGACGATTTATTTCCGTTCGTCGATTTCCATCCGCACTCGCGCTTGCACATTAGTTGTAATTTAAATTTGGCGTGTGGTTTGCCATTTGCACACAATTCTTTTGCTTTTCTTCTTCTGCATTCAATTTAATAATAAGCATAATTTTTGTAAATGTCTTGCATTTTTAAAAAAGAGAAAAAAATGCAATTTCCGAAGTTTAAAAAACGACGTAATATCATAAAATGGCGATATTCTAAATTAAACAAAAACAAAATACAAATTTGTCTTGCAAAATTCCAAAGTGTGAGACCTATGAGTATAAATGTACGCGCAACAGTTGGGATTCTGGCATTGTTTCAAAACACAAAGAAGTGAATTATATAATAAGAATCTAATAGAATATGCACTCACATTTTTAAATATGACATAATACTATTTTAAATTAAACGAATTTGTGAAACATAATGTACACTTAGATTAACGATCAATATATTTGTGTTGAACTAATGCTGTTATCACCAACAATCCGCAATAGTTAAAACAGGATACATATGATAATGTAAATATTGAATCATGATAAAGATACACTTCGTTTATCCTACATCAAATATACGCATTTTTAAGCGATTATCTAATATACCAAGTTTCCCTTATATTCCCTTATATTTAATATCTCTTTAGCTATGATATCTGGTATTATTCAAACAGATAGATTACATATATCCAAAAGCATAAATTAAGTAAGCGTAGCTGAATGAATTTATTGTAAAGTTAGAATAAACGCAAACACATATGTCACGAGAAGCGAACGTCGCGGTAGTATCCGTACCAGGTCGTAGGCCGTCGCGGAACATTTACAGGATATGCTTATAAGACACGCCTTAACTTTTAAAGCATCAAACTTTTAGTTCAAGATCCAGTAGAAACTAGAGTTAATATTGAGACCAGACGAAGTTTATGCTTGACCAAGTTGCAACCAAAACATATAAATACTTCTTCAGTAGTCCAACAAAAAAGCGTCAGCTATAACAAATATGTAGTAATTACTTTCCCATTGTCAAGACGCAGCATAAAATTTTCAGATTGTACATATTTTAAGTCTTGACACCCCGGACAAACATGAGTAAAATATTTTCATTGAGATTGACATGTGAATAAGCCTTTGAAAGTAATCGATGGAAAGTAAAGTTTACTCGGCGCTGTAGACCCTAGGCATTAGGTGAGGATGTTGATAAGAATTCAAATCACACAAGTTGACAATGTTACATGAGGCAATTTACACACAATGGTAGTTATTTTTTGAAATTTCCAAGCCTTTACAGAATTTCATGCCTATATATTTTAGAGTTATAAAATGGAAAAAAGTATAAACAATCGAATTAGAGACAAACAGAAATATCATTTATGGTGATTAAATAGTCATATACGTCAATAAACCGCCTGAGAATAATCCTGGCAAACGCAATCTACTATTAATATAGTAATTCAATTTATCTGCTAAAAGCGATGGTATACCTTCACTCATCACAAAAGCCCACGCATGAATTGGATAAATCACGATATAATAAAACCTTCAATGTCAATGACACTCTCTTTCGGCAGTTTGTCAGTCAATGACAATGATGATTTACATATAAATTATATGAACGCCGACACTTCGTCTATATATGTATATGCGTACTTTGTTCACAACGTACACACACGTCATTCACATAAAATTTTTATAAATTTATAAATATATATCTACCTCTATAGAAGGAATTAAACATTATATCATGGCTGGCCAATCCCAGGCCCGCGGGCCACGGGGTGGCCCGCCAGGACATTTGAATTTGCCCGCCGCACAAACCAAAGTTGGAACTTTTGTACATGTATAATATTTTATGTATGATTGTATGAATGGCCATAGTCTGTGGCCCGGTGCTGCCGCATTCTAAAAAAATTGGCCCTCCAGGAAAATCCATTGGCCAGCCTTGCATTATATTATAGGTGAAAATTTAAGCAAACATTTATATCTGATGACACAACATCAAATTAATTTATATTACGCGTGACATAATACAATCTGTAATAAAATCTGTGTTTCAAAAACAAATACCTACTTATAAACATTTAGCGAAATTTATTGTTTTCTCAACAACAGAGTATAAAAATCTTTCAAAATGATAAGTTAAATCGCGATTGTTTTGAAAATTATTGTAAACATGGTGTTAAAGTATGTTTTAAATGCTATCGGTGTAAGGTAAAAGCAAAGATAACAGTGTGAGTAAAAGAGTTAAACATGTAGTTTAGGATGATCTGATGCTGTATGTGTTGTGTGAATGGTTGTATGCAAAGGCAACGCCAAAACAGACAGCGTCAAACTTGTCGGGTGACTTTATATTTAGCCATGCGCCCGCGGATTGAAGTGTGGGCTGTAGTCGCGTACTGCCGTCGAATCATGTCTCTTTTCAACCAGCAGGCGGTGCAACCGACAAATGAGCGACTTTGTAAATAAATGTAAAACTGTAAACTTTACCTTCTAAGTATACATTTTCGACTACTACGGTCAAAAACGTGCTAAAATAGTTCCTGTCTACTTTATACCTTACAGTAAAAAATGTTGAGTTTTATAGCTAAAACAGTTTACATGTAAGGACAAGAAGTATTTAAATATAACCAAATATGACTTATACTCAAAACAATTAAGATACCTCATATAGTCCCAACAAAATTTTACAAATTAGAAAATTAGTACAAAAAATACCAAGGGTGTATTTCATGTATACTCTAGAATTGTACTTAGTCTTTTTTAACAATAATAAATTAACGTCAGTCAATATTTTCAACTTTCATTTTTATTTAGCTGCAATGTTTAACTTTTTCGTTGTTTTAATTGCCCCATATCTATTTTTATTGTTCCATACGTCACTTGTATAAAGCAAAATATTGAAACGGTAAAAAGAAAAATAAGCTTCGTTTCGTTAAACAACTAGGCCTGCCGCAAAAGCGTAAACCGCCCTCATCTGACGCGATACGACGAGTCACGAACCAAGAAAGAAAATACAGTGTCGTCCACGTCTCGCGTGCTCATTCGCTGATTCATTTGGACTCATTTTGATTTCTTCCCATGAACACTCAGCGCAGCTTCAACAAAAATAAAATGTAAAAAATGTTTCGTGACTTGAAACGTTCATATTTTTTATATTCAATCGAGTATTTCCACCTATAAAGACAGAAAAACGTCCAATAAAACACCGAAAGTTGATTGTAAAGTTGAGTGGTGTAGTCTCGAGTGGTGCACAAACAGAACAAACAGATATTATGATGGTCCCTGCCCCAGTCTGCATTTGCGAATCGTGTCGGTATGCAAATTCTGTGCAAAGCATGAAAACACATATCCCATGTTGGTGGGACGTAGACATAGTTGACTTGTAGGCTTGGAAATGCAATCAATTTGGAATTCTTTATGCATGAACGCGTCTAACACAAACTTTATATGTGATCACACATCACCTCCAGTAATTAATATGTGCATATAATATCATACATCTAGTTTCCGTCACAGTCTATCAGTTATTTATCAAAGTATTCAAATAATTACAATATAATGTTTCATTTGACATTGTAAACTTTATTTTTCTCACTTAAGTAAGTACCTATTGTAATTTATTAAACTC